AGGGGGGATTTTGGGGTTGGCGGTGGGGTTCTTGCCGCCGGGGGTTAAGAGGAAAGTGGATTTGGTGATGCGGTATGGGCAGGTGTTGGGGACGGTGAGGGGGGATGTGTTGGTGTGTGTGTTTGTGTTGGGGGTGGCGAGTTGGGTGAGGGGTGGTTAGGGGGAGTTTTGGGTGGGGGGTTGATAGAGATAGTTGGACGTGGTAATGAATTGGGAATTATCCCCGTTGTGAATCCTTGGATTGTGATTTTCTCTCGTTTCGGTTTCTAGGCTGCGAAGTTCTCACAAAGTCTTGCAGGGTATTTATCATGCAGGGAAGGACCTTCGTTCCCAAGGCAAAACGCGGGATGCAGGATATGGCGGTGAGTGACCAACTGGCGTGCTTTTGCGCGTCGTGACCTTTCTTAGGCACGCCGGTGGGACCAATTAGGGGCCTGTTTGATTTGGTATGTTATTCTTGGGGACTGTGAGTGTGTGAGTCTGCGGGGTGTTATAGCTTGGTTGCTGTGGTATTGTATTTTTAGAATAACTATCCTGTTGATGGTTTTCTCGCGTGTTGCCCTCGTGTTGGTTTGGTGTTAGTTTGGTGTTCGTTACTACGGGCTACGGACTACGGGGTTTGTTATTCTGGGCTGATAACTCCTTAAGTTGGGCAATCTCAAGTCTAGGGTAGCATGGGATGACGGTGATTAAAGTAAAAGTTAGGAATTAAAGACTCACATCGTAACGCACACCGTACACCGTCATGGGAAAGATCAGATTATACATAAGGGTTGGGCAGGTGAACTCACTAGAAGGGTTTGAGGATGCTGTCAACACTGATACAACCACAAATCAGGCCACGTTGTATCGCTCCGTCCAGAAACAACTCAGCGCCTTGACAATCCGGCATCGTGATGGACTTGTGTTGAATTTAGTCTCGTGCCAACTGTATGGATGTACCTCCAAATAAACGCTAAACTCGTCCACTCGCCTCGAGAATAGAAACCACTCGCATATCGGGAGAATAAAACTAAGATGTAGAAAGGAAGCAAATAGCTAAGCATATGGTGAAAACACTACTGTCAATGTTAACCAACATTCTTGGGTTAGCGACACGTGGTTAAAGCTGGGTTAAATCAAGGCTTCTCACGTATTCCTGTGATAACAAGTCCTTGGATACGGGTAGTATTTTGGCCCGGATGTTCAAGGACAAATATCCTATGAACTGTAAAGGGTCGGCTTATTTAGCTAGAGGTCTACAATTTGTGAATCAGCCGGTGTATGTGGCAACCATAATGATAATGATAACAAAAAGGGGAAACAAGAAAAGATCAAACTGAAACTGGTCGGTTGTGGCATGAAGCCTGAAGACCCTTCATCAGTCAGCTATCTAGCTCCTAGCACCATTCCGAACTCCTATCCCGTTTCTTATCCCATCTATAATCCGTGTAAACTCACTTTCTTCCCTCCCTTCGAGAGAACCCGACGTGGATGTGTTCCGGCGGCCTCGCCTTACCCTTTGATCTTCCCGTAACGACCCTAACGAGAGATACGCCGAATGAAGCCCACTCGACCAAGTGATTTCTCTTAGCCTAGTTGGCCTCTCTTAAACAAATCGACCTCTCTTGATCCAACCTCACAGGACCCGCCCAACCTGACCCGTCCGAGCCGCTTTGGTTTTAAGTGGGACGGACGGGGGAGGCTTTCAACGGTCCTCCATAAGGATGTTGTACCGAAACAGGCTTATGGAGAAAACATTGCTATTTCAGCACACTCGCGAAAACATGCTGCTCAGGTTACCAGTGTTGTATTTGGGTACAAGACTGTTTGCTTGAACATTATGTTCATTTTTTTCTTGTCGTTCACCTCGTCGTCGAGGTGGAAAAATAGGATATAAAAATAGAAATAAAAATAAGGACAAGTTCAATCTGCTTAATTTAATCTGACTAGGTGCCCAGATATGAAGTGACCCGAATACGAAGAAAAATCCAATTACGAATGTTGAGTGGCGATCATTTATAGTAGCAACCATGACTTACGATTGCAGAAGGTCTCAGCCGCAGTCTCAGAACACATAGTAGGACTTGAGCAGAGATTGTTGGATATTCAGCAATGGAGTCTGGAGTTGTTATACTACCCCCGGTGTACATAGAAACATCCCTTTCTTAACATTGGATACTATTCTATTGAAATGGGGTAGGGCCTTCTCCCATGCCAACATTTACACACCACTGTACAGTGACACTCCATTCAAAAATGTTGTTCTCCAGCAAAATTCTGTCTATCTAACATGGAACTAGAGCAGGGGCAGAAGCCCTTTGTCCAGACGGACGATACGGGGAAGTTCCTTAGTTTACCTTGCCTTTCTTTCTCCCGTCTGGATGCCTAAAGGCAGGGTAGAATTAATTCAGCGTCGAGTTCCCTTCAAGTAAGTAGTATCGGGAGCCGCCCTGTCCCAACAAACAATCTACCGCGTTCTTCTCCTGCACTTACTCGAGCCCGAGGGCTCCTCCCTGATATGCTCAGAGGGCCACCGCCGTGCTTGTGGCTGCAGGGTCCCTACGATTTCACTACTAGAGTCAAGTCCTCCGCTCATTCTGGAAAATGATGCTACAGGTAGGGAAGGACAGATATGCAACTAAGAGATTCTTATTTCCGCTTTTGGCAATATACAGCGCCAGGTCGAAATGTAGTTGTGGCCTTAAAAATTCACCAGCCAAAAGGATGTATGCTTCTAACGCAACATGATAACACACGCCGTTGCACGCTTGACGACAGTTACTACTTACGTGTATGTACCTCCCGGCATAGCTTTCCGTGATCCGGTTGCCGGGTTGTTTTTATCGTCGTTGTGGCGAGAGGCGGGGCGTGCGGGTCCACGTGAGCGAGCGTTGCCCGCCGCCGAGTGGCGTCGCGGAGCGTGTCACAATCATGCGGGTGACGTCAATGGCGCTTTTTTTCTTCGTCGGAAAGAGGTCCCCGTTTTCTTTTTCACCAAAGTGGAGGATTGACGCTGAGTGCGTTGTTGATGGACGTTTTGAGAGACAAGATATTCCGTACTTTTCAAGGGTATATTATTATCCAGCTGATTTATGTCTGCCTGCTAGCGAGCCCAATTTTGGTCGCCTTGGGCCTTGACCTGAGTGTTCCGCATCCTGGGGGCCAGAGAAGAGGGGCAACCTGGCCTTGCAGATTTTGTTCGTGCTCTCGCGGCATTTCAACGGCAGGCGCGCCCGGCACACAGGATGAATTATGCAAAATAGGAAAAAGAAGGCAGCCGACCGCTCTTTGACAGCACTAACAAACCGGCCATTTGGATCTCTCACGCCGGTTTCCTTCTGAAATTGGGCAGAGCGGATCAGCTCATTCGCTGGCATACGCGCCAAGATCGGCATCGACGGTCCTTGTCGCTGCTCCGCTCCGACTCTGCGGATCGTTTTCTCCGTTCCCCATACCAGTCCAACTTGAGCCGTGTTTGCTGCGACGATTGGGTTTCAAGGCGAAGGCAGCCGGGTCATCTTAAGGCAACTGGGTTGAAGTTTACGGATTAGGTAAAAGGTAGAATAGAATAACCATATACCCCCCCAAGACGATACATCTGGACATATATGGACGCCTTGTCGCTAGCCATCGAGATACTCTGCGCGAGGAGTTGATGTCGCTAGCGGGACCCGCACACCCCGCGCCCAGCCGCCGACAAGCCCTTTTGCTTCTGTCATCGATTTACACCCACCAGCCAGATTACCACAGTTACCGTGTCGTGCGCTCGGGGATTCGGCACGCTGGAACCAAGCAACCCCCACCCAAGAAGAGCAGCTCCTTTTTTGAGTTCTCGGTCTGCGGCCTTGTTTGCTGACTGTGACGAACGAACCCACCACGAGACCCCCATCCTGTTGTCCCACGGGTTTGCTGCACCGACCCGAAACGCCTTCGCAGCGAGGTACAGCAGGTTGACGGGTACGGTACGCACCGGCCCGCTCGCGTCTTTCTTGCTCGGTCACGTCAGTCCGGCTAATCCGCAACTCATCACGACACTAGGGCCTGCGGGAGAGGTTTCGTGCGCTTTTTTAGCCTTGATAGCCCGGGTTGCGAGTCTCATCGGGTACGGCTCCAACGTCGTCGGGCAGGCTAAAATTACAACAGGAGGTGCGTATGGTACGGATCCGGAGGAGTTGAGTGTCTGCGACGGGAGCGCACCATCCTTGCATACAAGCAAGGGACCCCCATTCTTAGCCATCTTCCTCAACGGGACCAGAACACCCCTCCATCGCACCAAAAGCGGGCACATCGAAAACCACCACGAGACGGCGCTAACGGGGGAGCCCACTTCCGCAGGACACCACCACACTACACCAGAACTTCACCGCATCCGCTCGCTCTCACACCGTGTCTCTCGCGAGCCACAGGCGCGGCGTCAGAGCTTTTTTTGCCTTCTCGAGCCTTTCTGCCCAGGCAAGCTGGGTTCCGCCACTACGGGCATTTCATTACATTTCGAAAGAAACCCCACTAGAGGCGAAAGAGAGCCAGGACGGGCCCCGCAAATTTCGGAGAAGCTTCTTCTTTTCCGTCTGCATCATAGCAAGTTCGAGGACCCGCTCGAAAGCTTTGCCAGCAGCAGCGCCCCGCCCGGCCGATTTTCTCCGTGAGAAACTGGGGATCTGTGTGTGGGTTGAAGGACGGACCTCATCATCACGGCTCCGAGACGACATCCCGCAGAACATGACAGGCGCAACCACGACACCCGGCCGGACAGACTTTGATACCTGAGTCCCCGCGGGACTACCGCACCCGTTACAGCCTGTGTAGGCTTTGGGTTTTTTTCGTGATCCTCAATTTTTTCACGACGACGATCGAGACGACGACGACAACGACGACGGTAACGAACGATAACGACGATAAGAGCGAAAGAACCGAGTAAACCAAGGACAAAGGCGACGACCACGACAACACCGACATGGACTCCGGCGGGGGCAGCGGGGCTGGCCCGTCATGGCCGCTCGACGAGCACCTGATCGAGTCGCCGGCGCGCATCCTCGAGCGGCTGCGCACCATCTCGGGGTACACATGGGACGACACGCGACGCCCGTTCCACTCGACATACGATAACTGGCACGTTTTCGGGACACGCTTTGTCTCGCCCTTCTCGTCGCCCCCGACCAGCGGCAGCCTGCACCATTATCACACTTCCACACAACATCACCACCACTCCCATCATCACCATCATCACCCGTCCAGCCCACCGGCAGTGACAGCGGCAGGCGCCGCTGCAGTGTTATCCAACCTAGGGTCGTCACGGGGGTCATCGGCGGACCTGCGCTCCCACTTGCACACGACGGCGACAGCGCCCACAGCTACGACGGCGTCCGCAGCGTCCACAACGTCCGAGACAGGGTCGGTATCGGACCGGTCAACCAACTCTGTACCGATGTCAGCGTTCAACGGCACGGACGTGCCAGTAGTCGAGCAGCGCGTGGTAGCACGGGTCTCGTACCATGTGCTGCGTGAAGAGCGGGCCTTCTACATCTCCAAGAGCCTGGTAGCCAGCGCCGATACACAAGAAGACCGCATGGTCAAGCCGCTCGACGTACTGCGACTACCAGCCGCAGCGGGCGACCGCGGCCCCGTCATCGTGGCCGTGTACGAAGACCCCGGCCCCAACTCGCTGGCCAAGTTGATGGATTTCGGACCGGCGTTCTATTTCGCCCAGCGCGACTCGGACCGGTGGGAGCCGCTGCGCAAAGCATCCCCGCGGCTGGACCCGCCCATCACCTTGGAGAGTTTCCTCGATTTCGCCATCGGCGCGGCGCAGTGTCTGGAGATCATCCACCACGGGCAGGGGATCGTGCACGGGGAAATCCGCGGGGACGCGTTCCACTACAACGCCGACACGCGCAAGGTACGGCTGATCTCGTTCGGGTCCGGGCTGCGGTCGTTCGAGCACGGCCTGACCAGCACGGCCTGGTCGGCTTTCTCCAAAACGGTCGACGCCAAGCACAAACTGCAGTACATCAGCCCGGAACAGACGGGGCGCATGCCGGCTGAACCGGACACCCGCACCGATATCTACTCGCTGGGGATCCTGCTGTGGGTGCTGCTCACGCGCCGGCCGGTGTATGAAGGCGACACGCCGCTGGATATTGTGCAGGCGGTGCTGACGCGCAAGGTGCCCAGCGTGACGACGTATCGGATTGATGTGCCGGATGTGATTGGGCGGATCATACAGAAGTGCACGGAGAAGAATGTGACCGACCGGTATCACTCGGCGGGCGGGCTGCGGTATGATCTGACGGAGGTGCAGAAGATGTTGGGGAGTGGGAACTTGGCCGGGCTGCGGGACTGGCCGATCGGGACGCGCGATGTGTCGTCGTCGTTTCGGTTGCCGGCGGAGATGCTGGGGCGGGATAAGGAGAAGGCCCAGTTGCTGCGGTTGATTGAGAAGACGGCGAAGAGCCAGTCGGCTGGACGCACTGGGGCCGGACCCGGGGGGTCCTCGCTGCTGGGCCGGGGATCGGACGGGTCGAGCTTCGGCGCTGCGGAGATGTTTGACGCGGGTGATGTGTCGAGTGATGGGGGGAGCTCGACGGGCCGACATACGCATAGTTTGAACGGGTCGCGGACGGAGACCAAGTCGAGGACTAGCGCGCCGCAGCTACAGCAACAGCAGCAGCAGGCATCAGGATCTCTTTCTGATCCCCTAGGCCCAGGCCCCTCTGTGACGCTCTCGTCGGGCGCATCAACGTTGTCGGCGGGTGGCCTGCATCGGTTGGCGCGGGGGCGAGATCGACACGCGTTTGTAGCAGACGGCAGCCACAACGGCGAGACCACGCAACACTCTGATCTCTCGCGGCACGGCGCGACAATCACGACCGAGACGTCTGGAGGCGGAGCTGGAGGAGGAGCAACAGGGGGGTTAGGAGGACCAGGAACAAGCAGCAGCCTAGCACGACAACTCGGCTCAACAGCCAAGTTCCGACGACATGGACACTGCGAGATTGTGCTGATCGAAGGGTCCGGCGGGTTGGGCAAGAGCAGTCTGGTGCAGTCGGTGCTCCCCGAGGTGCGACGGAGGGGCTACTGTGCGACGGCCAAGTTTGATAAGGCGCGGAAGACGCCGTTTGGTCCGCTGCTGAAGCTTATGTCGTCGCTTTTCCGCCAGGTGCAGGGCGAGCGGAATACGGATACGCTGTTCCATCAGGCGCTGAGGCAGAATGTACGGCCTGTGTGGCCCATGTTGCATAAGGCGTTGGGGTTGCCGGATTTCTTGTTGCCTCCTACGACAGTGGTTACTACTGCCAATGCTGCTACTAGCACTGTCGGCACTACTACCGGTACTACGACTGCTGAATCGCCGACGCCGTTTTCTGCGGGTGGTGGTGGTGGTGGACCCGGCACAGCGCGCAACTCACAGCAAGCGGACCCGAACAGGCGGGGGTCGACGCCGGAGTCGAGCACGCCATCGGCACTGCGAGCAGCCTCGGGGTCGGCGGCCCAGAACTCCCGGGAGTTTCTGCGTGCGGGCGTGTCGACCAAGACGAACCGGCTGCTGGCCATCTTCCTTGAGGTGCTGCGGGTGTTTACACAGCACAAGTTTATTTGTTTGTGTCTGGACGACCTGCACTATGCCGACGACGAGTCACTGGAGATGATTACTCAGATCGTCGGGGTGCGGCTCAAGCTCATGCTGATTATCACCTACCGACCTGAGGAGTTGCCGTTTGCGACGGTGCAGAAGTTGTTAACGCCGGTACAGCAGCAGCAGTCGTCGTCCTCGGAGGGTGCACCCAAGGGAACCAGCGGGGGAACGCACATCACGCGCATCACGCTAGCACCCCTAACGGAGGAGGATATCGCGCAGTACGTGTCGACGGCGCTGTCGCTGCCAACCGAGGCAGTCTACCCTTTGGCGCTGGTGATCCAGAGCAAGACAGCGGGCAACCCGTTCTACATGCGCGAGATGTTGAGTGCCGGACACCGCAAGAAGTGTATATGGTATGACTACCTGGTCGGGCAGTGGAAGTATGACTTGGACCGGCTGTTTGAGCAGTTCCAGGGGGAACAGGACTACGACGTGCTGGACACGGACTTTATCACGCGCCGGCTGAGTGAACTCCCCAAGGCTGCGCGGACGATCCTCGCGTGGGCTGCACTGCTGGGACATACCTTCTCGTTTGACCTCATCTGCAAGCTGATGAGTGGGCAGCGGTATCTGCATGAGAACACCGAGTGTCCCGGAGAGGCACTGGTTGCCGCCTCAGCCGAGCGAAAGGACAACCGGGAGAAGAAGGACAACAGCAGTGATGCCAGTGACACCGACACCGACACGGAAAACGACAACTCTAAACCGACCGAGAACAACGCCATCATCGCAGGCCTGCAAGCCGCCATCCAAGCCTTCATCATCGTCCCCAGCGACCAAGACGACCACTTCCGCTTCGCCCACGACCGCTACATCCAAGCGGCCCTGGCCCTCAAAGAAAGCAGCGACCGTGCAACTATGCACTTTGTCATCGCCCAAGTCCTCCTCAACAACGCCCCCGACCTGCCCATCCTCAAAGACAACGCGGCCTCCCATGTCTGCGAATCCGTCGACATCATCCGCGCCCAAGTCACTCACCGCCGGCCGTACCGCAAACTGCTCTTCGAACGCGCCCACGACGCCACGGAAAGCGGTGCCCGCCCAACCGCTGCGCAGTACCTCGCCAACGCCGTCGCTTTACTCCAACAGCCCGATCCCTGGGACGAGTCCGCGGAGGATGTGTACTACGAAGAAACACTCCAATTACACCTGCAGGCGGCGGAATGCCAGCTGTTTATGGGCCTACAGAGCGCGGCGGACGCGTTGTTGCAAAAGATTTTTGCGCATGCGCGGACGGCGCTGGATACCGCGCCGGCGTGGGTGCTGCAGTCGCGGATTTCGGCGCAGAGTGGGGATTCGAGGGGCGCGTTGGAGTCGTTAACGAGGTGTTTGGAGGCGTTGGGGGTCAGGTTGGAGGAGGGGTTGACGGAGGAAGGGTGTGATGAACGGTTTTGGGGGTTGGTAAAGCGGATTAGGGGGTTGGAGAGAGGGGGGGTTTTAGATCCGGTTGTTGATGTTCTGGTCAAGGACACGGACACGGCAGTCAGCAGCGAAGAGGCCGGCAAGGAGAGTAAGACGGACAAGGGCGGCACAAACGGGGACGAGCGCGAGGACAGCGAAGCCCGCGAGGCCATGCTGTGTTCCATCGGCGCCGTGCTGGCCGAGACGACGAGCGCCGGCTGGTGGACGGACAACACCGTCTTTTACCAGCTCGCCCTCCTCATGGTCGATACCCACTTCCGCCAAGGCGCCTACCCGCAGTCGGCCATGGCTTTCATCTACCTCTCGTTCATCGCTCTCTCGCGCTTTAACGACCCCAGCCTGGCCTGCGAGCTGTCGAGTTTTGGTCTTGACCTGCTCGACAAATCCCACGACCCTTGCGCCATGTCGCGCGGGTATATTATTTATGCCAATTTTGTCGGGCATGTGCAAGACCCGATTAGCTTATCCGTTGCCCAAGCCGACGGGCTGGTGGATTTCGCCATGGCCGCTGGGGACCGCATCTCCACGATCCTCAGTTTCGCCCTATCAGCACAGCTCAAGTTCTATGCCAGCGAGCACTACGCCGACGTCGAGGCCTTCTGCCAGTTCGGCTGCGAAGAGATCCCCAACTGGCACCTCGACACCCGCGGCGGCACCCTCCTAATCGCCATCCGCCAGGTCTGCCGCGCACTACAGGGCAAGACGCAAGCGGTCGAGATTGACCGTGAAAACGACCCGGACTGTGTCATGAGCGACGAACACCACGACACAGCCACCTACAAACAATGGCTAACAACCAACACCAACAACGGCGGCCGGTCCCGCCTCATCTACGAAACCATGGAAATGGTCCCCCTCTTCCTCTTCGGCCACTACGACCGCGCCATCGAAATCGGCCGTGCCTGCGAAGCCGACGTCGCCCTCCTGTGGTCCGCGCGTAACGGCCGGTTGGCCATGTTATTTTATGGCCTCGCCCTCGCGGGATCCGTCCTCCGCCGCCAAAGCGACCCATCCCGCGTTGGCCAGCTGCCGCATCAAGCCGACCGCGACGAAGCCGACCAGGCCCTCGTGTCCGCAACAGTCGCTAAAGTCGCTGCCCTCAGCCAACGCATCAAAGACTGGGAAGTTGTTGACAATGTCAACTACCTCGCCTGGTCGCGGTTACTCGACGCGTCGGGGGCTGAGATGCTCGGGCACCATGGCACGGCTATCCGGTTGTATGAGGAAGCGCTGGATCATGCGGCCGAGCAGGGATTTGTGTTTGAGGAGGCCCTCGGGAATTATCTGATGGCGAATGTGTTTATTCGGAATGCGGCGAGACGGTCGGCGCGGTCGGCGTTGCGGGAGGCTGTGTCCCTCTATCGGTTGCTCGGGGCGAATGGGGTCGCCGATCGGATTGAGGCGGATCATAGTATCCTGTTGCAGAGGGATATGCGGAACCCGAGAAATGTGGATCAGGCGGTGCAGACGGAGTTTGCGACTGATGCGGTGGTGGTTACCGCGGGGCAGTATCGGGCGGCGAGTATGGGCTTGGGTGGAGGGAGCGGTGTGAATATGGGGACGGGCATGATCGGGTTGGGCGGTGGGATAGGGATATTGCATGATGAAGATGGCGGGGAGACGGCGACGGATGGTGGTGGTAGGCTTAATAATACCTCGCCGGCGGCCGTGGCGAAACTTAAGGGGGAACGCATGGCGTCGTGGCGGGGGTCGACGCAGCGGAATTCCGGCGGGGGAGTTGGAATCGCAGCTGGTGGAGCTGCCGGCGGTGGCGGTGGGAGTTGGAACGGACACGGGAACGGCCACGGACACGGGATGGTGGGCGGCTTTGGGACCGGGGGCATCAGCCTTAACGTCGCGCTGTCGTCGCTCGATGTGCTCGACTTGCACGGCCTGCTGGAGTCGTTCCAGGTCATCTCGTCGCATCTGCAGGTCGATAACCTGCTCAAGACCATGTGTGAGATCATTCTCAATGCGTGTACCGGTTCGGCTACGACGGCGGCTATTGTGGTGCTGGATGAGGCCGGAAATCGCACCAGTGCTAGTGCTAGCACTAGTGGTGGTAGTGGTAACGGAAACAACAGTAGTGGTCACGGTGGAAACAACAACAGCAGCAGCATCGGGGGTGTTACCCCAGCAGACTGGTGTGTCGCGGCCAGCGGGGATCTCGAGCACGGCGTGCAGTCGCACACTCCCGGGCTACCCCTGATCGGCACCGACCGGGTCGCTGAGAACACGGTGCTGTATTGCATGCGCACGCGTGAGGATCTGCTGCTGCAGGACGTCGTCGCTGATGAACAGCACGGCGGGAATGTCAGCGAGGCCTGGCTGCAGCGCAACCCGGGCAGTCGGGCGGTGATTGTCAAGCCGATTCTGCATGGTGAAGGGGATGGCGATGGGGATGGACATCCCGATGGGGAGGACAGCGCCGCAGAGGCTAGCAGCAGACAGGGACGTAGACTGCTGGGTGCGGTGTACCTCGAGGGTGCGCCCGGCTCATTGACCACACGCAACGACAGCGTGGTTGGCCTGCTGGTGGTGCAGCTCAGCATCAGCTTGGCCAACGCGCTGGCCATGAAGGCGCTCAAGAAGGCCTCGGCTGAGAACATCTCCATGGTGGCCGTCCAGAAACGGGCTCTCGAGAAGGCGATCGCGGCGGAGACCAAGGCCAAAACTGCCGAGGCCGAGGCCATCCGCAACGTCAAGCTCGCCGAGGACGCCACCAAGGCCAAGTCTATTTTCCTGGCTAACGTGTCGCACGAGCTGCGCACCCCGCTCAACGGGGTCATTGGCAACTCGGAACTGCTGCGCGATTCCAATCTCAACCGCGAGCAGCTCGAGATGGCCGACTCTATCCGTGTGTCTGCGGATCTGCTGCTGACCGTCATCAACGACATTCTTGACTTCTCCCGCATGGAGGCCGACAAGATGAAGCTGTACGTCATCGCCTTCAACCCAGAGGAAATGGTCCGCGAGGTTGTCCGCGCCGTGTCCTACAGCAACCGCGAGAAGACATCCAAGAAAAAGGTCCGCATCGTGCAGGATATCGATCTGGGTCCCAAACCCATGCTCATCTACGGCGACCCTATCCGTCTGCACCAGGTGTTGGGTAATCTGATCGGCAACAGTCTCAAGTTCACCGAGGACGGCGCCATCACTATCGGCGCGCGCGTCGAGGAGGAGACGGACGATAGCGCTACCCTGACGTTTTGGGTGCAGGATACGGGCATTGGGATTTCGCCGCAGCAGTTGGAGAATCTGTTCCAGCCGTTTAGCCAGGCGGATGCGAGCACGGCGCGGAAATATGGCGGGAGTGGGCTGGGGTTGAGTATTTGTAAATCGTTGATTGAGACGATGATGCAGGGGACTATTCGGTTGGAGAGTCAGGTTGGGGTCGGGACGACGGCAAGGTTTACGGTCACCTTTGATAAGCCGCAGCCTGAGGTTGTGGCCGGGGATGAGCAGCGTCGGGGAAGGCTTGGGACTCATCCTGCTTCCGCGTCCAACACGACGGCTTCTACCGATCCTACTGCGGGAACAACGACGACGACCAACTCCACAGTCCCTACCACTACTACCACCACCACAGGAACCGAAACCACGGCCACCACAGCCACCCCGGCCACACTCACCGACCCCCTCTCCGACCTCTCCCTCTCTGATACGTTCACAACAACCCCCCGCAACCCCCTCCTAGCCTCCATCCCCCAACCCTCCCTCCGCATCTGCATAGCCGAAGACAACGCCATCAACGCCCGCATCGCCCTGCAATACCTCCAACGCCTCGGCTACCCCCACGTCGACACCTACGACAACGGCCAACGCGCCGTCGAAGGACTCCGCGAGAAAGCCCGCCAGGGCGTGCCGTACCATATCATACTCATGGACGTGCAGATGCCGATTTTGGATGGGTATGAAGCGACGCGGTTGCTAAGGAGGGATGAGGATGAGGAGGTCAGGAAGGTGTTGGTTATTGCTATGACGGCGTCGGCGATACAGGGGGATCGGGAGAAGTGTCTTGCTGCGGGGATGGATGATTATTTGGCGAAGCCAGTTAGGTCGGAGACGTTGAAGAAGAAGTTGGATGTTTATTTGGGGGGGGCTGCTGCTTCTGCTCCTGTGAACGGGAGTCAGGAGGCAGGATCTGGAGCCGGCGCTGGATCTGCAGGAGAGTCTGGATCTAGAGCTGGGCCGGGAGGGGGATCAGTAGGAGGGTCTAGGTCTGCGGGAGAGTCGGGAGGTGAGATACAGGGACAGGGACAGGGACAGGGCAAAGGGAAAGCGCCCGTGGTGAGTAGGCAGAACTCGGGACAGACTTCGGCGCAGGCGCAGAGGGTGATGAGGGTTGGGTGGCATATGTCGCAGTAGTGCAGGGTGACGGACAGGACAGGATGCATGTCAATGGAATATGGAAATGGAAAATAAATACAAATCACGGGATGGGCGGGCGGGCGGGCGGATGGATGGACGGAGTAGCATAGGATTGATGGGTGGGATATAGGGGTCTGGGATTGGGATTGCGGTTGGGTGTTAGGCTTGGGTTTTGCATGGTTTGCATTTTCATCATATCATCATATCATACCATCAAATCATCATCACCTCCATCTTCTTCATGCTCATCTATTATGAGCCTGCATTTTGGGACCGTACCTGCCCCTCAACTTTCGGGACTGTATCACATTCTTAACTAACTGTCCCTATACCTAACCCCAACCCTGTCACACATCCGCCCCTACTAATTAATTCCCATATGTTACATCTCCCGGATCTCCCACATCTCCCATATCTTCGACATCTCCTACAACCGGTACCACAGGGACCCAGTTGTAGAGATAGGCCAAAACAAAAACCCAAGATCTGCTAGTATAGCTTGATTGTACTTTTGGCCGATTCAAACGGTTGTCAGCGCTAGAGAGTGGAACATGGAAATAGGGGTTATTATAGGGTTAGGGTTGAATATGGGATTGAAGTCACGTGCTACGGTCCCAGAATGCAGGCTCTATATCCGTATTATTCGAGCATGTGTGTGTTGTTGTTGTTCGGCGTTGTGTGCTCTTAGAGGTGCTAATGGCGAGTGCGGTTAGGACTAGGCTGTAACAGACAGCGTTGAGAACAAGGGGATCATAGTACAAGTATGAGACTAGATCAGATGAGATAAGATAACAAGGGGAAAAAAATATAAACAAGGAGAGGAGAGGAAACATTGAAAACAGAAAATGAACATCATCAGCCATGTGGTGCATACAGTCCCGCTTGGTAACGGCGTCCAGCATAACACAAGAGCAAAGCACAAGAACAACTTTCCGTCAAATCATAACATTATATCTTCTCTATGGCGCAACATCAACCTCTATCCCGCACTACACTGACAGGAAATTCCCTTTCTAGTATCTAGCGCAAGTCTAGGGTAGGTATCTCGCTGATCGCCCGGGTTCCGCAAAAAGAGAACCGGTTTACTGTGTGGAGCAACATTTACCAACATCATCAAAAGCCACGCCGCTAGGTTCTCGCTTGCCTCTTTTTTTATCCCCTTTTCCTCCTTGCAAACGTCAAAAATTTCCGCCCGCCTGTTATACCGCTCAATGCCTTCGTTTCCATCGTGTTTTATTCGTCACGTTCCCTCGTGAGAGAGCCCCACCTAGGCCACGACTTCAAGGTCGAGTGGCTTAGGCCTTGGGGCGCGAAGGGACGGCAGACCCCTGGCTGTACGAGGTCTGAGCGAGACGGCGCTCAGTGTTTTGGCGCGTGTTCACAAAGTCAGGGTAGTTGAGGGTCAGCTCGACGGCACCGCTGACAATGTTGTCGACGGCCTCAACACCGAGCATGAACGAGTGGTCCTGGTTGCCGACCTCGTACCGCCAGCTGCCGAAGCGGCCACGCGACCAGATGTCCAGGTCCAGGAGCTTGGGCAGGAGCTGCTTGAGCACGCCCTCACGCTCGAGCGTCGGTGTCGGGTAGCCCTGCACGAACTTGCGGTGGTACGTCGACACGATCTCGTCCTCGGGCTTGATCATCTCGGTGTTGATCAGACCCTGGATGCAGTCCTTGAGCAGGTTCTCCTCGTCGACCGGCTTGAGCTCAGACTGCGACACCTCCAGCATGATGGACCAGTACGGGCCTGCCTGGGCCTCGCTGCTCTTGGCCTTGCTGCCGTCGGCGTTGTAGAGCGTCGGGAGCTTGATGTTGGCCTCCGGCTGGTTGTACGGGGAGTAGTTGGAGAAGATGGTGGCGCGGTAGAAGGGGCAGTTGTCCTCGGGGAAGTACAACTAGAGAAGCTTGGTTAGCATTTCTCGGTCCATCAAGTAAATTCCCTCCCTTGTTTTTTTATTCTCAAACTTACCCAGCACTTGTCACCAATGCGCTCCGGACGTTCACCACGGATACCCACACCAATAACGTGGGTCGAGGAGTAGAACAGGCCCTTGGAGAGGGTGATCAGCTCCTGGTCACCAATCTTCTCGGCGAGCTGGTTGACGGCCATGGTGTTGACGAGCTTGCCGTAGCCAATCGTGGTGCCGTCCTTGAGGGTGACGACCTTCTTCTTGGCGTCGACCTTAGTGACCTCGCCCTTCTCACCGAAGCGCTTCTTCTCCTCAGGGAGAGTGTTGGCGACGGCAATCCAGATACCACCGGTTCCGTCCCGCGCGGGGAAGCGGAACATGTTGTTGGGCCCCCAGTTGCCGGCGACCTTGTTGAGGATGACGTTGGAGGTGACCATCTTGAGGTTGGGCGCGGCGACACGCTCACCAAGCCACTCGCATTGCATCTATCCATGGGGCAAGAAGGACAAATTAGCGTTCTGGCGTTACAAAAGCCTCGAGAGGGTGATTGATGGGCACGTACCTTGGTCGTGGGGACAGCCCAGACCTTGTAGTTGTAGGGGCGCATGAAGACATCGGCGACACCCTCACCGCATATCCGGAGAATCCACTCGTCAAAGTCCTTGGGCTTAGTAGTGGCGACGCGGGAGTTCAGGGCAGCGTCAATGAGGCCGTCAATGCACTTGACCTGGTCTTCCTTGGGCAGGATCGAGATGTTGTTCTGGAAGGGGTAGGGAACCCAGAGGCCCTTGTACCGCACGTACGAAACACGCTCGTGGTCGTACCAGTCCTCCTTCTTCGGGAGGGCCTCGTTGAGGCAGTCGTCAAAGTACTTGTAGTGGGAGAAGATGACGTGGCCGCCGACATCGTAGAGCTGTGACGAAGCAATTGGTGGTCAGTGGTGTGTTCATGGTCGCCGAAGAGTGGGCGAGGCCGACTTACAAAGCCCTCGGGGGTGACATCGGTGGAGGCAAGACCACCAGCCTTCTCGTTGGAGTCCAGAATCAACCACGAGGGGCCGTTCTAAAAATTGGGTTAGCAAAAGCTGTAAATACACCCAGAGGGCGGTGAGCTCACAAGGTGGTTGAGGCGCTTGGCCGCACCGAGACCAGTCGGGCCGGCGCCGATGACGAGAACGTCGACGTTGCTACGAATTGCTGTTAGTCTTTAACTACACCTGAATGACACCAGCTAGCCACGAGCTGCGCCGTCCTGACACATCCATTGCGGGGACAGAGAAGGGGGGGAGGCTTACATATCCGCCATCTTGAAGAAATCGAAGCTATTGCTGCGGGGCAGAAATCGCGGTGAGGGGCTAGCTTAACGAGTGGTAGTGTAGTTGAGGTCTCAAGATCTCAACAACAAAACTAATGACTATTACGCGGCGGTTAGAGAGGCCGGGCGAGGCAGGGCGAGGGGTAAGAGCAAAAAGAGAAAACGCAAACCTTCTGTCTGGGGTGGGATGGTGGTTGTAGTGGTGGTTATGAAGGTGGGCAACCCAACTTTTGGGACCCTTGCTGTTGACTTTGGGCTCGTTGCTGGGATGGGCCAGACCGCTATCAGGTCCCGGCGAAAAAAGGGGGGCCGCGAAGGAGGGGTCAATGGAGGGGCGAAAATTATCCCAATCTCGAAACGGTTGGTCTGGTGGGGCCGCAACCGTCCGATTCCGCCAAGCATCTTTCGACCCCCCCATGCTTCCCGCATCCCGTCTCGAATCTTTTCGCTGGGGATTCTGGGAATGTCATATCATTGCAGACTTGGGTGCTGCACTTGGTTCCCCTTTGGTTGGCGCACAGAAAGCCATCGTGGTCTGTTTGTCTGCAATGCACAGTACCCAACGCCCAGCTCTGGGGTTAACTGGTCGACTTTGCAGATTCAGTGTTACTCTTTTACCTTTTTGTGTCTCCCGCTGCAGTTTCCCCAAGCTGCCCAAAAGTCCAGAGACTGGCACACAGAGAAACGGAGTTGGGAGATGAGAGAGACTTCCAACACCTGCGCGCGCAACACACCCGGGCAGGATTTTGGGTTTAATTACCGACCACAGTTACAGTACACCCAAAAGTCCAAGAAACTCACCATCCATCATCTCGGTTTGGCAACCACAGCCACCAATGAGGCCATCTGGCTTTCCGAGTGGTAATAACAACACAACCTCAGCCCGGCTTGACTGGTAACAGGGGTTTACCATCCGGCCTCGAGCCGGCGTCAGTGACGGGGGAATTGGAAGAAGCAGAAGAGACCACCACCCCATTGCAATGGCGACGTAAGCCAGGGAATGCGGTGGGCATTTTATGGCGATTGCCGCGACATGCCCCATCCATGCGCGCCCAGCGCGCTGAACCCGCTCGCGAAGACAGGGGGTGAATTGGAAAAGACAGGGGCAGCCCATGGCAGCGTGGCACTGCGTGGGAAGGTGGCCGTGGGCGGGTGGCAAGTGAGCCTTGTTTCGAGTTGGTGCGAGCCGCACATCAACTCCACATTTCTTGACAGCGTCTTGTTTCACGACTCGATCGTTGCACTTCGTTGCAGCGCGGCACACCGAATCTTTGGGCGATCACCAGAACACAGCCCGCCAACACTTCGCGCCGATCACCCACAGGGCTCCAGCGAAAGAGGAAAAGGGCCGCAGATAAAAGGAGTCTGCTGGAGCGAAATCATCCGAATTTTCTCCTCCCAAGATGAGGTGGCCGAACAAGGAGGGAGCATGGCTGACTGGCTTGACTGGCTCGCCTCCGTGGTCCCCATCGACGTCCCGGAAGACCGTCCTTCCTGTCTTGTGCCTGTGAAGGATTTCTGTCTTTCTCTCCGTGAGCGAGCATCCCCCGTTCTCTTGAGTCTTCAGCAACCGAGAGTGACGTACTTTCCGTACTCGCCCTCCCCCGTCCCCGCTTGAATCAGCGACATCCCACTGTCTCTGCCGGGTTACGGTTGCACCGACCGGCTGTCCTTTGGTCAGGCATGCTGCCTTCATTCTCCGTCCCATCTCGTCCGTGTCTTCGGCATTCCGTATTCCGTGATGCCGCTTTGTGCCTTCTGTACGGGATCGTGTTTCCCGGCTGCGAGATGGGGATGGAGAAGGGGGCAAATGGGGTTGGAATGAAAAAGACCGGGCCGACTGGCTTGGAATCGAACACTTTGATGGGAAGGTAATAATGCGGCCTGTTTGCTTCAGAACCCAGAACCCGTCATGTCTCTCCTTTTTTTGTTTCACTTAGATCGAGGGATCTGCCGATATGTGTGCTCCGGTCCACAGAATGCGTATGTTGTGTTCCCTTAAGCAGTTGCTGCGGGCGATTCGGGTACCCGAGTCGCTAAAAAGTCAAAAGACCCCGCGCCGTTCCCGAGGGGAAAGAGGGTTGCGTCAGGTTACAGTCGCCGGTAGTACCGCGAGTGCCGAGAAATGGACGTCCGAAAATGTGTAAGTAATGCACGGCCTTCGCCGGCCGGCGCATTGCAGCTCGGTACCTTGCTCGAGAGGACCTCCCTTATCGAGTTATGGTTGACAGGAGGGCTGTGGATTCCCCGACTCCCATGTCGAGGAAGTCATTGCAGCGGAGACAACGACTAACTCACGTTAAAAGTAAGACAATGCTAGCTAGTTGGTTAGAAAGAGAGACAGCCCCTCTTCATCATATGCGATCCCCTGACGGCGTTGCCGGGAGTTGGCGAGATGGTGAACGAGTTCGATCGTACCCAAGGTTTCAGAGAGCTAGCGTACGCTAGTTATCTGACCTCAGATGACGGCTTCTGCTCAAAGTCTCCAGACTCGGCCGCCGTCGTGGGCGACCACAGCCTGCGACACAACACAGCGAGGTGTCATCAATGAGCATCGCCGGGGATAAGACCCATGACTTCGGGATTCATGAGTCTGTTCCTCGCTTGCATGATTTCGTCATTGGCTCAACGACACCAGGATAAGCGATCGCCATGTGCCTCTGCCGACGGGAGCTTCTCATTTACCCTTCCGCTCCCGCGCTCCGAGATGCCTCAACAGGCACCGCAGTCGCAGATCCTCCATGAAGATAACCCGAGGCTGTCGAGTCTGGGAAGGTCGCGGGCCGGCGACCGAGAACCTCAAACCATCGAGATCCGTAAGATCTGGTAATTACGTGAAAATACCGCAGAATCGGTTCCATTGGGATCATGGATTGGCGGATAATCCATCGATCAATGAATACCCGATGTCACGGAAGCCCGGAATTTAAAATCTTCAGCCGGTGCGAACGGACGGACGTCCTCTCCCATATCCAACTTTGTCAACTCGGCTGTGGTCACTTCTCTTTCGGATGGATGCTCAGACCTTCTTCGGTCCAAACAGAACAACTTGGGAGGTAAGGGACCCAAAAGGGACTGCCGCACAGGGGTGAGCGAAATAACGTTAGCTGTCAAAGTTTTGCTCCTGGCTTGCTTTCAGCGGCCCACACACAGCCTTCACATGTGGGCGTTCGAAGGCTGCTGATTTGGCACACCACAACCCGCACCGCAATCTCGCTGCAATCTTGTTTTGTGCAAGATCCAACGGGCACAGATGCTGCTGGGTTCGTATCATGCCTCTGCCCACCCTCCTCAGCGCCGACACCCTGCCCCGAAATTCGGTCGGCTTGTTATCACACCCACGGGACGGGACGGCTGACGGAGTAAGAGGGCGCGGCGTTGCCTCGCTGGCGATCATCGCGGCAAAACCCAGTATAAAGGGCGGTCAACTCGGGGGGCCTGTCTTAGCGTTGTTGAGACTGCGGTACGAGTAACGAGTTAGAACCTCAGGGTTGCCCGTTTGGGTCGGTCGCAACTTCTTAGGTGCGTCGGTACCGCGTATCCTCGAACCCCGTTAGAAACCCGTGCCAAAAAATCTTGGATTTCGCATTGGCATGGCTGGAGAATTTCCGGTGCCTATCAACAGGCTGCAAGCAATCTTGGTGCCACCGAGTTCGGGGGTTGTCGTTCCATTTCCCCCCTGCTTCGCGCCGTTGCAGAATTGCTGTGGTCGGTCTTGGTGGGAAGCTGCTGCCAATCTGAACCATCTCCAGTGCCAATCTCCCACGTTGTGCTGTGATTGGACAGACAAAAGAGCACGCAACCTCGCCGCCCACGCCCCGCCCAAGAATCAAGGCCCACCTGGCTTCCGTTTTGAGCCAGTTCCCTTGCAATGCAACCGCCCCCCCTGAGGCCCGTGAGAAAAAGTCAAGCCCAGGCTTCGCCCCGTTCCAGAAGCCGGCTGCGACACCAACGACCCCAATTAATTACACAACGTCCCCCTCCCCAGGCTTTCATTGCATATTTCACTTTCCTGTCACCCATCCGCGGATTTATCCTCCCTCAACAAACCTTCTTCTCACTCCCACCGGTCGCAGCGGGCTTTGGCCATCCATTCGTTTTACCGTCCCACGTCACTGTGTGCACGCGCACCGCCAACCCAACAACCAACCGGCCATCTGAATCCTGTCTCATCCTCTTCGTCTCCACTTGACATTTTTAACTGTCCACGGTCCACGCGTCTAGCAATTCACAGCCGCTGCCGGTTCCAGCAACCGTAAATTGAACTCGCGAGAGCACCATCACCCAACAACAACAACAACAACAACATAAAGGCAGACACTATCAAAATGGGAGTCGAGGAAAAGACACGCGCTTCGGGCGACCAGCCCCGGGAGCCGAACCAGCCCGTTCTTCCCACCGTCAACCCTGAGGCTGAGAAGTCGCAGCCCGCCAAGGCATCGCTGCACCCCGCCGTCTATGTGAGGTGAGTACAACGATCGCGTTCCTGTCAATGAGACGAGACTAGACGAGCGGAAGTTGATGATGGTTGCTAACGCCTTCGTTTGCAGCATCTGGATCACCCTGAGCTCCTCGGTCATTCTGTTCAACAAGTGGATTCTTTCCACGCTTGGCTTCGGTAAGGCACAACCAACCCCGCGCGCATCAACACGGCCACGAAGAGACGCGAAAAAGGAGAAGAGCATGTTTGCTGATACCTCACAGCCTACCCGGTGCTGCTCACCACGTTCCATCTCGCGTTTGCGACGGTGATGACCCAGCTTCTGGCCCGGTACACCACCTTGCTCGATGGCCGCAAGACGGTCAAGATGACTGGCCGCGTCTACCTGCGTGCCATTGTACCCATTGGTTTCTTCTTCAGCTTGAGCTTGATCTGCGGTAACTTGACCTACCTCTACCTGAGTGTTGCCTTCATTCAGATGCTCAAGGTTCGTAGCCAGCCCAAATCTCTCCCCTTAGTGGCGGTGAACCAGACTAATTCGGCCTAGGCTACCACCCCGGTCGCTGTCCTCCTTTCCAGCTGGGCTCTCGGCGTCTCGCAGCCGAACCTGAAGGTCTTCCTGAACGTTTCGGCCATCGTCGTCGGTGTCGTGATTGCCTCGTTCGGCGAGATCAAGTTTGTCTGGATTGGGTTCATCTACCAGATTGCCGGTATCATCTTCGAGGCGCTCCGCCTGACCATGGTCCAGCGCCTCCTGAGCTCTGCGGAGTTCAAGATGGACCCCCTTGTCTCGCTGTACTACTTCGCCCCGGTCTGCGCTGCCATGAACTTTGTCATTGCCCTTTTCTGGGAAGTCCCCAAGGTTACCATGGCTGAGGTCTACGATGTCGGCCTGTTCACCTTCTTCCTGAACGGCATGTGCGCGTTCCTCCTGAACGTTTCGGTCGTGTTCCTGGTAAGTTCGGACCAGCTTAAATCCAAGATGCCGCATCGTGTTCTAACAAACTCGCCCAATAGATTGGCAAGACTTCGTCCCTCGTCCTCACCCTCTGCGGTGTGCTCAAGGACGTCCTCCTTGTCGTTGCCTCCATGATCATCTGGGGCACTCAGGTCACTGCCCTCCAGTTCTTCGGCTACAGCATTGCCCTGGGTGGTATGGTCTACTACAAGCTTGGCTACGAGGCTCTCAAGGGCTATGCTGGTGAGGCTGGTCGCCAGTGGGCCGATTTTGGCAACCGCCGCCCCGTGCTCCGCCGTCTCGCCATCATCGCTTTTGTCCTCATGGCCCTTTTCGCCCTCTTCGGCGGCTTCGCTCCGTCGTATGACGATGCCCACGTCTACCTTGACGAGGCCAAGAACAAGATGGGCCTGTCCAGGCTCTAAGGGCCCAATCGCGATGAGGAGCAGAGATGGGGACACATGGGTGGCAACCAGAAACGACAACATGAAAACATCCACTTGGCTTAATCCTTAATCCCCTTTCTTACTTCCATACTACACTCGATGATTTAATGCGCGGGAACGGAGGAACAGGGATGGGGGCGTTTCCTTTTTGCAGCTCGGCCTCAAGGATCATGAAGGCACCGGATACCGGACGAGCGGAATGGGCGGACGGGAAACTTACTGATGACATGAAACATGGTGGCAGTCATGATGGCGGTGGCTCACACTTGGCGAGTACATATAATCGCACACTAACACTTTGCCTCTTCTACCGGCGCCGCTCGATGGCGTCCGGCTTGTTGTTTTGCCCCTGGCTGCTTTCTTAACATTCTTTCTTTGGCCAGAGGAAACGGACGGGGACAAAGGCTTGCGCGACATAGACTTTATTCGGGTTTTTACTTTTGGGGCGTGTGATGCTTTGGAATGGAGGGAACGAGGCGCGTAGGGTGTCATCATGAACGCGGGGGTTGCTTTACGTACGAGCATGGCAATGTGTTCTTTGTGAAAAGAACCTCTTTCTCTCTTGCATTGTTTTATTTCCAGGCGAGATCGAAGATCGGGGAAAATAGACTTGTAGATCTACCAATGACTTTGTACTTGCTTCCGTGTCATGTTCTTTTGGACGAATTTGTGTGACACAGGTGATCAACTCACTTTTTTCAAGTATGATGTATCCCACCTCGTTTAGATCGACACAATTTATGTATGTACGGGACGTCATGGGTCTACCGGGCGTTTGCTTAATTACCGTGCGGACTTTCCAGTCATTTTCTTGGGCCGCAATATCTGTCAAGCTCGGTTCGATGGCCACCGTACCGGGTTTTATTGATCGTTTGCCGTGTCCTCGGGGGTTTGTCGGTCTCGGATAAGTCGCACTGGTATATACGATAAGATGCAAAGTGAACGTACGGCAACGGCTATGTTGGTGCATATCCTATCCGGGTTTACGGGTTTTATTCGGGTTGGGGTACTATAGCGAGGACGGGACGTACGGTGGTAGGGCAAAAGGCTAGGCCGGCAGAAGAGGGAACCAAGAAAGGGTAAACGTGTACTTTTTTTCTGAGGTTTGGATTACACTACATTCATTGGAGCATACATGGACGTCGTTTTTTCCCCCGAATAATGTTTGCTCCGGGGTGGTTACAAAAGAATGGGGAGATCAGCGGGCGGACCGATTACGCCCGGTCCTTTGACAAGACAAACGGGGAAGGAAGGGGTAATAAGGGCGGGGGACTATGGCCGTAGTGTCAAGGAGGGAGGATCAAGAAAGCAGAAACGGCAAGTCACGTCACGCATTTGTGGCATTCCTTTTCTGGTGAATGTGAGGAGAGATGGGTTGGGACTTTTGGAGGTCGGTGCCTACATTTACCTACCTACCCTTTGCTGAGATGATTACCGCAAAGCTGGGCTGTTATCATATATAGTAGGCTAGGTGGGGTGGTATGGTTGTATTTGTAGGGGGGAAACCGGCAGATTTTTGGACCCTGGTCAATGGAAACGGGTAGGGTGTGTTTGAACAAGAATGAGACACAGATGCACCGACAATGGTTTCTCCGTTTGCTGAGTCAGGACTTCATCGGGAGTGAAGCTCAAACGGGAAGGACGAACGTTTCGGCGATCACCTAGTGGTGGAGAGAGGGGACATAGAAACTTGCTCGGTGTCGCAGTATCACAAGTATTACTCAATGCACGCAACGGTGGCCGTAAGATCTGTCCGACCGGAACGGAGATGTTGGAACACGGTCGCTGAAAAAGCTTCATTGTTCGTCCTACACTGCCGGTTCCCATCCATTAGGTCAGGGGGTATCGTATCATCGGACATCACCGAGTGCCACAAAACCGTCCGCGCCATCCCTTGCCCCCATCCCTTTTTATTTGGTCTGTCTCGTTCAAACCATGGATTTTTGTATGCTCCGCCCGAGGGCTATGTGTTCCAGCATCCGGGTGGTTGGGGGGGGGAATGGCGAGGACGTCAGATCAGACAAAAACTTTGTCGTCAGGAGAATGCCGTTAATTCAGCTAGTGAACCTCAGATTTTTATTCCGTGATGAATGCTGTGTACAGCCCGAAAAAACCATTCGCCCCGCCCAGCCATTTGTGTGAAGAAGAAACCGATCAGAAACCTGGATAGCGCGAGTCAGTACAAGTAGTCCTTTGCCGCTTTACGGATGTTGCGCAAGAGATTTTCTGTCCCTGGTGCGCGAGGAATAAGGGGAACGTACGCAGAGGAGTGAAAAACCACCGGTTCTTGCCGCTCGTGTAACGCTCCTCGAGCACCTTCTTAACGGTCTTCTTGGCCTCCTCGCGCTGGCTGACCTCCTTGAAAGTGTCGGCGTTGAGGACAGCCTTGAGGCCCTCAAGCTCGAGGGTGTAGCGGGTGGGCATCAAGTGGTTGTAGTTGATGACCTTGATGAACGGCTTGACCTTGGAGCGCTTCTCCTGCCTCGTCTTGGACATGCGGCGGGTGATCTTGCTAGGGTACCGCTCGATGCCGGCAACCAGGGCGTGGCCGTAGGGGTGCGACTTGTTGCCGCTGTCGACAGGCTGAATGATGACAACCTGAAGGAGACGAAGTCAGTATTTTTCCTCCCTTCTCTCGTAGTCGACGCGCAATCTTCTACACATGACGCTTCACGTTCCCCCTTCGTCCTCACTCGTCCCGCATCCCCAGCTGCTGTCTCGCCCGAACGCGTCCTAGTCGCAATCGATCCCAATCCCTAGAATTCCCACTGCTGGCGCAAAAAAACAGAAACGGATGTTCGTATCGGATGGCGTACCTTCTTGCCGGCGTACCGACCACGGGTAACGAGGCAGACCCTCGACGTCTTAAGGAACTTCATTTTGTCGGTTCTGTTTTCGGGGCAACAAGGTCAGTTGAGTCGAGAGTTGTTGAAATAGCAATTATAACCGTGAATTGAGACCTCAAACGCGGCGACGACGTACCTGTTGTTTCCTCGGGCCTTTCCTAAGTCGACTGCGGGCGCAGAGAGTAGTCTTGAAGGTCGTTCCCCGAAATAATTTCCAGTTTGTGGGCTTCCAAAATTCGAGTGGGCAAACGCCTCGGATTGGACGGGCTTGATGACTAAGACATAGCTATGGTCCGTGCTCACACCTTGCGTGCATGGACCAAGCGCGCCAAGCAACCCTTGCCCCTCGGCACCTTCAGCAAGTTGTTCCCCACATGATGTTCTCGGCTTCGCGAAAAGACGGAATCTCAACAAGGCTCGCTGGCGTCAATCCTGTCCTTCGTTACCCGTCGTTCACTGTCCCGCATTTGTCGACCTCACGAAGGATAACATGGCTCCTCCGACGTACATAATTTCCCGCGCTGCGGACCCCATCTTCGCCGTGTTCATTGGCGTGTCGGCAGCAGCGCTCAGAATAAACCGCGAGGAAAAGGAGAAAGGGAGGACAACTCAGGAAACAATCGAAGCGGCTCGTCGGTAAGTTACCATGCTAATTCGATAATTCGCTTCATAGCATGGGAGTTTGCTTAAACGCGTTCTGCACAGTCGCCTTGGGTTCCCAAAAAGCTCTTGAATGTGTTTTCATAAACCATCAAAGCACTTTAGAGACAGCAATCCGCTCGAATACTACACCAAAACGCCGACCGATGACTTATGTTACATGTCTTGATCCCGCCCATCCTTCCACCCGCCCCGACTAAGCCTTACACCAAACCTGGCCCGTACTCTTTCTTCATCGCTTCCCGCACCATCTGCCCGCAGAGCTTCGCCGTCGGGTTCGTGCTCACGGCCAACCCCTTCGCGATCTCATTTCCGTACCGACCGCCCATAGCGAAATCCCGCGACGCCCGTTCCTCAAAATCTAATTTTGACCACCCAGATTCGGGTCGTGAAGCATCCACTGAAGCGGAGCCGGAGTCTAATAACTTGGACGTCATGAGATAGATGGCAGCACGCTGGGTGTGGGCGTTGGAAAGCGTCCTTGCAGCTTGTGGAGAGAAGTGGGTGTTTGCGATCTTGGGTGTGAGCAGGGACACCGCGCGGTCGAGGTCATCCAATACAATCTTGCCCGTCTTTAATCTTTCGCTGTCATCGATTTTTTGAAGGAGTGCCTGAGGATTCCTTGGGGCGCCGGAAATCAGCAGCGAGTCCCCGTACAATCGCCTCAGGGCTTGCACCCGGTTGTTGCGGGCGCTAGCATACTGGGGGTGGTCTTGGATCAGCTGGCCCAGCTTGGACACGCTGTTGTGGTATTCATCCACAAGGCTTGTTCCCGGCTTCTGCCCGGCTTGCTGTTTTGCGTTTTGCATTTCGGCCTTCTGGAGGGTCAGGATGATGTCGCGTTCTTGCTGGGACACGTCCTGATATTTGGTCGGATCCGAGACGTGGGGGTCCTTGGGCAGAGCGGGATCAACCTGGGCTACGAGCGATGGGTCGAACTCCGGGTCCTTGATTTTCTCGAGGACGTTGATGTCCCGTTGGGAGAGGTCGACGTAAGCCATGGTGATGCTGTGTGGCGGAACAGGAGGTTTCGAGACGGCGATTGATAGCGAGCAGTTATGGGCGGTCTCGGATGAAACCCAACTCAGGACTCAGATGGACAGCGGCTTCAATCGTCCGTTTGGAGTTAAATGCAAGGTCAAGTCCTTGCTGCGGCTGCTTGCATTTTACGGTGTCCGGGACTCACGGGGATCGATAACGGTATTTTTACCAATCCGGGCTGGCCTATTGCAGAACCCGGTCACAACAGCTTTATGCTGAACGCAGCGGTCTCGTGCCTCGACCGAATGCGGCTTGCGCCTGGGATGACCGCATGTCTGTTTTGAAATCCCCGTTGTTGAGCGCCGCTATCTTGTTTTTGCGGGGGGCACGGTTCTCGGCAATCTGCGGCATTGGACGGCATTGGGCGGCTGATCCTCGGGAACGGTGGGATTCCGCCTTCCCCACCAACCAACCGGCGGCCAGACATCAACGCTCCCTCAACTCGGCTTTGCGGTGTGTTATCGTCATTGTCTGCGGAACAACCGGGGTTTCATGTCATCCAGAGGAAGCCACAAGCCAATCGCGCACAGTGGGCAAAGGGGCGGCCAGTGAACCTACCAACCCAGGCGGAGAGGTGCCGCGTGATCTGAAACCGCTCTTCTTTTTGAGGAAAGAGATGCCCCAAATGCTGCCCTTCGACATGGGCACCGGTGGCTCTAGGTTGTCTTGGGACTCGGCCGGCTCAACCGGCGTTTAGCAGCGGGAGTGGCCGTGGGAGGCGGGCACCGGACATGCTTGGCTCGGCTCGGTTGACTGGCTGGGAGACCAGCCATCTCCGTACCTACGCTCGGGACATCCGGGGAAGTTGGGGCGTATGGAAGGGGACTGCTGCTAAGCCGAGTTGTTTCTCGCACTATGCAACACACATGTCAGCATATAAGTCCCGTGTCCCCCTCCGCCGCATCTGCCTCTTGGAGCATTGAAATCCGAAACCAATCAATCCAACTCACCCTGTGCGACTTAACAAGTGCTCGGCCCTCAATCTTCAATTCCATCTCTAGCTGCCCTTTAGCTCTTCTCCTCAAGACCATTTAGGCTTTGTACCTCTCAACTAGAAGATACATTTCCTCTAGATTTACCCCTGGAAATTACCAAGATACCTGCTGAGTGAGCATGTCACCGTCTGCCGTCTTGGACAACTACACATCTTCCGGGGCCTCGGACTACGCAGTCCAGAGCCCCTCCCACAACTTCAACGGCTACGACCATATCACCTGGTGGGTGGGCAACGCCAAGCAGGCCGCAGGCTTCTACACCACATACTTCGGCTTCAAGACCGTCGCCTACCGTGGCCTCGAGACCGGCAGCCGCTATTTCGCATCCTATGTCATCGCCAACAACAATGTCCGCTTCGTCTTCACCTCGCCGATCCGGTCGGCCAAGTACCTGCCGGAGGATGAGCCCATCTCGCCCGAGGACAAGCGCCTCCTGGAGGAGATGTACGCGCACATGGAACGCCACGGCGACGCCGTGAAGGACGTTGCCTTTGAAGTCGACAGCGTCGACGGCGTGTACACCAAGGCTGTCGCCGAGGGCGCCGACGCCGTTCAGCCGCCCACCACCCTGGGCGACAAAGAGAACGGCCACGTGCGCACCGCGGTCATCCGCACCTATGGCGACACCACCCACACCCTCATCGCGCGGCAGGACTTCCGCGGCGCTTTCCTGCCCGGCTTCCGGGCCGTGAACGCAACCACCGCGCCGGCGCTGAGCACGCTCCCGGCAGTCCCGCTCTCGCGCATCGACCACTGTGTCGGCAACCAGGACTGGAACGAGATGGTGTCGGCGTGCGCCTTCTATGAGCAGTGCCTCTCGTTCCACCGGTTCTGGTCTGTCGATGACAACGAGATCAGCACCGAGTTCAGTGCGCTCAGCTCCATCGTCATGGCTAGCCCCAACAACGTGGTCAAGATGCCCATCAACGAGCCCGCCCCGGGCAAGAAGCGCTCGCAGATCGAGGAGTACGTGCTCTTCAACAGCGGGCCGGGCGTGCAGCACATTGCGCTGCTGACGACGGACATTATTGCCGCGGTGGGCGCGCTGCGCGCTCGCGGCGTGCAGTTTATTGATGTACCCAAGACGTACTATGACACTATCCGCGCGCGGCTCAAGACGGAGAAGCGCAACTGGGAACTGAAGGAGGACCTGGACGTCGTGGAGAGGCTCAACATCCTGATTGATTACGATGAGCAGGGGTACCTGCTCCAGCTGTTCACCAAGCCGCTGATGGACCGGCCGACGGTGTTTATTGAGATTATCCAGCGCAACGAGTTTGACGGCTTTGGTGCCGGCAACTTTAAGAGCCTGTTTGAGGCCATTGAGCGCGAGCAGGCGGAACGGGGGAATTTGTAAGATGATTCCCACGAGGAGGAATACTGTACCTTGGTATGATTGGCGTTGTTCGTCATATGTGTTCCGGCCGGGGACGGCTAGGGGTTGGCCATGGATGGCCATGCAGGAGTGATGACTTTTACTCATGATGAGCAAGCACATGTAGAGTTATGATACCGTTTTATAGTTTTCTAATCATACCGCATCCTTCAAATAATTTGATGCCTTCTCTGCTTATCCGGATGTGTGTTCCCTGGTCATGTGTCTTGCCATGCTATCAAACGTCCCAAAGCAGTCCTTTATTTTCTTCAATGCCGCTGAACCATTCAATGATTTCGTGCCCAACGCCAACCCCCTTGTAAAACAAAACGTAAATACAGCTGGAATCTATTCAGCATCCCATTTTTTTTCCTTTCCAAGGAAATAAGACAGCGCCCTGTGAATAGAAACCCCAGTAAAGCCCCGCAAGCCCAACCCTTAATCAATGACCATGGCATCCCCATCACCATTTGTGCCGTTCCCGTGAGTCCGCACATTACTACCACCACTACCACTCCCACCATTGACTGCTTCCCCATTACTCCGGTCTTGTGCTTGTTGCCCCTCTTGTTGCCCACCGCGCGTGTCGCTCTGACACCCGGGACAATTGTGGATCATTTCGTGTGCAAACACATCACAGTCTATGCAGAAGTGGTTTCCACACACAGTGCATGCATACCGGCCGCTCTCGCTGACCCCGGTGGTCTTAGCTTCGGGTGGGACTCCTCCCCCTTTTGCTGCTGTGTTTCCTTTCCCTGCTGCTGCTGGTGCTGCTGCTCCTCGTTCGGAATTTCCCCCTTCTGCCGTAGCAGCATTCCCCTTACCCTTCCCATCCGTTGACAACGCAGATGCGGGTACAACCGGGAACGGCGCCAGACACGCAAAACACGCCGTCAACCGGTGTGCGGCCGCTTGCGCCCACGAGACCTCGACCCAGCCGCGCAGGGGGAACAGGTGGTGATAAGAGCGAGCCAAGTGGGTGCTAAGCACGAGGGTCAGACCGCAGACGGGGCAGTCGGCGGGTAGGCGGCAGACTTTGGCGCGGCAGCGGGTACAGGCGTATCCTTCGCGTGTGGGACGGTGGTGGCAGGCGCAGAGGCTGACGTTGTCCTTAGGGGCCAGCGTGCGGGAGGGGAAACCCATCATTAAGAGGGAGGCTTGGTTGCTGTGGTTGTTGAGTTTTTGTTGTTGAGATTGTGGATCTTGTTGTTGGTCTTTGGGGTCTTTGGACACCGTGGTGTTGGAGTGGGTTACGGGTGGTGTGGTAGCAGCTAGGAAAAGCTCTCGGAAGTGCTGCTCATGAAGGGCGACGGCATAGTTGGATGTGTCTCCACCGTTGGTGCGGCTGCATAGCTGCTCGCAGATGGCTACTTGCGCAGCGAGTCCCACGACAGAGACACGAATACGGTCGGTTATGAGGTGGTTCACGGTGTCATGGATATCGCCCGGGTCGCTCGACAGTAATGCGCCATAGATGATGAGGACCTCTCGTGTGCCGTGGGAGGGCGTGTGACTGAAAACCAAGAGAAATAAACGTTAGCTTTTGCCTCGCTCTTTCGCCTAGCCGTTAGGGATACACACAAGAGCGCACCGCGGCACATCTCCAACGCATTTTGTAGACTCGGGTTTCCTTGTGGCTCCTGCTGCTCGGCCCATTTCCTCAGCTTCTCGATGTGTTCCGTCGGGTTCCCTCCCATATCACTGATCCGAACAGCGATACCGTCGCGCATGCCCACGATGCCCAGCTGACTGATTGGATTCTGCTCAAAGTATTCACGCACAAATTCAACGGCATAGTTGAGCGCCAGCAGGTATCGGTTCGGGAGCAGATCTTTCTCGGCCATGGCGAAGCTCATGTCGAGCACCAGCATCAAGTGGCGGATGATGCCGCGCTGGAACGGGGTCGTATCGCGCTTCAGTCGTCGGCGCTTTTCCGCTTCAATGAGCGCTTCGATTGTTATGCTGCCATCTTCCGTCTCGACTACATTTTCCCACGATCGCTTGATGTCTTCCCACGCGGCCTTTGAGCGGCCCCCCTTGCGGCCGTCGCCCGACTTGCCCTTGCCTCGACCACCGGCCTTGGACCGTGTGCCGTAGGAGCTTTCTCCAGCAGCGGGTGCCCCTTGATGGTCGAGGTCATCGTCCGAAAGGTCCCCGACGTATTCGCCGTCCGAATCCGCCATCTTGCCGTGGTCGCAGGGGGGGTCGAGTCGTTGACGGGGTGAGTTTGGGCCTTTCGAGGCGTGCGGTGTTGCTGTGAAACACCAATATATCGGGAATTGCCGTGCGAAAAGCCCAAAATACCCGATTATGTCCGAAAGGGGCCTCCAAAAGAAATCGGCCACAGCTGTGTTTAATAGCCGGCGTGATGTTCGATGTTTCTCGTGGTGGTTGCTAAAGTAATCGCGAGGCTGCGATCTGGGCTGGGGCAGCTTTGAGTTGGAGCGGTGGCAGCCTTGCGCTGAAGCCCGCTTTTGCGGAGATAAATTTTGCACTGGCCAATGACGCGCTCCTGCCATCCATGATTTGGCGTGGGTTACGGACTACTTTTTTCTTCACGAGGAGCGCGCCGCCTCGGTTTTGTTTTACTACCTATGTATGTACTTGCTGATAGATTTTCTCCCTAGCAACGGAACGCTCTCATTTGCAACGGTAGCTCCCATAGTACAATGGTACTCTGCGTTGCGATATCCCCGGAACAATTGCATGGCAAGTGGAAAGTGACGACTGAGTGCATCGTGCATCTTGCAGCCTGCATCGCAGTATTGCCAGATTCGGACCGCACAGTTAATCGGTACGTGTACATCGCTACAAAGGTCTACACGATTGGAGTGTAGTGTACACTAGGAGAATGCTGGGTTGGATCGGATTTTAAGTTCGCGGTCTCGCGCTTTATCGGAATCCAACAGTCCGGCGAACCACGTGGAATGGACGATCCGTATCTCCGGGGCACATTCCAACCACGATTTTCTTCCGTCCCTCTGTTCCGGGTCGATCATTCCTAGGAACTAGATCTTGGAGTGTCCTCATTTCCAGATTGTGGCTATGCGGGCACGTTCTCATTTCCCGAAGCGAGGAGGTGGAATCGAATGCCCACTCGAACCACTGTCCTCGTGAAGTTTGCTTGTGAGTTTGACGGGTGACCCATTTCGGGTTTGTGGTCACGTTAAGCCCCGAGCGCGGGAAGCTAATATTAGCGTCCAAAAATCAAGGCATTGGAGAAGAGACGGACGGCTCGACGGAACGACCACAAATTTGGAATTCCGAAAAAGCTGAGTAACAAACCTAGTGCAATCTCCCGCCGTTCTGTCATTCCGTTCTTGGGGGTATTCCGACGGCCTGACAGGATTGAGTTGAACCGAAGAAGAGGTCAAAATGCTCCCCGAGAGGCGCTGATGCTGTTTTCTCCATGTACTGAGTGGTCGTCCTTTGTCATCGCACATCGGTCGCGGAATCCAACCACAGTGCCTCTGCTTGTCACACCACACTCTGCGCAAGCCACACACTGTCCGACCCTTGCTAGCCAAGCCAATCAAATGGGCAAAGCCTTTTCCCAGGGTCTCACAAGGGTCTCAGCCGCCTCTCATCGGTTACGGGAAGCCGGGCGTGACGTCATTTTTAAGAGATCAACCACCTCCAATCTGCAACGGACCTGCCCCGTTGGGTCTGGCTAAAGAAAGGTTTGGAGTTTTGCAATTCTGTCGCTAGCCAAAGGCTCAGATGTTTGGGCAGAATATTCCCGTCCTTCTTGCCGTCACCCGACCAGTTACTCCGGCTTCCCGACGGCCCCATGAACTTTAAGGTCCGACGGCGACCCTACCCTTTCTCAACGCTTCCATTAGTGGGGAGTGCTACGCAGGGCCGTTCTCCTTGGGCGATATGGCCACCTGCACTAAGATAGGACACCGAGACTATGGCGTCCCCGAGACGAGAAGGCTGGAAAAGGGGGCGATATACTCCTTTTCGAAATCTTCGATTCCTGTGGCCATGATGTCAGCGACAGATTCATGAGGGATAAAATTTGCATCGTGAAGCTGTTATCTTATTTGTCGACATCGACGGTAGGAAGGAATCTGTAATTGATGACCTGTCGTGCAGTTCCGTCGAAGCCCGGCCCCGCACAGCCCTGGATCCCGCCAGATCCAAACCGGACGGATCCCCTGCGTTGGTCCCTGGATCCCCCAAGAGTCAGATCATATGGGTGGGCCTAGGGGGGATCCCACGAGCCTGTTGCCCGTTGGAGAACGACCTCGACATGGCGAGGCTGCAAGTCATGGGCGAGACATAGCTGTATTATTTGCAGTATCAGCTACATCTCTAAATTCCTTAGTCAATATTCATTTTATTTTAATCAGACCAAGCGAGGAAAATGCAGTAGCCCAAAATTTGCCGAGTCACAAGAGGATAGAGCAGATGTTGCTTACCGTAGTGTACGATGGGCTGCATGTTCATGCTGCAGGTTTTCTCCATGCCCTGCCGGGCCCCACCCATGGACATGGACTTAGCCGAAAGCGGACAGGGGGGCGGGCTTTCCACTTGCACACTTTTGTGTACTTGCCAGTATTCTGGAGGAGACAGAGAGAGGAGGGAAGTAAAGGGATGGAGGATGAACTTATTTTCAGACTCATCAAAGACTTTAAAGTTAATATAGTAATTTTTGGGGCTCAAACCTGGCGACCCGGCCTCGGGTATTCAACATGGGGAAAAAAAGGGAGTATGGGTTTTGGCCTGCCTCAACGCACAGGTAGGCAGCATAACGTCATAGTTCCCCTTTTCGTCATGGGGGGCGCGTTGCCAACTCCCGTGGAACCCACCCTGTTCTCGTCTGTCAACCGGCCGCTCTTGCCATCTTTTCCACCTTCCCCACGCCCATTGCTCAACTGCACGCAAGTCGGCAGGCCACAATTCACGCCCACAGAAGCCCACAGCCGATGACCCTCTTTCCATTCCACACAGTTCGAAACTAGCGATTCTTGAACCCACACGACTCTGCGTCCCTTACCCCCCAATTCCAGACAACGGGACACGGCTTGCACACTACACACTGCAAGCTGCACGGCACACCGATACATCCATCCGTCCAGATCCTTTTACCCTTCTGTGCCTTTCTTTTTTAATTACTGCTACCTACTGCGGGATACTTGACTGTCACCATTCCTACCTCCTCTGCTGCTAACCTTGATTGGAAACCTCCCGGCAACGAGCTAGGTAATGAATTGTTGTTCCTCTTCGCACGCACACACCATGCGTACAACCCACGCAGGAACCACACACTTCATTCTTTTCACCTTTCATGCAGTGCGACCTGCTAACCGCAGTTTCAAGTATCGTGACGTATCCAGTGACACATATATTCACAGGGACTTGATTTCTTGTTCCCGACTATCCCACAAACACGAAACAAACAAACAAACCACACTACCGACGACCAACAAAATCCCAACCCCCGTACACTACTACTACCCCCCGATCCTTGCGTTGGATGCGTACCCGGTCCTGCGCTCGAGCCTCAGTGGCCGCCTCTGACCGACGACGTCGCTGGGGAACCCACCCTCGATGAGGCATGCAGGCACGAGGTTCTGAACCGCCGGTACTTGGGACAAGCCCCCTCGACCGCAATCGAACAGAAGAAACCCCAAATAGTGCAGAACAGACCAGGGCTGAGCTAGGCCCTGTACAGTCGACATTGCCACATTGGCCCTCGACCGAGAATGCTGTAACGACACCATCCAATTTGGCAGCAGAATCAGGAAGAGGGGGATTGAAAGACACGGCGGAACAAGATACAGCAGAACAGGAACAAATGTCGGGCGGCCCGGTGAATAGGGAGGAAGGGACCCCGCCCTCGAGCGGGCCTAGTCCGACCGCACCGGCTGCCATCAAAAAGTCCATCTCATTCAAAGACGATCCGGAATATGCACCAAGCGTACGGCGGTCGGACATCCCCGCAGCGGCCCAGGCCGACGGGCATGGGCCGTCCCGCGATTCACCCCAAAGCGGAGTTGCTCTTCGAGGGGAAAGAGGGGCATCTTCGTTGAACGCCAGAACAGAGCTGGGTAGGATTCGAAAGTCCGCCGAGTGGATCGAAGCTGGAGCCGAAGCCGAGGCCGGGGGAGATGCTGAGGCTGAGACAGAGCCTGCGAAGGACTCGCAGCGGCGGTTGGACGAGTACCGCGAGAACCTCGCTCGCCAGATGGGGAGGAGAGAGCTGCCGGTAAGAGGAGGACAACCGACTGGGCTCGGCCCAGCGAGGGTCTCGCCGATCCTCGAAGAAAATTCGCCCTCGTCGTTGCCCCGCTCAACCGGGTCCAGCACGGAACCGCTCAACACCTTGGCCACGAATGCCTCGACCGGGTCATCGAACCATACAATCCGCGGGGCACCCACGCCCACACCTGGGGTGGTTGCGGCCACACCGTCATACCCGTTCCCACGCATGACACCTCCCTCGTTCCTCACCCAAGGGGTCCACCGTCCTTTTACCACGCTCTCGCCCACCATCCCGCCCGATGGCATCCGGCCGATGAGCGAGATATTCAAGGGCCAGGACACGCTCGTGTCGAACCTCTCCACGCCGGCTTCGACCATGACCTTCCTCCCACCGGGGTGCCATTCAGCAGCCCTGGAGCCGTCCGACTTCCCGAGCCCGAACCTCTACGAGCTGTCCCTGATGTTAGCGGCTGAACCGGGACTTGATGCATGGTGGGACACGGTGGTGCAAATCATGGTCGACGTGTACCGGGCCGAACGTGTGACGCTAGCGATCCCCGCCGATTCTACTGACATTGAAAACGTGCCGTGGGGACAGAAGGCGACGTACAATGCGCATCGCGAGGACGACCTGAGCGTGGGGTATCTGGCCAGGGGCTCCAGCTTCCAGCTCAGCAGCACGGACAACACGTCAGAGCGCTTCTTCCAACCGCCCGAGACACCCGGATGGCCGGGGCCACCAACGCGGCCGTCGCTGCAGAGCCGACATTCGTTCACGTCGTACGAGGAGAACCGAAAGAGCGCAGCGGGATCGGGCGAACGGACGTTCCCTTCTTTGCGGCGGCCGAACACGTTGTTGAGGAGCAAATCCCACCATCCGTCGCTGGCCATCCCAGGTTACAAGTCCGGTAACGATGACAATGATGACGAGAGTGGCGGTAGAGACGGTGACGACTCTCAAACCACCAGCCTGAACCAGGAGGCTCTGGAGCAACACGATGCGTTGGAGGAGGAGCAGCATCAACAGCAACAACAAGACATCCCGAGCTGGGAAGCCCCCTTTTCGGCCCCGAGAGAGGGACATGGGAAGGTGCTGAATGTGCTCCAGGCACTCGACTACGAAGCCGATCCGCTGATTGACCACAACGGGGTTCTCCGCATCCTGGACCGCGGCCGTGTAGTAGCGCTCACCAGGTCGTACCCTTATCTCAACCAAGATCCGACGGGCAAGAAGCAGCCGTCATCGCACGACAGCCGTGGCGGCCTGTCGACATCGCCGACCTCGTCCAGGTCTCCCGAAGGAGCGCGTAAGAAAGGGAGGAGACCGCGGTCTGATTCGCTCTCGAAACTGACGTCGATGCTTGGCGGTGGTTCTGCTCTCTCGCCTGCGGTACCGGCCGGGGGCGGTCGGATGTCGCAGCAAAGACCACCAATACTAGAGAGGAAGTCGACTTTCGCGTCCCGGGCGGAGGATGAATCATTGCCATCAGCGAAGAAGCCATCACCGACGTACGAGGAGTACGAACAAGCGCCACCGTCTCCGTGGTCACAGTCGCCGGCCCCTTCGCCTGCAGTGCGAGCGGACCCGGCTGAGAACCCTTTCTTCGCCGACGCGGTGGTCGATGAGGAGTCGTTCAACCCTTCTTCGGCTCCGACGGACTACTCGGCCATGGTACCCCCCGAAGCCATCGGCATGGACAACGCGTGGACGGTGCTGCACATCCCGCTGACCCATGTGCTGCTGTCCCGGCCGAACCCGTCGTTCAAGCTGGACCCCGCTGCTATGGAACAGAAGATCTCGGCACGCAAGACCGGAGACCCCTCGGGCGCTTCCGTGCCCTCCCCCGAGCGGCCAGCCAAGGAGAAGCACGCGCCGATTGCGATCCTGTCCATCTTGAGCCCCATCATCCCGTACCCGTCGAATCTGCGCCACTCGCTAGAGCACCTCGCCCCGCATCTGGCCACGTCCTTTTCGCTCTGTCGGCATTACTCGAACCTCGAGACGGAGCTGAGTGGCCTGCAGAAGCGACGGCCACACACGGCAGGCTTTGGGGCGCTGGGACCGGACGGACGGCCGCTGGCGGATCCGACAGCGTTGGCCTCGTTTGCGTATCTGCCCTCGGAAGCGGACTACTCGCGCGACTCAGTCGCCGGCAGCATGACCAGCCCTAGCGAGTATTCTGGCCCAGCTCGTAGTTCGACCAACTCACCCGGCGGAACGCCCAGCCATGATATGTCGTCGCTGGGGCTTGTCTTGGATCCGGCGAACAACAGCAGCAACAAGAGACCGCCAACCTCGAGCCCTGCTCCCGTTACGGCGGACAGCTACTTTGGACCGATGAGCACGAGAGCATCGACGACAACAGCAGCGGGAGGGACGGCGATTGCGGGCCCACGTCCGAGGGGCAACTCGCGGGATACACCACCGACGCCAGGGGGAGAGAAACGGTCGTCGCTGTGGCTTTCAACGGCGAAATCACAGCAACAGCTACCGGATTCTTCCGCTGCGGCCAGCCCAACCACGGTAGAGACGGCCCGAACGAGTATCGATTCTGGGCGTCAACAAGAGTCGGAGGATGGTATTTCTCTGCCGAGTATTGTTACGCCGTCTCAGCAGCAGCCGATCGAGAAGAGCAGTAGTGGCAGTAGTCTGTACGAGGTGCATGCGGATGCATACAACAAGCAGAGTCTTAATGCCGCTGCTGCCGCTACTGGTGGGACCGTGACACCGCATCGACACACGAAGCTGCACTCGTACGGGGCCGACTTTGCGTCCACATTCCAGTCTCTACCGCCGAGCTCAACAATCGGACGGGGAATCCCACGGCCTGCGGCACCCAGTAGGACTGGGTCGATCGTGCCGAGCGACATGACGCCACCGTCGGACAAGCTGAAGGGGCTCATCCTGGACTCGCTGCCGGCGCACGTGTTTGTGGCTCTGCCGCAGACGGGCGAGATCGTGTGGGTGAACAGCCGATTCCTGACGTACCGCGGGCAGACATCCGGCGATCTGGCGGCCGACCCTTGGGGCAGCATCCATCCGCACCACCGCGAGAAGTATCTGCACAAGTGGAGCCAATGCGTGCGGACGGGCGAGCAGTTTGCCGAGCGGGTCATGATCCGGCGGTTTGATGGGGAGTATCGGTGGTTCTATGCGCGCGCGGTGGCGTCGAAGGATAAGCGTGGGGTGATCCTACAGTTCTTGGGGTCGTACATGGATATTCACGAGCAGCAGATTGCGGAGGACAAAGCGCGGGATCAGGAGAAGACGGCTGAGTCCGAGGCAAAACATCGGTTGTTGGCGAATCTGATTCCGCAGATTATTTTCACGGCCACGGAGGAAGGCGGGATCACGTTTGCGAATGATCAGTGGAAGTCGTATACGGATCAGGATGTTGATAGTGTGCTGGGGCTGGGGTTCATGGATTATGTGCATCCGGATGATTTGGCCAAGTGCCGGATTCCGTTGAGTAGCCGCAACAGCAGTGGCGGACAGCAGCAGAACTTGACGACAACGAATTCCCTCGAGCCGAGAACGCAGTTTAAGAATCATGGCCGATCGCTGTCGGCGGATTTCACGGCTACGCGGCAGTCGGCGAAGCACCTGAGTGTTCCTCTTACCCCTACTACTGCTGCTTCTCACGCAGCCCAACACTCGCCGCTCGCGCGTAACGACAGCTCAAGCAGCAGCGGCAGTGGCAGCGGTATTCATGATGGGTGTCACTACGATCTACCGACGGCCAACCTCACCGAGCTCGCGCGGAAGGGGGTCATCAAGGTGTCAACGGACAGCAGCGGGCGGCTCTCGTACACGACGGAGATCCGGCTGCGGTCCAAGACGGGCGAGTACCGATGGCATTTGATCCGCTGCGTCGAGACGGGCAACGTCAACTTTGGCAACTGGGCGAGCTCCTACTTCGGGTCGGCCACGGACATCAACGATCTGAAGTTGCTCGAGACGAAACTCAAAGAGGCGATGGACTCCAAGGGCCGCTTCCTCAGCAACATGTCGCATGAGATCCGCACGCCGCTCATCGGCATCTCGGGCATGGTCAGCTTCCTGCAGGATACCACGCTCAACGAGGAACAGCGCGACTACACCAACACAATCCAGACCAGCGCCAACAGCCTGTTGATGATCATCAACGACATCCTGGACTTGTCCAAGGTCGACGCCGGCATGATGAAGCTGAACTATGAGTGGTTTCACACGCGCTCGCTGATCGAGGACGTGAACGAGCTGGTGTCGACCATGGCGATTGCCAAGCGGCTAGAGCTGAACTATGTCGTCGAGGAGGACGTGCCGGCCTTTGTCAAGGGGGACAAGGTGCGCATTCGCCAGGTGCTGCTGAATGTGATTGGGAATGCGATCAAGTTCACGAGCAAGGGCGAGGTGTTCAGCAAGGTGCGCGTTGTGCGGCCCGATAACAATAACCCCGAGCCGCGCGACGACAAGGAGAAAGATGACGACCAGATTATGCTCGAGTTCTCCATCATCGACACCGGCCGCGGGTTCACCAAGGAAGAGGCCGACCTTATCTTCAAGCCGTTCAGCCAGATTGACGGCAGCAGCACCCGTCAGCATGGCGGGAGTGGGTTGGGGCTGGTGATTTCCCGACAACTGGCTGAGTTGCACGGCGGGACTATGGTCGGCACGGCCGTACCTGGCAAGGGGTCGACGTTCACGTTTACTGCCCGCTTTGGCTTGCCCACGGAGGTTGATCATCCGGATATGCCAGCACCTACACCAGCCGCGACGACGACGGCGACGACGACGACGACGATGGGTACTATGCCGATGGTTCCCGTTCATCCCCCGGCTGTGGCGGCTCTGCGTGCGACGGGGTCAGATAACTTGTCCCGGGGCGCTGTGGAAGTTGCTGCTGCCGCGGCTGCTGCGGCTGCTTCTGGTAATCGTACCGACGGTAATAATACGCCTACGGGTATTCCAAGTGGTACTGCGGGTATTTCATCAACCGGCACTGTGACATCCCCCCCTACAGCGGCCTCGAGCGGGAGCTCCAACTTCTCCGAGTCGTCCACCCGCAGCCGCGCCACCGACCGCTCGTCCGTGTCGTCCGTCAACGCCGGCCTTGTGCGCTTCAGTCAGGCTGCTCGGGCCAGCGGGCAGGATCTCTCGCAGATGAAGCTCGAGATGCCCCATCACCACCACCATCACCGGCCAGGCACGTCCACGCCCACGGACCATGAGCTGGAAAGGCAGAAGGACCAGAAGGGCGACGGCGGCGAGAAACAGCACAGCAGGTACTCCATCTTGATCATCTGCCCGCAGAACCACAGCCGCGAAGCCACCCGCCGCCACATCGAAATGACCCTGCCCAAGAACACGCCACACCAAATCAAAGCGGTCGCTTCCGTCGACGAAGCCGATTCCTTCCTGCACGGCGACGACGCCATCCACCCGACCCACATCGTCGCCAACCTGCCGTCACCCGAAGAGATCGTCTCGCTCATGGACAAGATCCTCAGCAGTAGCACCGCTGCCCCCCCTCCTTCTATTTCCTCCGATCCCGGTGGTGGTGGTAGTGGCTCATCATGCACCGCCCTCGCCGACGCCCGCCTCCTCATGCTCTCCGACTCGGTCCAGCGCCAAGCCGTCACCAAACTCGTGGCCGGAACCAAATACGAAGACGCCCTGACCAACAGCGACCGCGTAACCTACATCTACAAACCCGTCAAACCGTCCCGGTTCGCTGTCATCTTCGACCCGGCCAAGGAGCGCGATCTGAGTATCGACCATAACCGGTCCACGGCGCAAAGGCTGGTGGAGGACCAGCGGCAGAGTTATGTGGATATGGAGCGGAGGATGGGCGGGAAGGGGTATAAGGTACTATTAGTGGAGGATAATCCGGTGAATCAGAAGGTGTTGAAGAAGTATTTGAAGAGGGTTGGGGTCGAGGTGGAGTTGGCGGCTGATGGGGTGGAGTGTACGGAGATGGTGTTTGGGAAGGGGTGGGGGTATTATTCGCTAATTTTGGTGAGTCTTTTTTCTTCTCTCTTTCTCTCTCTCTCTTCCAAGCACTTATACAGAAAAGTATACTGACCAATCACGCAGTGCGACCTCCACATGCCGCGCAAAGACGGCTACCAGGCCTGTCGCGAGGTACGCGCCTGGGAAGCGCAGCAGCTGCAGAAGGAAAAGGCCCAGGATAAAGCCCAGGACCATTATCGCCCCTTACCCATCATCGCCCTCTCGGCCAACGTCATGTCGGACGTGCAGGAAAAGTGTGTTGAGGCCGGGTTTAACGACTACGTCACGAAGCCGGTGGATTTTATTGATTTGAGTCGGGCGTTGGGGAAGTTTTTTTGAGGGCATTGAGATCAGACTAGGGGGTTGTGGAAGGGGGTGAAGGGAAGGGTAGTTGGGTTTGATCCGGTTTGATCCAGTCGAGTTTGAACCGGTTGAGTTGATTTGAGTTTGAACTGGCCGGATCGGGACTGGACTGAATTGAATTAAGTCAGGTGGTCTGACCTGGCATCTGGCTTAGGCGGTCGGTCTGATCTGGCCTGGTTGGTCTGAAATAGTCATTAGAACTGGCTGGTCTAAAATGGTCGGTCGGTCGGTCTGCTTGGGTTGGTTTCGCTTCGCTTCTTGCACAGTACAGTACATGCATGCAGCAGAGTACATATGACGCTGGGTCTAGGTCTTGCGCGACGCCTGCTCTGCTTTTGTTGATAGGGCTATGGATATGGGGAGTAATAATAACATGGGAAGCTGTTTGCTTGGTTTGAAAGGGGGGGCTTTTTGTGGTTGATAAATAAGGTGGATTATGGGTGGATGGATGGATTACGTGGATGGATAATACGATAGGAGTGTGCGAGGGGGGAATAAGAAGAAAGAAAGGAGAGAGAGAACGCTGGAGGGAGCCAGAAGGATGAAGGAGATACGGAATTGGCTGGTTGCTAGAATCGAATCAGGGAGATACATCGAATTTGTTGAGAGTTGGGACTTCGAAAAAATACTGAGTATGGCAGCAAGCAATATGGGTGGGCAGAATTCGGGGTTGTGGTTGTGTGGTGTCGAAGATAACTCATTTTATTCCCCATATTCTCTTCCATATTCTCTCCCATTTTCCTCTTCAGCTTGCTCCCCACCCCATTTTACTCCATACTTGGCTCTGTTTTATCACGGGTTACTTTGTTATTTCTCCGGTTGGTAAGGGGGAGGTAAAGATAGGGGGTATCAAAATGGGGGTTAACTGTCTGGATGGATGGGCATGTTACGTTTATGTTTATGTTTACGTTATGATTTGGCATGACATGCATTTACCGGTCAACCTTTGGTGGGCGCTTTCTGTTGTTTCGTTTTGTTTGCTTCTCGGTTATGCTTGTTTTGTGTCTTGTTCTCGTCGGGGGTTCTTGTTTCTTCTTTATGTTTATTTGCGGTTTTCTTTTTAGCTCGTTTCGTTTGTTCTTATGATGCCATGTTTCTGTTTGATGTATCCGTTTTGCCGGATATTACGCGACTGTCTGTACCGCGGTTGTGTTTTGTTTAGTTTCGTTTCGTACGTACTATTAGCATGTGGTTGGTTGTTTATAGACTGAAGAATGATACGCGTTGGAAAGGGAGTGAAGCTTTTGGTTCTGTCTCGATCTTTGCCACGTTACTTTTGCTCATCCGTCCCTTGTATTCTCCTACGGCAGGCTTCGGAGCGAGGGTTGCCATTCAGCTTACTCCTGCTCTTTCTGCTCAAGAGAAACGGGAGATGGGGACTCCAGATGGATGATGAAGTCACGGATGCCTCTGCTCAATACTGTCGGCGTTGTGTCGATGTGTGTGTGTGTGTGCGTAAGTGTCCTAGGGGTTGTTTAGCGCATATGCATCATTGTCATGATGTATACCATCCCCCCTGGCGGTGTTGTTGTTTTCTGTGTTGCGGTTACAGTGTGTTATGCTTGGCTTAATCATTGATGAGGGTGGTCTACATTTGTATGTGGTATTGTAGTCTAGGCAGCAAATGGTATGAGATTCGATCTTCAACAGCAGCCAACTCCACGTACCTTCCTTCCCTCGCCCTAAATCCCACACAGGCCTTTATAACCTACCCTTCCGCTACCGGTTTCCAACAGCCTCCCCATCCGGCAAATGCCCAACCGCGGATGGCGCATTTGGGGGAGTGCGGGCACCGAACGTGCCCGCTTGCTCCCCTTCCTAGGTTCGATTCAGGGAGGGGGCACCCAAGAAAAACCCTTCTGGGTTTCGTAGCTGACTACGACCTCCCCGGAGGAAGTGGGCAGTGAGCTTTTTGATCATACTTTTTTTTCTTTATTAAAGAAAGAAAACCACTTTTTTGGCTTGTCAGTACAGTTGCCTGCCCAGTCGGCAGCCTAGTCTACTCTATAATATTCAGCCCGTAGTATGGTCAGCAACTTCCATCTCCGTCCTATTGTTTCTCATCCCACCATTTAAACACCCCTTTCCCACCGAAATATCCAACAACACTTGTCCATCCGTTTATCTACTTCCCTGACATCCGAATATTCCGGAAGTTTCCCTAATCATGCATATCAACGGCGCAGACGATAGCCCCGTCTATCCACGGTCAGCTGTCCACCCACCTGCCCACCGTCACGCCGGTTCACCATAACGCGGGGAAACGGCACAGATAGGAGCAGGATACTGCTTCCGGCACCAAACACCTCCGCTTTCCCATAACAGGTCGAGGTCGTGCGATGTCTTCGACCGAGCCAGGCCCTTGCATGATGGTGGGGTCGCCTTTCACACCCTCTCGTTGTCTCGCTTGTCGGTTTCTCTCCACAGTTGGGGGCGCCTACGGCCGTTGAGTCCTTAATGGAGTTATGGAGTTGGGGTTTCATTTTATGTTATTTCCTTGTTTCGTTTCTCCTCCATCTTGTTGCTTTCCAGACCCCATCTCTTCCCTATACCCCGCTTAGATAAACACGCACCATCTTTCCCCAGAGCTAGTCCATCGGTTTTCGTCACCCACGACGGCCATATTTCCGCTGCTCCCATACCATTTCCTCAAGGAAGGACAAGATCTACCTAGCTTACTTCCTTTCATCCTTAACTCTGCTTCCTGTCCCTGCCGCGTAACATGACCCTCTATACAAACCCCTCCAGCCAGGCAGTCAATACCTTACGTACTCGGTGATACCCAAGCCGCCCGGCAGGCAAGCAAACGAGCCCCCAAGACTTTCCAGCGGCTGAATCCAATGCATACCACTCACTCTAGCCGCAGACGCAGACGCAGACCTAGACGCCGACGGACGAGAGCCGATGCACAGCGTCGATCTCCATAGTTAGACGCCCGACTCCCGGAAGGGAAGTGTTTGACAGTTATCCTTCCGCCCGATTAGACGGGAGATCGGTACAAAGTATTGGGCAGACAACAGGCCTGAGCGGTTAGCGGCTCGCAGCTCGCGGCTATTTTTGAGGGACTACGTACATCCCCAGGTCCAGCGCATACCCTTCCCTTCCTGTCTGTTCCTTTTTGGGGGTTCGTTTTAGTTGGTATTTTCTTGTCATACAGTACCGGCCATTCAAGCCGTCCTACATGTACGTTGTGTCGTGACGTGTCATGCCATGCCGTCCCGCTTGTCACTGCCGTTGCAGTATCCCGTGTCTGTCTGTCTGTGCGCGCTTCTTTCGCAACGCATTCTTGGTTCTTAAGCCGCCTTCACCTGCTCCAATCCTGCTCCTCACTCCCACATCCACTTGTTTGTCTGTGCGGGTGCATTCGGTTGCGTTTATTGTAGCGCTTAGCCATCCGCACCGTCCACCCCGAGTCTGGTACTTGCCGTGTAATTATGATGTTAGGGACCGTAGCGCTGCCGGATCCGATTTGATCCGTGTTATTTATACACCTGGTTGCTTTGCCGTGGCTAGGTTGTTAATGGGATGATGTCCTGTCTCCTAGTTGAAAGGGGGCCTGCAAATAATTATCATTATTAAAAGCTCACCGTTGTTTACGCCACCGGTGTAAAGGTCTCCGACATATCAACACGGCATTGGAAAGGCCCAAACAGGCAAAGAAAGGGGCCAAACATAAACATTTGCCAATTTGGGTCTTTAGAACAGGTGAACATCCCGTTTACCAGCCCGCCCAGTTCCAAAATGGAACGAGACTGCCGTATGCCCGGACCGCCAGGGCCTCTTCGGGTACTGGGTCGGAAAACCCAATATCAAGCCGCTGCGTTCCTGACCAGTACCATGTATGACACGCCAATCCCTCGCAAAGTACTGGACATACACCTCCCTCCACCACACCCGCGGTGCAGTCCCAAATTGGAAATAGAAACCGCCGGACACTGACTATTCTAGAACAACCTCAACAACACACTCTCTCTCCTCGATGTGTGTGTGCCCCTCCCAAACCCCTGGAGGGCTGAAAGACCCCAATAGTGAACTGAGCCACTTACCGTTCGTCTGGGCCCTCCTGAACCAAACAAAGCCTACTCCTGGGTCCTGGATTCCAATTTGTGGGGCCTCCGAGGTAATCGAGGGAGCCCGGCTTGTGAAATTTACCAGCTGCTAGCGAGTTAGTGTACACGGCCATGAAAATCTCACAATCCGTCATCTTCCCACAGTCCGTAATCATCCTGTGTCAATGTGCTCTCTGGGGATCATCATCCGGCTAGACCTGAGCGATCCGGCCTTTCCATGCCCACGAATCACAGATCCTCATGGAGCCGCGCAACCGCACATCCATCCCCTTTTCTTTTACATAACACAACGTACGTGTACACGGCGTGACAGCTTACACAAACCGATCGCCAAAATCGGCGATCAATCCTCGCCACTCCATCTGGGTTCCATGTCTTGTCAGTTGTCACCCGTCTTCGCTCATACATACTACATTTGAGTCACCAATTCTCCAGCCAGCCAAGCGCCGACAGGCTAAACTCTATATGATCGTCGAGTAACCCTCTCTCCCAGCGAGCCTAGTTGCTAGGGTTCGGATATGACGTGGTATTCGATTACCACGGGTAATGCGTTGTTGGTACAGTACCACACGCCCCCCTCCTTAATTTACCAAATGGTAATGTAATATAAAAAAGCCCATCGATTAGCCGCAAGCGCAGCTCGCATATCGAGCCAATCCAATCCGGTCCAATCCGGCTGGCCGGCCGGCGGGAACAACGAGACCGGTCTTGAGAGACGTAAACGGCCGGGTCATCTTTTTTTTTTATCCCCGTAGCCGAGATGTTTACCTATCTCGGGGCTAGTTTCAAGGCGGTGTGCGAGGGAGCTTCCTCTAGTGTACCACAGAAGTTGTATGTAGCTAGCTGTTCGGCTGGCAATGCATGGTCTCGTGTATAATAACTACACTAGGTGTTGCAGGCCTCTACAGTGCCTACACGCGGCCTGTGTGGGTTTAAATGGATCCCTGTTGCCCTCGAATGTCCAGGAACATTTGTTCCGTTCGGTTGCCTCACCTAAATCCGTTGATGCGCCTTGGCCCAAAAGCTCGGCTCGGGCTCCTCTCTGCCGTTTGCATACTGGGTTTCGTAGCGATCCCCTAGAACCACGCGCTCAAAGGAAGCCTTGAATTGCCTCTGCTTGGCTTCCAGCTGCGGCCTCCATTCATAATGTTGATGACGCGCCAGTACGAGCTCCCAAAGGCAAGGAAAGTACGCAAAAAATCGGGCGAGACCAATATCCCCCAACGCCCTTAGGGGACGCGTGAGATCCATGTGGGCCGTCGCAATGTCGATGGCGTCGGATTTGGAGATGCGGTTGTGGTACTCGGGTGGGCTCCCGTAATGGACCTCTACTCCAGCGAGTCGTAGCGTGAGAGCTGGGGCATTGACCTTGTCGAGGAGCCAGCCGATGGTCGCTTGCCAGTCCTGCAGCACTGGGTGGTCATCACCCCGGGGCCAGGTCTGGGCGAGGTAGGGCGGAAAAACGAGCTCGAGGAAGCGGAGGTGGGCGAGGCAGTGTGTGGGGACGACTTCACGGAAAAACTGCGAGGCGGCGAAGCGAGTGCCTGGATACTCGTACCGGGAGTCTTCAGGTGGTTCAACTTCTTCGTCTGAGTATTCGGGGAAGCAAGGCAGGGCCCAGGTCCTGGAGGTCTTGTAGTCGTGGATGATGAAGCGGTTGCGGGAGAAGAAGGTGAACTGGGCGTCCTCACACAAGATACGGCAGACGAGAAACAGCGGGCTAGGCGGTGCCCAACACTTACATGCGAGGGAGAAGGCGGCATGGCGACGGCGGCAGAAACAGCCGAGGTAAGACGGCGATGAGCTGGAAGAAGTCCAGCAGTGATAAAACACGCGTACGTTGTCCCTATCCAAGTCGTCCCCACGGGCAGCTGTAAGGTAGGCTTTGTCCTGCCTGCTCCATGTGACTTCTCTGTCCGGGGCGATGAGATCGGTGTACTCCAGGACACGAAGGCGGAGTTCGCGCGGGAGGCCAACCAAAGTTGCCTGGGTCCTGGCGGACGGCTTGGGAGAGTAGTACGGAGGGGGCGCGATACGGCGTGCCTGGAAGACGCCGTCTTGGGCGATCTGCTGGAGGCCTGCGTCTGGTAGCTTGCAAAGCCGGATGCGACAATCTCTTAGCTGGGGGATGATGCGGAGCGGCGCGGTGACGAGCGACGCGACTTCTCGTGCCCGTTCGTGGTGAGGGTCAATATCGCAGACTAAGGCAAGCTCGAGGCGCCCGGCGGGGATGTGTGAGAGACAGGCGGCTGCCAGGCGCCACTTGGCGAGCAGATTCTGGGCTGTGGCGAACTCGTCATGCATGTAGGCATCCTGGCAGCCTGTGGGACTATGGACCAGTAGAGGGAGTTGGTGTGAGTTGCCATGAGAGCGCTTGCAGCGCTCCGAACCGCTCCCGCCGTCGTCGTCGCGGCCCTCAACGCAGCAGAACCCGTAGTTTGCGCCCCCGCAGTGTTGGTGGCAGGATGCCTGGTTGAGAATGATGGAGAGACTCGTCAGGGACGCAAGTGCTGTGGGGGTAAGCGCATGCAGAGGTCGAAGGGGTTCCGGGTCGGCGGGGGCCGTAGCGAAGGACAAACAAGTTGCGTGAGTAGACCACGGCGGCAGCCTCGGCGTGGATGGTCCGGCAGGATAGGAGCAAGCCGTGGAAAGTGCTCGGCGGTAGTTTTGACAGGGCGGCCATGTAAGTCAAATTTGTCCGGTTTTGTGCTGCTCCCATACAAGCGGTTAGGACCTGAATATGACAGGCCAACGAAGTCGTAGATGCGGTGCGGAGGTGTTGGGGGAGGCGTAAGAGCGGCGGCAATTCTTCCATGTTTTTTTTTTTTTTTTTTGTGCTTCTGCTCTCTGTCTTTTTGGCGGCATTACAGTTCGTTGGTTGTTTTGGTGTTGGTTGGGCGTTCCTTAGGTACATGTAGTACATGTGGGTGGGGGCAGTGGTTACGGTGAGTGGTCCAAGTTTAGGGTACGAATTGGATTCTAGGCGTCTCATTCGTCATCTCCGCCAGCCCATTCCATATACCTCTCAGAATTCTCGAATCGGACTTCAAACCCCTCTCTAGCAAGCCGCTTCTTCATGACCAATCCCACCGCTCCCTCCTCGTCCTTGTTCAGCTTGGCTTTGGCCTAATCGCGGTCCGTCTCGTTCCCGCCTCGCAGCCGAGCCAGACCAAAGTCAATCATGAATACCCTGTAACAACCGCCGCCGGCAGGCTGGACGATAAAGTTGTCGGGTCTAACATCTCTGTTCAGAACGCCGTGGTCGCCGACCGCCTGGACGATGGTGACGGCTTGATCGACGATTCCTTGCCATTCAGATTTTGGCGCATGATATTGCACCTTCGATAGGGAGAAACCGTCGATGTACTGAAGCAGGATTCCCTTGATATGGAGCAGTTCTGCGGCATCGGCAAGACCGATGCCGGCGTCTGGGAGCGAGAGGGGGAGATGCCCGCGTGCTACGAGGCGGGGAACTAGCTTTCCCTGGATGTCACGAAGGGTATCGTACACAGTAGTTTCGGTGGCGAAGAGTTTGTGAACTTGGCTAGTCAGAAACGCTTCATTCTGGCCGTCGTCCCAGGTCTCTTCCGTGTCCTCTTCGAAATTGGGGATGGTGTGAAGATTGTAAAGAAATTGGCGCGCTGCACCTCTCCGGACGGCGTTGATGTACTCCTTTTCCGTATCCCTCTTCCACGGGTCGATTCCATGATCACATCGGAGTTGCTCCGAAAAGCGCCTGTCGTAGAGCTTTAGGAACACCGGATTGTCCGGACTGTCTTCGCCCAGGAGGTCCACGATCATACAGCAAGACAGCGTACGGGGATTCTGGAGCTGCCGGATTCGTGCACGGACCGTCGAATCTGAGCTTTGTTTGCCCTGCTCGGGAATGACGCTCAAGGTCAAAACCTGGCCGACTTGATAATCCTCAAAAGGGGAACAGGAAGCCATTTCCTTTAGGGTTGCAGGGGGGAGGGCGCGTGCGAGTCAACGAGAGTGTGGCCGACGGCAGTTCATGACGGGAAACTAAACCCAAATCCGGTTCACGAATCCTGATAACAGCTCGGGCTCCCGGCAGGCGACCTGTAAATCCGGTGGTCCTGACCCCCGGCGCTTGTTCGCGCGCAAAATGTGCTTCGGCCGGCATAGAAGGAACGCGGCATCTCAGCGAAGAGGGCGCGGGGAGCGGGCCACAGACGTTATTGGCGCAAGCGCAGGCGAGTCGTGAGGAAATTGCCGAGCTTGTTTTTGCCAAAAAAAGGAGTGCAGCAGACCAAGTCCATGGATGCCCCACTTTTATACAGGAGTGAAGAAAGACAAAAAACGAAGAAACAGAGAATTGAAAGAAGACGAAAAGGAATAAAAACAAAACATCGGTAGTCTGAAACAAGACTTTAAACAACAATACTATCACTGTATAGATACTAGACTTCTACACAGCTATTTCAGTTATAATCATCAAACTCCGTCAAGATTTGATCGAATGCTGACGGATTCGGCTCAAGCCATCTGTTTTGGTCTGCCGCTTTTGTTGGCCAAAGCGAGTCCAAGTTTGATGTGATCCAAAGAATGGCCACACACCCCCCTTCCCCCCATCCCCTCTCTCTTCCACACCCCTCCAAAATCGATGGCGCCAAACCCCTTTCGGGCACTACCCCAGTCCATGCCAGAAGCATGGTCCCGGTTTGGAAACAAGGTTGCTTCATGCGCAGCCCTATATTAAGCAACGTCTTTGCTTCTGAATGCAGCAGCTGTGCACACAGAACCACCCACCCACCCATCCGTTGAACACCTGCAGGACGTCTCTCTGCATCGTCGCCGCTCGAGCATTCTTTGGGGGGCAGCCGCTGGCGGCTACTGGACCAATTCGTGATCGTGGAGGTTGGCCAGGGGGGGGGGACAGAGGAATGGGTTCTGATTGAGCGCATGCCTGCATTGGCGCACGAAAGCTTCCCAGGTCGCGCAGCGAATGAGAAATTGCCCGACATCCCTTTTGAGAAATTTGTTCGTGTGGACCGTGCCCCCCGTGTTGTGCCCCCTTTTGTGTTGTCTTTTGGCATCAGGCTGCTTCGGGAATGTGCATCCGTCCCTGAAGACCTTCTTTTGAGCTTGTCCCCGACGAGGTGGTTGCCATGTTTGTGCCCCCGCCGCGATTGAATGGATCAAGCGAGCAAGCTACCCCTCGTTGGGTCGAGACAAACCGTTGCATATGTTCCTGGAAGAATGCCGATCAGCAAGCATCGCCTAAAACAGAACTCCCGCAAGTCACCAATCGATTGTGGAAAAGTATGCCGCTTCCAAGGGATGTTCTGTTTTTGGAAGGCCGTTCGATTGCTCTGCTGACCCCATTGTCTGGTGTACACTACCCTGTTTAAGACATAGTTAACTAGCCCAAGAGTTTGGTGTAGAGATGGGAGTTTTCCGATTCAGGAAGTCTTGCTCAGTTTGCCATTAACACTAGCCTTGCCCATCCATCCTTTAACGACAGTCCAAGACGCGGCCCCCGGAGCCTCCCCCGGAACTGCGGGGTTCAGCATTCGAAGTTGATGGAGGGGTGTTGCCCATCACTTCTCGTTCCTAGCAATCGCAGATCTGCTCTCGGGGGCTGACGAGCGCTTGCTGTGACTTCATCCACAGGAGGAAGTCGTCCTATTGGCGACGGGGGGTTGGGATGTCGTTGTCGTTGAGTGGTGTTGTAAGGGAGTTACCGGTTGGCTGCCTCTGTCTGGCCCGTCCTTCAGAGAATCATAGCCTAATCTGGAAGGGGCCAAGGCCTCGAAAGCAGAGATGGCGGAAACAAGAAATCACTCACGACATGTCGGAGTTTCTGGGTTTCAACACATTACCTGATTTGGCTCTCTGCTTTTGGTTTCCCTTTTTTTCCCCATGTGATGATTCCAGGAATTGCAGGGAAGGAGAACAATCACATCACCACCTAACGAGGATCCCACGACGTGACGAGGGAGGGTGGGGAGTTGAATTGCAAGGAGGCTGCTGTGGGGGTTGCTTGTGAGGGTCGTGGCCGAACTAGGCTCGATTCGGAATTACCGCTTCCCCCCCAAGTTCCACGGGCCACGCCATCTCTCTCACAAGGACTGGGTTGCACTTGCCTTGGCGCTTCTTTTGTCTTTCAGCCAAAACGTTTTGGTTTTTGGATTCCAGGCTGCGTCGGCAGGAGCTTCCCGAGAGGAGAGAGTGAGCTGAATCATCCATTGGGGGAAACGCGCCATGTGGCCGGGCATGCCACGCGCCCAGGACCGCCGCCATACATATTGATGTCGTGTAACCAAAAACATTGACTCGCCGCGCCGCTCGACCCTTGTCACGGCTGCGCAAGGAGGAATAGAAACCAGCTGTGAATTTGGCGTTCCATCTTCTCCAAACGGCCTCGTTCAGCGTTCACTGCACTGAGGTGCTGAGGTATCACGGTATCCACTACCCTCGCGCTGGTGGGACCACTTCGCATGTGAATGTGTCAACTGTGTTCTCTCCAGTCATTTTCGGGATCCAGCCTAGCAGCAGCCGGAGATCTTGTCCCCGTCGAGATTCCTTTTTTTTGCTGTGTTGCCAGGGCAAGGATCTTTACACGTTTTCTGCTTTTGTTGCGTTCCGGTAGGGATGAAAACCGATCACCACAAGGCGACCCCGAAGTCCGTGCTTTGGCCGATCCAGTGCCTGTTCTTCGGGAAGCCGAGCCTCAGTCGAGCCAGACTGGCAACCCGCCGGTCCAGCCCCCCCTTTCCAGCTTCTCACTGCAGGCTTACCCATCTGAGAAACCTTGTGCGCCGGCGCTTGCCTGTCTGTCTTGAAGTAATTCACCAGAGCGGCAAAACAGGAAAAAGCAAAACAAGAACGCCGAGAGAAAATGCCGTTGTTTGTTTTTGATTCTCCCGATTTGACTCCCTTCCTGATCCCGCGCTCTGGATAATGCTCGATTTTGATTGACTCAAACACGCCTTGTTTTCTGGACCCACTTCCCAACCGTTTTCCGACATGACAACAACTAACTAGTGTAAAGGAATTTAGAAAATAAGAATAAAACCACAAAAAAATACATGGAGGTCGCCAAGATCATTGGACAAACTGTTGCACAGAAAATACAAACCCCGAAGAAAAGTGCGAGTAATACATGGATAATTTACAGGGACGAAATGCAAGGGTAGAAAAAGTACCTCATCAAACAAGGGATGTCGGAGGGAAAAATGACCTGGTTTCGATCTCTCAATGGGTATCCCCAGGTCGAGAACACAATCGCTGCTGAAAAGCTCTCTCTCTCTCTCTTTCTCTGCCCCCCTCCCATGCCGTTCCCCGGTCTTTCGGTGTTTGTGATGAGTGAGGGTGGAGTTCGAGGCTCAAAATGTGCTGCCAATTCTTGCGCAGCATGGCCGTTAGGTTGGCCCGGGCGCGATGGAGTTGTGCTTGACTCCATCGTCTGTGTCGAATGAGCGACGAGCCCAGGTTGCCGGAGACATGGTACTGTTTCCTTTCCAGGAAGCCTCCACCCCCGGCGCGGCGGCCACCCTTGCTCCCTTGGCCCGCCCGCGTTGTGGTATCCCGGCAAGGGGGGACTCGGCCGAACCCAAACCGCAACGAGTTTGGCCCCGGCTCGGCGAGGCTGAAACAACGATAAAATGAAGGCTCAGGTGCTCCCCCCCGGCCGCGTGGCGGCCGGCCCTTGCATTCCGCCGCTTCCATGAAGCTTTTCCTCCAACGACCTCGGTGATGGTGCTCGCTCCAGCCCTGGAAAGTGCGGCTGACCGTGCTGTTGGGGTTGCATGTGTTGGCGGTGCTGCTGCTGCTGTTGCTGTTGTTGCTGCTGGAGGCGGTGCCGGGATTCTGAGGGCCCGCTAGATGTGAAATGCGTTGCCGGTCGCGGAGAATGCGGGTCGTCTGACAACAATGAGGAAACCGAGTGGGCACCGGTCCGTCCGGAAGGAACCTGGGCCAGCGAAGGCGCAAATTGCGGAGCCTGGGCTTGGTGTTGAGCCGCCTGTGACGACTCGCCGCTGTCCCGCGTCGAGTTCGCACCAGACGTGGGCATCGGAGATAGTTCTCGCCCTGGTCCCAAGCTTTCTGCTCTTCCACGAAGAGGGCCAGGCCGGTAGGAGCTCAGGTCGCTTCGTTGTCGCGAATGTGCCCTCCTGCGGCCGGGTGGTGGATTGGACAACCCCGTGCTTTGTAAGAAGGGAGGCGAACGATGTCGGTTGGACGAGGACGGCGGTGGTTGTGGTTGTTGGGACCCCGGGGCTTTCCGTTTCCGTGGTGACTCTCCTACTGAGTTGAAAAAAGAGCCTGTTAGCCCTACACCAGTACCTGATTCTTCATGAGCGCGATTTGGTTTTAGACGAACCTGAGGGCGCAGCGGGTTGGTCCGACCCGCCCCGTCCTCCTGCCTGTGTTGCCGGAGGTTGCCAGTGGTGGAAATAGATGGATGGTGAGGCCTGTGCTTCCTGTGACTGTGACTGTTGCTGTTGTTGTTGTTGCTGCTGCTGTTGCTGTTGTTGCGGTTGCAACTGACTGGATACTGGCTGGTGGCTCGATCCTCCGCCGGGGACATTGGTATTGAGGTTGGGCAGTTGTCCTCCAGCCCCGGCAAGCGGTCGCCCTCCTGCACCCCCCGGCACGCTCTGTGTTCGCGGTCTCGTCGGGGAACCTGGGTAACCTGGCATGTATGCGCTCGGAGGTCCTTGGGCGGAGCTCGGTGTCGAGGGAACACCGCCGCCTGAAACGGGATACTGGCCGTACCCCTGGGTTTGTGAATCTTGCCTCTGCTGGTCCGAAGAAGGGACTGCGCTGGGTGGTAGTAACGCAGGAGGGTGTTGTTGAGGAGTGTGTAACGCCATGAACTGCTGCGCCCAGTCGACAGCCGCTGGTGAAAGTGCGCCTCCTCCCATACCAGCGAAGACAACGGGGACGAGAGGTGGTGGTATCCCCCCTTGTAGGGAGGTCCTCAGGATTTCGTGCTCCATCCTCCTCTGCTCAAGCCGGTAACTTTCTTGGCGTGTCCTCTCCTCCTCTTGTCTCCTCCTGTCTTCTTCCGCCTTTGCTGTAAGCCAGACCCTCATCGACTCCTCGTTCCATGTTGGGGGCGCTTCCGGGAGCTGGGCCAAACCCTGAGCCTGGTGCACCGGAGGCGGTGGTGGCGGTGGTGGAGGAACGGCCTGGCCAACTGATGACAGGCCCGATGGAGGTTGCGGGTGCGCTGACCCGGGGGCTGTGGGGACTGGAGGCAGAGCTGCCGGTGGAGGCAGGCCGCGATGAGGTGCCGACATGAGCCGATCGGTCAGGCCGCTGCCCCCTTGGGTGATCAACGACGGCTTCTGGCCCAGATCCAGGAATATCAAGGGGGGAGAAGGGCGAGATGTGCTCGGCGGTGTTGGTAGGTCATGGACGGGCGGATAGCCGTGCTGCACTGGCTGGTTTATGGTAAGCATTCTCGTGTAAGTTGACGAGACGAGTCAAAGAGGGAGAGAGAGGCGAGTAGAAGGGAAAACGTGTAGTAGCGGAAGCTGGGGAAGGGGTGGTCATATAGGATTTGGGGTGTCGGTGGTCATTGTGAGGGGAAGAGAAAATACTTTAAAATAAAACAAAAAAAGGAAAGAAAGAGAGAAAGCCGGTGGTAGAGGGCGGGAGGTGGAAATAACCTTTGGGAGTGAAGAAACTGGATGTGGCGGCCAGTCCAGGAACGGGACGATGGAAGGTAGTAGGCGGGGCGTGTGGTGATGAAACGGTCCGGGTGCTATGACAGAGCCCACCCTGCTTTGGTTATTGGTGCTCTGCAAAGAGAAATATAAGTACTTTGCTCAGGTAGCAAAAGGCGGGGTGGCCAGTGGGTGAGCAAGAAGTCCAACGAGAGACGTGCAGCTTCAGTGCAGACTTAGTACACCAGGCTCCAGGAGGAGTTAGTGTCAAGCGGGAGAGGCGAGGGTCCCCTGGCTCCCTTTCTGCGCGCCCTCCTCGGTACCCTTGCCCGACCTTTGCTGCGGCGGCCGACTGAACGGGGTTAGGAACCACAGCCGTGACTCCGTGAGGGATGGGATTGCGAGCAACCTGATATTTTCTCGAGTCCAAGGAGGGTCCAGGGCTGGGAAAACCACCAGGTTGTCGGCTTGGACAGGTGGTCAAGCCGGCGAGTACCAGGGGGGAGGGGTGAATAACAAGACGGCGGGGCGGCTGCAATTTGTACGAGGAGACCAGTTTGACGGTTGACCGTTTAGGCAAGCAAGCGAGCGGAAAACAATGTGGAGTAGAGAGGCGTCCCGAGGTACCCTGGGCTATTTCATTTGGGACCGGCGCGTATCAGAACAGATTGGCGCAAGGGCCGGGGGTTTGAGCAGCAAGAGCGTCCCTGAAGACTCGAGGCGGGAAGCCGAGCATCAAGGCGTTCAAGCCGGTCGATCGGCGGGCGATGCTCGCGGGAAGCAGCCTGCCTGAACGAGCGTGGGCCAGAAGGAACTCAAGATGCATGATCCTGGAGTGTGAGGGGTGGTCGTTCTTCAACCTCAAAGCAGCTAAAAGCAAGAACCAGGTGAGAATAGAGCAGCAGGGGAACCGCCTAGCCCAACCGATATCCTAGCTAGCCATGCGAGCCAGAAGAAAATGTGTGATGCCCACAGCACCGGAATCCAAAAAGGACCGGGGTTGAGGGTTGGCCCGTTGGCGCGCTTTTGCTCTCGGACGGGGGAGGTGCAGGAAGCGGGTTGACTGTTTTTAGCACGCCGTTCCGGGCCTGACATACATTACATACCTTACACTAGGGTACTGTGGAATCCATACACTATGCTCCATTAATAACGTGTGAAGTGCACGGGGCTGGCATGGGGCGTGTGTTGTTCTGGGATGCAGGGTAGATCCGCGAGAGGCCGAACAGGGCGGTTCGGGCGAGTCAACCCCCTGAATAGAGGGGTGGGGATAGATCGGGGACGAGGGGGTTCCGGACCCCTCCACACCTCCACACAGTACACAGTAGTGGAGGTGTGGTATACGAATACTGGACACTAGAAAAAAACCAGGGCCCGCGCCTCGGGCTTTTGTGGAGGAGAGACATTCATTAACTAAGGAGAACCTCAATACGTAGAGGCATCGTTCGCCGGTGTGAGTGAGTGCGGTTTGAATGGCTGATCAAGACTAGAGTTGTAATTGAACAGCACGCTGTCCTCGCTCGAGAGAAGGGAATGGCAACGGGGACTTCTCCGAGACCTGATCCGGCTGTAAGGTATGATGACCGGTAAACAACCTCAGGTACTCCCCCCCCCCCGTCACAACACATCTCATGGGCGGCCGCAGAGGTGCGCCTGACAGACAAGCCCGGCCGCCCATTTGGGTTCAGTTGCAGCTGTGGAGGGGCTAGCCGCGCAGTGTCGGCGGGTAATGAGGGGGGGGCGTTGGAAAAGAGCACATACCTCGGGAACCATTTAACTTCAGATGTTCACCGACTTGAGACGCTGTGCTGGTTCGTCGCTGCGAGGCATGTCAGGACTATCGGTGCCAACTTGGAAGACGAGGGAGAAATCAATTAAACCTCTGCTACCTTTGTGAGTTAAAACCGACAACCATGGAGTCATCTGTATCGACACGCGCCTGAAAGGCGTTTTCCCGCTTGTTTTTCTTCGTTTCTCGATTTGGCGCCGTCCGGATTTAGAACATACATAGTGCTTTGGCGGCACACCTTATGCGTCCAGTGGGACGGGAACGAGTCAATCGGGGTTTGCGATGAGAGTGACCATATATGTAGGGGCAGGGATATCGAGAGCGGGGATTTAGCCGATCTGGCGCTTGCGCCCAACGGGCGCATTGCAACCCATGGGCATCTAGAAACAACATGAGACGTTGGAGTGTTGATGCCAAACCAAGAGCAGCCCAGAGTCATGAATATTGTACGGATACACTACGTTCATGACGGCCTGCCGCGGTGAGACAATGCGGGGCCTTGGATGAGGTGGGGTCCAACCGCCTCGAATTTCTCAAGAGGTCAGGTGCCTATCTGGGTAGGAAGGGGCCGCCGGCCTACTTGAGACACCGATAACGTTCCTTCCTTCAGGTTTCCGTTGAATGGATTGCGGGAGATGGACCGTCCTTTGAGTTGTTGACCCTAACCTTTTCGGTTTGTTGATGGAAGCAAGCGCCGTCAGTCCGTCCCATGCCCCGCTCAGTTCCGCAGGAACGATGCGGGCCAAGTGGGGATGACTCGCTCGAGAAGATCCAAGGAAGCAAGCGCGACGCAGACCGAAAATGCGCCCGCGCTTGTTGCGTGGTATGTTCCTGACGGGAACCGCCGGCATTTAGCTATATTGTAACGAATTAAGTGCCAGAAAACGCCGGGACAAACTGATGTCCGGGCGTCTGGTTGAACCAAAATTGCGGTTCTGTGGGTGGGAAACATAGAGGACCAGCCAAGTTTATTTTCGGACAGATGGATCGTGCGGTGAAGCCAACCAATGAACACAGCGGGCCCTAACCGTTTCGCTTTGGGCGTCGAGACAACCTCCAGGAGGGAACCTTGAGAGGCTCTCGGGGTCAAAGGAGGACGGGTCCAATGTTCCCGAAGATCTGAATCACTCCTGTGCGCCGTAAGGCGGAGTGAGGCCGCTCTCGCAGTTTCCGCTCTCCCTGAACTTGCCTGCACGAGACCTGCAGTCCTCGCGCACCCACCTTCCGTCGGTACGTACCGCCGTGAATGCTGCTGGAAAAACGATTGCTCTGGCCGCTCATAAAAAGGGCGCCTGGTACGGTATGACAAGGGCAGTCATTGGAATGCCAGAATCAATGGCCGGGGCAACAGCGCCTCGTGGTCCCCGCCCCAAAGTGGCTTTGGAGCCGGCCGGGAAAATTACCCGCGCATTTCATCCAAACACCAAACAGCGCAAGGGACCAAACTTCAAGCTTTTGGCCGCAACAGGCGGCAGTACCACCAACGCACACGATCTGCAGCACACTTTACCTCATCGTTCACACGTTCCCAGCCCACGCTTTTCTTCCGCTGACGTTGTGTGTCAGAGCACGATCGCGATTGTGACTATGGCGTCTAGAGCGAGGAGCCGGCTCCTTCGAGCTGGTCCAGCCCGGTATCACGGAGAAGGGGAGGATGGCACCGTCTTCCTCTCAAGTATCGATTCGACCGTATTAGGATTCGAGAACTTCTACACTAATCTTTCCGCTCATCAGTTCGCTCGGGACGAAGGGGACAAGTCCTTCAGGCATGGTTGCGGCACCTCACGCACCCAACGCCCCAGAGGTACAGCAAAGACCCCTGCCCGCATGAACTTCGCTGCAGTTGCAGACAAGTTTTGGGTTTGTTCTTGAAGCTTCGCCAGTCTGTTTATGGTGACCGCCTCCGATCACCAGCTTTATGTATCTAGAAGGGGCAAGGCGCGCTGCCGGATTCTAACAATTGCTCCGCTCGTGCAGTCCCGGCAGCGGCTCATACACCTCAACAGATGCCATCATACCACCCACCACATTCCACGACAAAGCAAAGCCGTTGACGCGACCAGGTGGATTAGACAGGTTTCAACTGCGGTCAGCAGCTTGCCCAATACGGCTACATGCACAGGGAGGTCAGCTCGGCCGAGAAAACAACGCTCAAGATTGACCAAGTTTCATCAAAAAATAAATCGAGAGTATATGTTCCAAAGACCCTCGATGGAGTCAGTTACCGGTTCGAAAAACTTCCCCAAAGGGCAGTGAGGGAAGGATAAGATTGAACCCCAGTCAACAACTCACGCCATGCACACACTTGAGAACATACACCTCAGCTACGAACTCCAGCCAGAAACATCGCCTCGGGCGTCTCCCCCAGGCCAGCGGGGCAGTGAGACCGGTGTGTCCCAAGGGGAGCCGATATTGGGATGTCGGCGTTGCACCGAGGCCGGCATGTGGCTGTCATTCATAAATTCCATCGCATAAACTTATCTAGAGGTCGGTGGTTTTCCTAAGACAGAGAAGCTTTCGGCTAGAGAAAATATCCTCACAGCAGTTGCCTCGTGGACCGAATGCGAGGGTAAGTCGCAGATGCTGCCAAGAAGCAAGCCCCCTTTTACGCGAGACCTGGGTCCCTTGGCCGCCCGGTAACAACCTGAAACAGGACCAATTCTCTCCTTCAAGTAACTTTTGCGATTTGGTGGAAAGGTCCAAGTTGGTGTCGCATCAACTGCACTCACATCAACATCCGCGCGGGCCGCTGCTTCAACCTTGTCCTTCTGTTGGTTTCCCCGGAAGCAGTAGGTCCGGGAGAGCGGGATAACCCAGTTAAAAGCACACAGGCCCAAAGTTCCCAAGCACAGAATTTCCATTTTCATACCCCGTACGGAGCATGGGAGACCCCAAACCCTATTCCAACATTTTTACCCGGAGAGATGCATCCTGTATTTCAACGACAATGCACGGGCAACTGGAGTGGCTGCCGTGTGGGGGGACCGCAGTAAACCGATGCGTCGTCATGGAGGTGCAACCTACTGTTCACAAATGCCTACTATGTCGAAGGCACCCCTTGGAAAATCCTGATCCCGAATGCTAACGTGTCTAACAGAAGCAGTGAGCAGGCAGTGCTAACGAGAGTCTAATGACACCATAGATTGACGCCCAAACCCCGAAGGCGTGATTTGCGGGTTCCGCATCTCTCAAGGTTGGAGTTGTGCCACATACCGGCCGCTCACGATACCGCTGCAGATATCGGTGCCACTCGTGGAGACAGGGTTGACACGTGTGTCACATGGCATGATAGCGTTGACAGTAGGCCCTGACTACCCTTGAACAAGTCTCACGACCAACCATCTGTCCGCCTTGACAAGCACTCCGGCAGCTGTTCGGCCCAGGTCTCCGTCCGAAATGAGCGGTTGGCGGGCACCAGCATGGCAATATTCGCCTTCGGGCACACGCTGGCGGGCACAATTCCGCCGGAATGCACGCGACCGGCGTCTGGTCGCGTCTTCGGAACTTCGAGAAGGAACGAGATACGGGAGCTAACAGAACTACCGGACTTCCGATTGTTGTGCATGCAATGGCGTTGCCGTGGGACGAGATAATGAGCGCCGGTTGGTTACTCATATCCCTTTGACATTGACGGGGCTGTGACCAAGCATATGGTCGGAGGATATGTCCCGAATGTTCTCGCCGATGTGCATACCTCTTGCGGAGCTTGTGTCTATTCTGCGGGTCGCGGAACCGATATGTACGAGCCCTTTCCGATTTTCATGGGGGTGCTCCTTGCCCATTTCCCACGACTTCAGCTTGATGTGAGCGAAAGGTCAGTGACGTCCCTCAGATCCCGACGGCGATCATGTAAATCTGGGGGAAGAACAGCGGTTTGAAACGCTCTTTCCGCACCCTCAACTTTCCTCCAATGGCGTGGCCCGGTTTAACGAAAAACGACGGCACCGGGTGTCTACCCCCTGACTTGAGGGATCGAAAGACATATCACGCAACACACACACCCGAATCAAAACCAACCCGATTTATTTCTGTTAAGCTCGGCTCCTGATCGACAGGCCCTACTGGAAGGTTGCAGCGCCCTGACGCGGCCCATGTTTGGTTCAAGCGAAAGACAAAAGTTCTATTTCCGATACTCCGGTTTTGCGTAATCTGGAACCTCCAGTATCCCGGGTGGGGGCTGCTTGATGCCAGCGTCCGGACAGATCCCGATAGGCACGCGGACAGGGCATTTTCACACTCGCGGGTGACATGGGGTTCTCTCCGAGGACACCGAGGTAACGCAGGACGGCTGACTGACTGACTGGCTGACCGACGAAAGATGGAAGGGGTAGAAAGACATGACCTTTGTTTTCTGACTACGCAGTCTGATAGCGGGGGCATGCCTCCATACTCACTCTCCTCCCTTCGCCCGTCTCGCTATTATCTGCTCGTGCCTGTCCAAGGCGCAACCCACCGATTACACGATTACACTGCAGTACAAGCAGATCGTCTCATGTTACGCACGCTGTCTAAACCCCGGCCGATGTGTGGAATCTGGAATGTTTCGCCGAATGGGTATAAAAAGGCGGATCAAAGACCGCCGGCTGCTCGCAGAACGCCACGAGCGAGCCAGTCCACAGGCGTTTAGCTTTTATTACCGATCGCGACGTCCGAGGATCTTCGGCTGACGCATCGCTCTCTCTCTCGCTCTCCTTGACCCCGCAAACATTGGGTTCGGCTCTTGCGCGCGTGTATGCGGCTTGACAGGGTCCGTTTTCGGCTTTTTTGTCTTCTCGCCTCCGGCGGGTGTCGGCCCTGCATTTGTACGACCTTGTAGGGATCCTTCACCGCTTGAATATTCCTTCCCAGAACTAAAGTTATACTTGAAGACCGGGCTCTCGATGCTGTAGCAAACGTATCTCTACATATTTCACTTCTTCATACTGGTTGGAGGTACGTATGTATGTACATACACATGTATGTAACCCACCGTAGGTAGGATCGACTCACTCCTGTGGGCGGCCGGCCAACCAGAGACCTCCTAAAGGGCTGACGACAACTGGTTCACCTGTACTGTACGAAGGAGTGGGAAGAGACGTACTATGTAACAAAAAGACGATAAAGCTATTTTTGTCCTGTTGTCTCTCATTATTTTTTTCCCCTTTCGTCCTGTCTTGCCCTGTCTTGTCTTGTCTTGTCTTGTCTTGTCTCTCTCGTATGTCTTGTGTCACTTGAGCCTCGAAAAAGCCGTGAACGAAAGCCGCCACGGCGTGTATTTGCCGCCCGCCATTTGAGTCAAAAGGCGCGGGGTCAAGTGGGAGTAAGTGAGCCATATACCTAGCTTAGTGGCTTGGTAAGTCAGGTATATGTTGTACATGCTAGGTATGACAAGCAGCCTCTCCTCCCTCGTTGTCTCTCTGGCTCTCTCATACACATCCACCCTACCTAGCATCGCCCACCGCCTCTTTGATTCACAAGGATAAAGGTAAAATGGTAACACGGTGGCGCAAGATCGTCGGCATTTGGGCGGCAAAAGATGAGCGTGGCGTCCGGAAGGATGAAAGCCACGCTCTTTTGTTCGCGGCGCTTCTAGTATCCTCCACACATACACCCATAGATACCATACAAATAAGCGCCCAGCAGCGTGGCGTTTGTTTCTTCGTCTTCGATACCGGTTGTCGATGCCCGTCACTCCCGAGACATACATACCGTTCTGGGATGAGATGTGGGATCAAACAAGGTAATAAGGGGGTATTGCTATCGAGTGTTACACGTGGCTGAGCGGAAGGAGAGTCAGTCAGCTAACCACCTAGCCAGTCAAGCTAGCTCTGATGAGAGGAAGAACGTAAAAAAAAGGTTGTTAGATCTGCGCACCAAAGTGTCTTTCTTCGTAAGGGAGGGGAATATCTATTTTCTATGTTCTACGTACGGCAGGTAGTGTCTATGTCTAACAACCCCCCCTCTCCTCTCTCTCTCTGACAAACTTGCGGTAACCGGCAGATGTGGCTGCTTACCTACATACATACTCACCTTTCTCAACCTGCCTCCCATCTTTTCTTCTGGATTAGACAGACAGACAGACGGACAGACAGGCGAGCCAAACAACCCAAGACAGTCTACAAACTACCTAGGATCCAAACCGATGAAAGAACCTTAGTATTCGATATGGCCCGGTACTATTATTACACCAGTTCATTAGTAGACCAAGGAGGGAGGGGGAATGTAAGCATAAATGTAGAAAGACAGAAACCATAAGCAAGAATACCAGCTAGATGAATCATGTACATACAACAATTAGAACATGAACATGCTAGCTTTAAATTACTTAAAACACGGATACACATACACACGAACGACACATGACACACGACACACGACACACGACACACGACACACGACACACGACACACGACACAAAAAGATATTCCAAGTCGAACATAACTAACTTAATTAAAAGAACCTAGTAGCAGTAATAGTAGGTAGCATAGCAGGAACTAGCTAGCCCCCCCTTTCCCCTCCCCACCTAAAGACTAGAAGTAGAAGTAGAAGAAGAAAAGAAACCAGAACCACCAAGAGGAGAGAATAAAAAGCTAAACTATCCGGGTATCAAACTTTGCCCCTTCTTTCGTACTTAAGCCCGGGCCTGTCCTCTTCCATCTCACCACACGACACGAACAAAATAAAACCTCGTCGATGAAAGAAAGGAGAGACGGGCCAGTCGATAGTGAGAGGGGATATCACGGGCTCTTCTCACTAGGACACACCGCCTGCCCCTATCCTTCCCTTTCGTTACCCCCTTCCCTCTCTCCAGGCTATATGTGTGGTAAAGGGCCCTGGTGAGAAGAGAGAGTAGTGAAGGAATGGGATAACAAGAAAGCAAAAGGGAAAGAGGGGGGGGGGATAATGTTAGAGAAAGGAAAATGTAGGGAGCGTCTCCAGGTCAATTAGTGAAGGAGAGCGAATCATCATCCACATCCCACCATCCCACCCATCTATTCACCCGTCCGTCCAAATACCCTACCATCCAGCCCCAATCAACCCATTTTCTTACCCAGCCAGCACCCCGTGTAATCCCCCTATTCATTACCCGCCCATTTTGTTGTATTTTCTTTCTTTTACCGTCATCTTTAATCCCAACGTCCATCCATCTCACCACGACAGCATGACCACGTCCCCTAAACGGCCGTCTCCTTATGATCCTTGTTGCCATCGTTTTTTTCGCTTTCGTGCTTGTCGTCGTTGTTGTTGTTGGAGGCTTCTTGCTCATCGTGCGAATCGTGCGTGGGGTTGTCATCCTCACTCTTTGGCGTCTCGCCCTCCTCATTATTCTTCCTCGTCTCCTGTTCCGCCGTTTCCGTTTCCGGCTCCTCGTTGTCATTCACCTCCTCCTTGACGTCCTCCGCCTTCTCATTTACCGGTCCTTTTTCCGTTTCGCCCATGTCCTTTTCCACATGCTTCTCTTTTTCCCCCTCTCTCTCCTTCTCCGTCTGTCCTTCTGCCTTCTCTGCTTCCAACCCCTTTACCTTCTCCTTTTCCTTCTTCCCTTTTGCCCTATCCTTGTCCTTCTCATGCCCGCCCCGTCCAAATAACCCGGCCAACCCTTTACCCCTCTCCCTTTCCTTGACTTTCTCCTCCTTCGATGCCTTCCTATCGCCACGTCCAAGGGTAGAGAAGGTCAGAGATTGCAACATGGCCGGTTTCTCGTCCAAAATGTCGCCCTGGTCCTTGCCGACGGCATCGCCCGTAGGTCCGAGATCATGTTCCGCCCCGGCCATGATATCTTTCTCTTTCCCATCCTTCCCCTTAGCCTTCTTCCTCTCCTTTTCGCGTTCCTTCTCCCGCTTCTTCTCCCTTTCCCGTTCCTTCAGCCTCTCCTTTTCCTTTTCTTTCTCTTTTGCTTTCTCCCTCGCCTTGACCTTCTCCTTCTCCTCCACACTCTTCTTCTCCTTTTCCTTGTCTTTATCCCTTCCTCTCTTTCCATCTCTTTCCCGTCCCCACTCCCATTCCCACTCCCATAACCCCCTTCGTCCCTGATGTCGCCTCCACTCTGCTCGTGCAACCTTCATCAGCAAATCCTCATCGGATACTGGGATCCACGCTGTAAGAGCCTTCATGGCATTCTCAAAATCCGAGTCCAGCAGCACATCACGCAGTGCGTGAATCAGCGCGGCCGCGGTAGCATGTAGCACGTCTAACCCCTTAGGATGTTGGGCGGTTTGGGCGGCGCTGTCTTCTGCCTGAGGAGCTGTGGCGTTGTAATACACTGGATTGGACATCGTAGCAGTGATGGGCGAGGTGGAGGCTCCAGGGAGGATCGTGGTGCCGGGGAAAATAGTGGTAGGTTCCGGCGGGCAGTCGCCGAGGAGCATGAAAACGTCCCAGACGCGCAATTGGGCGGGGAAAGGAATGGAGAGATTGAAGAGGGTTAAGTACCAACGGGTCCCGTAGGCGGTGGCATCAATGGCGAGTTCGTTCTGTCTAGCGTTAGTACACCTAGGCAATGGATAATCCAGAAGAGAAACATAGGAACATAGAAACATACAAGCTTGTTCTTAATCTCCTTCCCCGACCCGCCCAACCACCTCCCCTCAAAATCCGCCAACGCCGCCATCAGCCCCGCGAATCCCGGCTGATACAGTCTCTCCAGCCCGCGATACCGCCACAACCTAACCATCATCACAAAGGCCCTCTCCTCATCAAAGTAGCACAACAGCGTGGCCGCCAGGCTCGCCATCCCCTGCACATACCCGGTGCCGGGGAAATAGAGTGAGATGGCATGCAACACCCGAAACAGTAACCGCTGGCCGCCACGATATCGGCGACGGAACATGATATGGCCATTGACCGTCCGCGGCACGTCCAGGTCAATCTGCACATCGTCCGGGGACGCAACAGCCTGCAAACGGCGGAACTCGGCGATCAGGTAGTCGTCCGTCTCACGTGGAGTGCGGTTGTGTTCGTGGTTGTGGTTGTGCGCGGCCGCGCTAGCACCAAGGAAGGCGTACCAAGCCGCTGACCGCCAACAGTCGGGAATACCCTTCCACACACGGTCAATCAGCTTGGGTGACGTTGTATCGAAGGTGTAGGACATGCCCTGGCCTTGCGGACCCTGGATCTGCTGTGGATTAAACTGCGATTGGGCCTGGGGCTGAGACTGTTGCGTTTGGATTTGAGTGAGATGGTCAGACTCTGCGTCAGCAGCCGTAACAATGGTGGTTTTGACGGCGGTTGCCATCTTGCGCCACTTCTCGGAACGCTCCGCTTCCTTGCGCTTCTGTGCCTCGATCAACCGACCCATCTTCTCGTCATCTGATATGCCAGTCAACCCAGCCTGCAGGGAAAGCATCTCGCTGGCCTCATCCATCCAGCGGCGCTCACGGTTGTGCGGTAGGTGGTTAGTAGCAGAGCGGATCGACGAGCGGGTTGACCGGCGTGAGAGGGACGACAGCTCTGAGGTGTAGGTGTTGAGGGAACGCGCCGAGACCTTGCGACTCGGTGGCCGGGCGAAACCGCCCGGCAGCGAGGCCGAGTACGACGTAGACGGGCGCTTGGTCAACACATTCCTCTGTCTGACCGAGAATGGCGAGGTCCGCATCGTAACGGGTTCGGCGCGTGACGACGTGGGGCGCTTGGGGTTAATGAAACCATAGCGGTCGACCTCAGAACCTTCGAGGTCGGCCCAATCCTCGATGCCACCGGCGCGCTCATATTCGTGACGAACGTAACTATCTCGTAGAGGCGACAAAGAATTGACCGAGCGAGGAGTAATCGACGTAGCTTGGGGTTGTTGACTGGCGCCGGGAGGAAGATCGGATGCTGAAGGAGGACCGGATGGAAGAGATGAACTGAATCACGGGGGACGTGGGTCGATTAGCAAAAACAATTCGGGAAAAGTGTCTCCAGTGAGAAAGCAGAGAGAGTGTGTGAGAGAGGGTGGTTCTGAGAGTGACAGAGTGGGGGGAAGACGGCAGGAAGACGACTCTGAGGAAGAGATCAAGCACCAGAAGGACGAGGTAGGCAAAAGGAAAAAGGAAAAAACTCAAGGAAACCGTACACGACGTTCTCTTCCTCCTCCGACGGGACTTCCGCAGTAGGTTCGAGGCGGTCCGGGTAGGAGACGCGCCCCCCATCTTCCCAGTTCAGGTCGTCGCCGGATTCATAGAGCGATCTCACCTTTTGTGATTCCCTCTCTACATCCATCGACGAGACGCGAATGCTGGGCACGGACGGCGCGTCGGCGGGAGGCCCCGCGCGGGATCTGTCGGGCGCCGCGGCATTGGTCTCGTCGTCGGCCATTGTCGTAGTTCCAGCGCGCGCGTGGGAGGAGGAGGGTTCGATGGTGCGAGTCGCGTATTGATGTTGTTGATGATGTTGTTGTTGTGGGGATTGGCCGTGCGCGGGGTGCGAGGTGGAAGAAGACATCAGAGATCGCAGAATGCCGTTCTTGCCCCCAAACATGATGCTTCCCCTCGTGGAGAAGGACACGGCGTTGAAGTCGTCCCAGAGTTGATCATCGGGGATCCGAGTGGTGATCGGCGCAAAGGATTTGTCGGCCGACGAGAAAGGGGCAGAAACCGAGGCCACGGGATGTTCCCTGGTGGTCAGCATGCTAATGTTAATGTTCGCGGGCCCCTGGCCTGTCGGCAATGCCCCTGATGGTTCCGTGAGGGGCCACCCCTGTGGGGCAGGCCTGGACAGTTTAGGGGATTTTGGCGGCCCAGAAGTGCCAGCCGAGCCCCGCACTACGGGGCCCGGCTCGCTCATCTGGAGCGCTGCAGCCCTGTCTGTGCCAAGCATCCCGGCACTTGAGGTCACCATCTTTTTTCGCAGTCGTCTCGATCCGTCCGGAGCCATGGCAAAACTCTTGCCCTGTTTCTCGGTCGTGAAGGAGGTGCGTCGCCTGAGCGAAGGGGGCGTTCGAGTGGGCGAGCTGAGGGAGGATTCCACGCTTGGCCGGGGCCGGTTTTCGCTCTTTTGGACTGGAGGTTCGACCTGCTCAGGAACGGGAGCCGGGATGGAAACCGTCAGCGGCCGGGGCACAAGCCGGCGGTCCAGGGTCCTCCTGGGGGGGTTTAATGGGTACCGCGGCTGAGGCGTGCTAGGTAATGCGGCGATTTCGTCATCGACGGAGTACACCGACGGCGTGTCAGGAACATCAGCGTCTGAAGCGTCAGAAAGGTCAGAAACATCGGCGGCGTTAGCAACGTCGGTAGTGTCGGTCGCCAAATCGTCGAGGAATATCTTTTGCTGCAGCCGGATGGGGTGCTGCTCAATGTCCTCAACGTCGTCCTCCCGGAGCGTGATCGACGACGAGGCCGTCAGTGTGCCCGAGTTCCTCTTCTTCCACTCCTCGTCACTGTCGCTCAGCTGCTGCGAGGGTGGTGATGGCGGTGATGGCGAGGTCGTTCTTCTCTGTGCACGGAACAGCGGATGCTCTTCTTGCGGCGGTGCAATGGGCGGGATGATAGAGATGGGCGATGTTGGGGATCTAGGGGACCGCGGAGACCGAGGAGACCTAGGAAGAGAAGATGGCGGGGAGACTGTTGGTGCAGTGCGGACCATCAACCGACGCGGGTTTCGAGGAGGGGGGAGCGGAATGGGGGGCTCGGCCTGTTTGGTCTGCTCGTAGCGCAGTGCAACCAGGCCGGTGTCGTCTCGGAACGAGGTGAGACGAGCCGCTGGTGGCCTCGGCCCGTTGCGTACACTGCCAAATCTCTGAGGTGCCATTGTTGCGAGTTTCGTTGGTGGGTGTTTGCTGCTGCTGTAACTCTTTCCAGTTTTGGAATGATATGTTCCAACAGCCACGGCAAAGGGATAGCTTGGTCCAAACTTCGTTCTTTCCCAATTCGGTTGTGTAAGTTGAGGTCCAAGTTGAACCAAGGCGACCAGAAGGTGTACCACGATGTGAGATGGAAGCTGGGAGACGGGCAGCGATGTGTGTGCCCGTTGGCGTAAGAGGAGAATTTGTGTTAAATAGATTGTCTTGGTTTTCTGTTTGTACCGTGGTGGTCGTCCGTTCCACCTTATGGTTGCGGAGCCGGTCTCTCACTTGCACTGAGAGGTCACAAGATGTTTCACTGCGGGGGGCCAAGGTGTCCAAATTGAAACAAGCCGACGGGAGGTTTGCTCGAGGTCGAGAACGGCAGTTCATCTAAGTTGCCAGAAATAGTTTGACCGGGTCGAGGCGGCAGGGAGGGGGCTTCTTAATTATCCCCTCATGCCGTCCGTGAACACCGGGAAGCAGAGAGACACTTCCTAGTCCAAGGTAGGCGAACCGTGGTCACTCCCACTTCCGTTTCCTCTTCCACCAGTCACACTTGCGGCCATTTTAGACCCTGTTTCTATCCGTTTTGCGTTGGAGGATAGTGCAGGAGTCCAATGGGATCTTCCGGGGCTTCTCAAAGGGACGTGGCTTTCAGTCGTCCCCGCAGGACTAGTCTTTCATCGAAAACCTGGTAGGTTGCGGGTGCGGTGAGAAAAGCTCCGTGAATTGATATTCTCGGTCCGGTCCATCCACAACCTGCGACAAATGCCCCACCAACCGTCTTCTTGTTGCTGCCCGCCGTTGGCTGCCGGGAGTCACCCACTGCGTAACTTGAGGGCTGGGTGTGCCTTCCCCAATTTACCGGGAGAAGCTTTGCACTTTCTTCCATTGCAACGCCAACCCTGGCCGATGCGAGCCAAGCCCGTTGAACCCTCGATTACCGGGCGGGTCCCATGCCGGTCTCTGCCAAACCCGGGCACTCGAATCCAGAGTTGCCGATCGCGAGAATTAGTTTTGATAGCGAAGCTGCTCGGTGTCGATGGTCTGATATCATACATCGGCCGATCAAGAAGGGCTTGCTGGCTCGCTAGAGTATCTTGGACGAGGTCCGTTATGGGTGCGCGACACACATGTGCCTTGTGCTACTAACACTTACACATTGGAGGACCAATTGGGAAACTGCGTTTCATTTCGGCAGTTGTGGGCGAAACGGCCGGGGGGAATCACAACGCCCACAAATCGTTTGTTTCTTTCTTTTCTCCTCCTTGCCACCTTTTTTGTTTTCCGTTTCCCCGTTTCATCCCCCACTCCACGAACTTTTTTAAGCCGGTTTACACTATACCATCATCCCGCATACCCCATAGCTATCGCCATTTATGGCTGGGCCCAAGCAAGCCTTGATTAAAGGGCTCGCGGCACCCCACTCCGTTTCCCCGCGTTTGTGGGCGGCAGTGGGGTAAAAAGGTACCTCACTGAATCTCCTGCTTCACACCCCAACTCACTCATTCAAACAAAACTTTGGTCGCAAAAAAGGTGCCCGTTTGAATCGCCAAAGCATACACCTCATAGCCATCGCGCAGTCCCCGGGCATCCGGGCAAGATTCCAGTTGAGCAACTTGTATTGCGTGTTGTGTCGTTGTGTGACCCCTCATCTTGACCCTCCCCACCAACGGAATCCCAGGGTCCGGCTCGACGATGCGGTGCGGGTGCCGGCGCGGCGCCATCAAGCGATTGGACCCGCGCGACGTGGCATCAATTTAGCCAGCCCATCCCTCCCCCATTTCCCCCGGGTCTTGGCCATTTCAGGCCCGGAACGGAGGACGGTCGGAGCCGTTAGGGTGGTTGAGGTTGCCTCCTACCGGCCGCATGTCTCAGACGTCTTTTTTTCTTGTCTTCTTTGTCTGCCTCCGTGCTGCCTTTTTCGGGCCGGCGGCTTTCTTGGTTCCTCGTGGCGAACAAAGGACCTAGGATTGTGACAACCTTCTGCGCAGATTTTCGGGTTTTCATCAGCGAAGGGCCAAGTTGACCTATGTCTAGGTTGTCATTCGAACGTTATGCCGAAGAAAGAAACATCTCTGACTCCGTTCTCAACGTCAAGACCCAGCACCGTTTTCCCATTCTGGATATTGGGCCTCAACGAAGTCTCGATCGCTCGCTGCATGTCGGTGCCGTTCTGTGTCACCTGCTTCGCAACGCAAGCGAGGCATGCAGCTACCCCGTTCTTAGCCCCAAACCCAATTCCAAACCCCAATGCACAAATATCTTCCCCCCCGCCCTCTGATTGCTCGCTCGCAAACCGTTCCTGAACCACTCCTCAGCGGCCAGCTGTCCACCTCATTTCCCGTCATGCACACTTCCACGGCCTCGCTCAACCCCGACTCAATGGAAGACTTAACAACTCATGAAAAAACGCTCGTGTAGAATTTTCAACCCCGCCGTCGCCCACCGTCGTCCCGTCTGAGCCCAACGCAACATTCCAATATTCCTCCAGTTCATCACACCAAAGAACCCCCCCGGTCCTCCCACGCCTTCAATGAACAGCGGACCTCGAGGAAATGAGATCCCCAAAAATCAACGCCATGAAACCCATACAGTCCCAACCACGTCGCCGATATTCCCCATGCTCGGCGCGTTTATCGATTCCACGCTTCAAACCTCCGCATCCCACGGCCGCTTCTGCCAGCGTTTTCGCGCAGGATTCCACCCGACGTTCACTCAACATCATGCCGAGCGGCTATCAACATTTCCCTTTGCCCACAATCGGCGCCGAGGATCATAAAACGAGAATGCGGTGAGGTAGGATGTGATGCGCCCAGCCGAGTAGCGCTTTCCCTATCCCCAAGCTTTGTGTTGTCCATCCGCCAACGGGACGGCCACGTCACGAAAACGATGAAAATTCTGCTTTCAAAATCTCATGCCATGCCTTACTTTCCCCATTGCCCAACTTCCTTACCCCCACGCCCCGGCCAGACTAGAGTTGAGTTGCCCGAAGGCCACGCGGTCTTTGCTGGCGCAATTGAGATGGTCCCTTGCAGCTTGCATGACATGACATGGCATGACATGGCCGCAAACATTGAATGGATAGCATGGATGGAATGTGAAGAAAAGAGAAATCAGCGGATTGCTGCAGGTACAGCGCAGCGGGCAGCACAGCGGGCAGCACACAAAGCCACAAGAACTTGCAGCGGAATCCTGTAATCCAACGAAACTGTTTCCTCGTTTGTTTTATGAAACGAGGGGTTGGGTGGGTGACAACGGTACATGTACCTTCCTACCCGCAAGGCAGTCCTGGTTCTTTGAAAGACCCTAATGAAAGGAAAGTCATCGTAGAGCAGTCTTCAACAGGCTTCACTGAAAAGGAATACTATGCACATCTCCGACTCTTCACCCATCCAGCGCGGCCCGTATCCGGCGATGTACTATGTATGCGCCAGCATGTGAACGTGGACGTGGACGTGGGCGTGAACGGACGGGTATATGCTTAGAAACCTGCGGGCCTCCGCAACTTCATGCCCCTCGTTTTGGTAGTAGGCCCGGTCGCGGGCGGGCCGGTAAGTATTGTGTTTGTTGATGTAAACACCAGTTTGGTGTCGTCACATTCCATGTTATCTTTTGAGGAATGCCCTTAAGTTCTCGAATTCTCTACTGCCACATCTTATCTTGCCCACCCCCCCGATGAACGGACCCTCTCTATATCAAATTTATTACCCCCTCTACCACCACTCCTACGATCAACTCCCAAAATCCCGACAAAATAACCACCTTCTCTCACACCCTCCAACCCAACCCCTACGCATCCTCATCATCCCACTGCCCCTGCCCATAAAACCCCCCGCCCCCCCTTCCAGCCCCATTCCCACTACTCCCACCAATACCACCACCTCCCGCCCCCGCGCCCCCTTCAATCTTCTCCAAAAACTCCGCCGGTATTGTCGGGATGTACTTCCGCTCCCTCTCCCGATTCACGCCCCCAAAGCCCGCCCCAAAGCTGATCAGCATATCTGTCACGCTGGGTAACGTGAACGGGAGCATGAGCGCCGGGTCAAGAAGTAAATTCGGCGGGGCCTCGTCGTCGTCATCGTCATCGTTGGTGTTCTCGTCTTCTCCGTTATTTGCGGGGGTTGTGGCCGCTGTTTTTGTGGGATCAGTGTTGTGGGGCGTTGTTGGTGCGCTGTTGTTCTTTTTGCTGGCGCTTTTTGGTGTTGCTGGTGGTGAGGAAGCTGCTGCTGCAGCGGCGGCGGCGGCGGCGGCGCGATTGCGTTCTCGTCGGAGGGCGGCTTCTTTTTGGATGGCGACTAGGTATTTCATGGCGCTCTTTGGTAAGCCCTTCTCGCCGACTTCTGGGCGGTAGTGTGTAGCGGCGTGGATAAGTTGCTGTGGGGTGAGGGCCTTGAGTTGTTGGAGGGTGCCGACGAGGGCCTCGAGGTCGTCGGCGCCGAGGGAAGAGAAGCACTGCAGCCATTGGAGCAGTTGGATAACGGGGTTAAGGTGGCGCCGGGCAGCATCGACGGTGGCTTCGCCGGACGATTTCATCTCGCCCTTTTCGTAGTGGTCGGGCTGTCGGTTGTTCGAACGCGCCCAGTCCTCTAGTGTGGAGATGTTCATGCGGATCTGCATGGCCTTGGTGCGGGCTAGGTATTTCCGGTTCGACATGATGCGGTTGAAGAGTTCGGCGCCCAGCCAGTAGATGAGCTGGGAGACGATTTGTGCTGTGATAACGGAGTGGACGTCGTATAGGTCAAGGACGAAGAGTGTCGAGGAGAGGAGTGAGGTGACGTTGCGCGGGGATGGCTTTGCCCGCTGCTTCGGGGACGGGGGTCGAAGCCGCTTTTCTAGTGGTTCTTCCTTGACCTCCTTTTTTCGCTTGAAAATCTTCCACTCGTTCTGGAACGTGATATCTTCAAACCCCGGTATTGTTTCGTGGTCCAACATAGCAACATCCAGAACCTTGTCGAGCCGGCGCTCGGCATCCCTAACGATTAATATAAATATTTCGTTCACCAGCTCAGCAAGCTGTGCCTGGAACTCGGTTGTGGCCTCAACCAAGCCGGTGTCCTTTTTGAGATAGTGTAAAAGCAGCGTTCCGTTCGACATCCAGAACGCTAATATGGTCATATCCCACTGGTGCTTCTCCACCACACTGTTAATCTTGGTCATGGCGGTGATGAGCAGCTTCGCTAGGAGCTCGGGGCTGGAGTGATAATGCGCGTACCGCGCGCCTAGGAATATCATATTCGCCGGTACTGGCTTCTGAGTAGGCGATCGCTGTGGTGTCATATTGGTGATGACGATATCCAGGATGCGATCCAGTTCGTTTTCCTGGAAGACGAACATTTGGTCGTGTAAACACCTCGACCAATCAAACTCTTGTTGGTCTTCTTCTTGGTCCTCGGGCGACTGACCATGTTAGCAGGAACGGAGTGTAATGGAGTAAAGCAGAACCCAAAAAAAAAAACCGGACTTACCTCAGGCTGATCGTCCATACCTACATTCCCGAGGTCTACTTCAAGATCACGGGCACTCTCCATCATCATGCGCCGCCGCATCTCATTCTCAGCTAGTTCTTCCTCAAACTTGTCCTGGCTGAACCCAGGGTTGTAAAAGTCGTCGGTTGCACCAGCCGTCCCAATGCCGTATCCGCTCAAGTAAAACGACATCTCGCTATCGGGAGCCACGAAATCGAAGGCTGTCCTCCCCGATGATGTCTTCGCCTCCGTGGAGGCCCCATTGTCTAGCAGTAACTTGGCGATGCCCTTGTGGCGGTTTGTCATGGCCCACATAAGGGCGCTCCATTGATTGCGGTCCTGCTTATTGACGTCTGCCCTAGCATCAATGAGGGCTTGAACTACCGGCTCGTGGCCCTGTGGTTGGCGTTAGCGAGAGTGAACGGTTCCACGCCCGGGGGTATTGCCCATGTCCCAACTCACAAAACAGCTAGCGTATATAAGAGCAGATGTGCCCTCGTCGTCAGGTGCATTGACGTCGATATACTGCTTCGACTTCCCCTTAAGAATCTTCTGGACCGACTCGATGTTGCCATTGCTGGCAGCCATGATAAACGCCTTCTGTAGGATATCCCTCTTTTCGTCATCCGACCTCTTCTCATCCGTGGCAATAGCATCTTCATCCTCAAAAGCGGCGCCGGCGGCATGCGCAGCTTGGGCGGCCAGCATCTCCATCAGCCGGGATTCGCTTTCAGGCCCACCCTTTGTTAGGTCCTCGCCATAGTTGTCGTCGAGCGCCAGGTCGCCAAAGGACATCGGTTTTGCGATCATTGGCGACGTCAAGAACTGTGATTGTCCTAGATGTGTCACGTTTAGAACAAGATCACGAAAGATGTAACATGACGTAACGGGGAACACCAAGGCCGTGATAACGACGCAAGCAGGAGGGGCAATACCAACCTTGCCATCCATCATACATTTCCGTTTCGGGCACCAGGTCGGTGGACACATGGCGCCTGTCGTCGAGGGATCGTGGGAGGTCGGCGGGCAAGGTCCTCCTCTTTGGAGACAGCGAGCCGGCGTCGGCTTCGAAGCCGCCCTCAGAGTCCCCGAGATCCATGGCCCAGGGTGACGCGGTGCATGCGGCGGGGAGGGTCGGTCATCGGTTCACTCGGCGGAGGCTTTTGGAGTCGGGAGTGCGCTTTCGGGGGGCGCGCTCAATGGGTGTGTTGTCTGAACTGTCGAGGATCGGGTTAGGGTAATTGACGGGGAAATCAAGCAGTTATGTGTGGGAAATAAAGGGGGACGTGGTCGAGTGATACCTTTCCGGTCATTCCCCCTCCAAGCGATGGTAATAATGAGACGTGCCCGAAAGCGGCTTGGTCACAGTGCTGGGGTTCTGGGCGTTGCACAATGAACCACCCCACATTGATGGCCCGTGCACTCGAGCTTTATCGATAAGAATCTTTCGAGATGCTGTCAGAGAGACAATACACATTTAGCGCGTAACTCAGTTTGGTTTGTTTCTTTTCTTCATGTATTTTTCATAGTGATGCACTGTTTAATTGAAGCGCATCTTATCCGTGCCGTGATTTCTCACCCTCTGTTTCAAAACGTTTAAATCCTCATACCCAACCCGTCCATAAGACTCAAAGGCTCGTAAACCCGATTAGCTCGAGGACGGAAATTGGAGGCTGCAATTAGGGGATGTCAGGAAATCCATATGTGTTGGGAATTGGTATCAATTTAGTTATTCTCATAATTTTTGTCTTCTTTTTTATTAATATTTACTTTTACCATTTTCCGCCCGCCGCTGTCACAATTTTCTTTTCCTCCCACACTCCATCCGATCTCACCTGCCACCCGCCCCCCTCAGTTCGGTCTCATCCCCATGCCCCCTCGCTCAGCCTCAAACAGCCCGCTTCCCAAACACACGCACACGAGAAACCCCCCCATCCGGCACCATAATCAGCTTCACATGTGTAAACCGCCGATCCTTCACCAAACTCTCAACCGGGTGCTCCGTGTCCGGTTTACACTTAATCGGCTCGGCCACACTAACCCAACCCTCCGCATCCGCCGCGGGATATCCACTCTCCTTCCACTCAATGGCCTCCAGCTTGACCTGCTGCGGGTAGTTGCCCCGGAAATTAGCCGTGTCGACCAGCAAGCTGTGGACGTAACCCGGTGCGCCGAGGCGGATGATGGTCCAGTCAAAGTGGCCCTTGGTCCGCGACCGCGCTGTCTCCCACCCGTCGCCCATGTCCTTGCCGCGGTTGGGCAGGAGCAGGTTGTCGGGGCTGCTGAAGTGCTTGTTGTTACAGGCCACGACCACCCCGGCGTTCTGCGCGGCCGCCAGGTCGAAGATAGCGTCCTTGTCCTCCGGGAAGACGGGCACGGCGCGGCCAAAGAGCCGGAACCGCGCGATGCCGCCGTCCGGGTACATGTTGAGGCGGACGTGGGTGTACTGTTTAGTGGTGGGGGTGTCCAACTTCCAACCAAAGCGCTGGCTCGGGCCGCATTCCTGGATGCCGAGGATGGTTTCCCAGCCGCCGCGGGTGCCGCGCCACGAGAGCACCTCATCGTCGTTTTGGCTGAAGCAGCCTTCGACCGAGATGGCGGGCGCGTGGTTGCCTGAGAAGTAGGCCGTGTTCACCTCGACGCCCTCTACCGTGCCCGAGGCCACGCCGAGGCGGATCACGACCCAGTCGAAGGGCTCCGGGTTGTGCCGGCGGGTTTCCCAGCCGTCATACCAGGCGCCTGTGTGGACAAACTTGCCGGCCTGGCGGATCGGGGCCTTGGGGTTGATGAGGTTGGCCGCTTCGGCGAACCATTCATCGGAAAAGCCTAGGATCTTCCCACCGAGGGCTTCCGAAGTGAGGTCTGTTTATTTTTGGGAAAGCTTTTGGATTAGATGGGAGTGGACATGAGAAAACGTAAAGTGAAGGACACTGACGAACCAATAGCACCAGAGCGGAAAGTGTTGTCGATGTCGTCGGCAGCGATCGAAGTGGCCTTCACAGCCTCAAGCTTATACTCAACGTCTTCCATGTTGCTGATAAGATACACAAACTAAGATAAAGGGGTTGGGGAGCACGGGACGGCAAGTAAATAGCAACCAAGACGTGATAGAGGCACACTTAAGCTACGGTACGGTACTGAATTAAGGGGGAAAAGGAGGGGAAGAACAGGACCGTTTCCCTTATCTTTGATCCAGGCCGAGCGGTTGGGCCGTCCCACTGAGCTACCGATGCCTCCCGAGAGCGGAAGGGGCCACAGGCTAAGTTGTTGTGGGTATCCATCGGCCGGCTCCGTACGGCCTTCTTCTCATTGCCACTGGCCAGACTTTGCAGAGACGGAAAACAATCGAAGTTTCCACTTTTTCCCTCTGACTGCTCTCTTTTGGTCGCGTGCGCTACTAGATATGGCGGCGTTTAGGTAACGCCAAGATTTTGTTTGCCTGTGCTCTACAATGCTTCCATACCTGGGTAGGATGTACCTTACCAGGTATCGTCGACTACACTGTCCATCACATGTTGTCTGGAGGGCTTCAGACCTTCAGTTAAGTATAATCATGTAAAACATTCCTCAGGCAACTACCAAGCGAGAGCAGAGGCTTGGAGCATGGAACGAAAGAGTCCAAGACCTGGAGAATCTTGATTCTTGGCATCAAGCCGCCGCAAAACACGGGCTCGGGAGAAGGAAAAACGCGGGGCAAGCTGCAGTGACGAAGTGGCTGCAGTTTCCTCGGGAAATGAAATCACTGCGAGCTTATTGGCGGGTAGTCTGGGGTCGCTCGGCCCGATGCCGTCATGGCCCGACGGCGGTCCCTGCTAGAGCAAAACACTTGTGAGAGCTTCATTCGACCCGGAGTTTATGAGTTTAATTCGTTGCTTTTGAGTGAAATGAAATGTAAGCATAGAATTATTTAAAATAAGAGATAAATTCGTCCCATTTTCATGGAAAGTTTTAGCGAGCTGCTCCAACATCAGAGCTCTCTACCTTGTGAAACAAACAAGGCCGGAATTCCCCTCAGGTAGCTATCCGTATTACTACAGCTTCCCCGCAGCTTGCGCCATCACCTTGCTCACCGTCTGTACTTTGCTCATTGCTCCTCCCAGATTCAGCATCAACTCCCGCTTCATCACTGCTTTTTGCAACCCTACCGCATCACCACTGAATCGAGCGCCTAATCGAACCTGCACTCGTGCTCAAAACTGGAGATCGAAATGTCCTCATCTCCCGAAGCACCACCGCCCGCGGACAATGAAGCGCCCGAGCAGACTGAGAGTGAACCTCTGCTCGGAGGACCCGGCGATGCCACACAGAAACCGGATGCGCCCATTTTCTCTAACCTTTATCTCGGTATGATTAACCGCTATTATGAACGTTCGGGAGCAAATGAAGATAAGAAACAAAAAAAACCGGGCAAAAAGCATTCTAACAACCGCCCTCCTCTAGGAACCGGCTGGCTCGCTCAAACCGGCGGCATCCTCCTCCTCGCCATCATCTGGGCCTCCGTCTTCACCAACCCGACCCTCCCGCTGGTCTCCCCACACCCGCTGCTCCAGTCTTTGGGGGTCTACACCGTGCTCCAGGCCATTCTAATCCTCCAGCCCACGACCACGCCCCGGACCAAACAGGCCGGCCAGCGCGCGCACGTTTTCCTGGTTCGTTTACTCACTCCCTCACTCACTCACCTACTCAACCACTAACCTCAATCAACAAAACAAAAGCACCTCCTCTCCTTCCTCCTCTTCCTAACCGGCACCACCATAATCGAACTCAACAAACACGTCAACCACCTCGCCCACTTCCACTCCCCGCACGCCTACCTCGGCTCCCTCTCCGTCCTCTTCCTCGCCCTGCAATACCTCTTCGGTCTCGCCACCTGGCTCACCCCGCTCTCCCGTTTCATCTTCCGCACCGAGGCCCGCGCCAAAAGCCTGTGGCGGTATCACCGCGCGTCGGGGTATGTAGCGCTGGTGTTGCTGTTGGCGACGGTGGCGACGGCGGTGGAGACGGATTATGTGCGCGGGGTGCTGGGGATTAGGCTGTGGGCGGTGTTGGTGGCGGAGGGGTTGATTGTGGTGGGGGTTGTGCCGAGGGTGCATTTGAGGAAGTTCAGGGTGGGAGGTGGGGTTGGTGTTGGGGTGACGGCTGTGGGAGGTTCGCAGAGTTGAGGTTGGGGGAGTAAGGTACACTTGGTTGAGGTTTGTTTGAAGATGGACTGAAGATGGGCTGGGTTGGTTGGGGCAGGTCTTGGGTGCGATGGGACGGGTGTGAAGGGAGTTGAGATGGAAAGGCCAGGGTCATGATTTTTGTCTGATGTTTGTTTCTAGGGAGTGGTCCAAGCCTGCACTTAATTAGGGACGGAAATACTGGACGTCCAAGGATTCAGGGTTCGCGCAGAATGAGAAAGTAATTACGGAGAACGAGACAACTTGTCACTTGAATGTGGAGAAGAGAAATCTTCACTAGTATCAGTCCCACATTGGGGCCAGCATGTTGAAACCACTTGATATATCATTACCTACTACAGCATCCATCATCATCTCCGGGTATACGGACGCCAGACATATTCCAGGCCTCCCCTTCCTCCCATAATGTACGTGACATGCTGTTACAATTCACAACATACAATACAACCCTTCGACATCATCCCTCCTCATTTCATTACTGCATCATCCCTCGTCCATCGTCCTTTCATCCACAAGTTCATTCAAAACGTGAAGAAGGCGTATCCCAGAAGAATCCTCCTATCCCGACTTCGCTTGTCGAATGCAAATTCGTGTGCGCCCTTCGCACGATAATATACTATTAGTGTAGGCATTTGCTGCCTGTCTCCTCGTCCATACTTTTCTTTTTGCGGCCTGCTGCTTGTTGCTTTGCCTTGGGATTTTTTCTGATATTCTGTTTTCTGTTGCTGTTCCTTCGTGTTCGTGTGTTCGATTCGATTCGATTCAATTCGTATTCCGGCAAGCCAAATGAGTTACTGCCGCCGAAAAATGGTATATCCATGTGGGTTAAACAAAAAAGAGTGTCGCGAAATCAAAAATCCAACCGCCAAACTCCGGTGCTCCATGGGTGCCTCGGTGCGCCATCCGGCGCGGGTATCTTTCAAATGATTGTGGGGGGAAGGGTGTGTGTATGTGTTTGTCTGTGTTTTTCTTCATCTCTGCCCGACTCGCTTTACGGGTACGGCTGAGCGGCATCGATCGGCCAGTCGTCCTCAGTGATGCTGGACCAAAAGAGCCAAACCAGAACCACAGACACAAGCGTGAACAAGGTCTCAAACAGGGCGCCGTCGATGGCCCCCCTGGTGCCGTTGCAGATGTACGGGCTGACGACGAAGTCGAACACCTGGCCGACGGCGAAGGTGACCGCGGCGGCGACGAGGAACAACATCGGGCGGGTCTCGCCGAGAATGCGGATGACGAGGACCGTCTCGAGCGCAAAGTAGACCACAATCCACACTAACGGCAGAAGCAGGTACAGCACGTAGAGCGCATAGCTCCTGTTGGTGCCTTCGTAGCTGCTGTCCCAGTAGTGGGTGAAAGAGAGGCCGGCATCGAGGGCGACGTAGCCGACGCCGATCAGGAAGGCGAGCGAGGAAGCGACGAGAAGACCGAGCGAGAGCGGCGTGCCGTCGTCCATCAACTGGTAACCGACGATGCCATTGAGGAAAAGGGTCCATGTGGTTGCCGCGATGGCGCCAATGTGGATAGCACTGAAGGCCTGCTCGTCATGTCAATTAATGAGGGGTTCTCTCACGAGGGGCGTGTCAAGTCAAACGTACCACTCGCACATTGTCGTTCAGCGGAAAGGCTCCCACGGAAAAGATCTCACATATCGAGATGAGCAAATACCCCAAAAGGAACGCTTGCATTTCCCTGTAACACCGTTAGCAGCGTCCAACAGTGATTGCATTGCATAGGTAATACGGCTACTGACCTTCGCCCAACAGCTGCTCGCTTCCTTTCCGACCGAAGCAGGAGCCCGGCGGTCACGACGATCGCAACGCCACATAGTATTATGGACCCTGGAGAGGGGTATTAGCCACAACTACTCAAAAACCAGCCTTGTGGGCGTGGTCTTAGATGGGGGCACAACGCACCGAGGTTGCCCAAGTGTTGCCCGTTAGAGAGCGGGATGCCTGTCAATTCGCAACCGAGCCATGGCCCGGTTTGATTGTTGGTCTCCGACAAGATCTATGTGGTCGTGTCAATGAATGAGACAGCCATGCGTGGGCGGAAGACGCAGATTATGTCTGCTTTTTGAGATGGCACTTACATTGCAGACGGGTAGAGTCGAGTCCCGGCAAAACTCCTATTGCGCGAGTTCGTGGTTAGCACATGCGACCAATTCCCCGGATTGTGTCGTGCTAGATGTGTCGTGTGTCGCTCACATTAAAGTTTCCAAACTTTGTTGAACCCATTGTGCAAGGTGGAGCCCCGGAGCCGTGCGATGCGATCCGTTCGAGTGACGCGACCGAGATGCGACCGAAAGTGTCTTGTTTTGTTCCAGCGGGCTGCCCAGCCAAAATCCGACACACCTCCCTCTTTTAGGTTTGAGGGTGTGAATATTTTTTTTTCCCAATTGTCGTGTGATTTTTTCTATCCCTTCGCCCACTCCGATCCCTCACCGACCATCCGGGTGAGCACAGCGTTGGCCGGGGTATGCGGTGGTTGGCGGTGGTTGGCGGTGGAGAATCGAATCAAGGCCCTGCAAAACTGGCGGGCGGTGTCCGTCGTGGTTCGGGCGCGTCTTTCTTTGCTTCTCCAAAGGTTGAACCCAAGTCTGACCGAGTCCCTCTCGTCCTTTGCGGTGTTATCGTGTCTAAAATGCTCGCGGGGGTATGCGGGTGTGAAGGGAACAGGTCCGGAAAGGCAATTGAGGAGGCCCGGTGCGTTTTGAGGGGCGGGAGGGTGCGTTGCTGCGGGTGATTGCTGTGATGTTGGGGGAAGAGGCGGCGGCGCAGGAACCAGCTGGGGGTTTTGGTCAGAGCTCCGCAATATAAAACTCAATGCCCTGTTGCTGGCTGGGGGAAGCGTTCGTCCTTGACTCCTGGAGCCACTCTCGGGCCAGGAACAAAAGCTGGCGCGCCCCATTTGGCGTGGCACGCAGGGGGGCCCACACGGGGTGTTCGGCATCATGATTGGCTAGAGGGCGGGGGCACTTTCCCATCCAGGAACAAGGCCCAGCCTCTCGCGAAATGACGCTGAGACTCTGCCCAACCAGTTTGTGATTTCGCTCGTCCGGGTGGATGTTCGGATGGATCGCTCCAGGGAACCACCGACTTTCCCCGGATCGAATCGAGGATTGTGAGATCGGGAGATGGCAGCGCAAACGACACAGTACACTAAACTACGAAGTATAATGGACGGGTTGATGAGGATGACGGTTTAATCATCGCCTTCTATAATTACGCAGCGCTTTGCATTGCCTGTTGGCTCTGCTGATGACAGATGGGACGGCGCAGGTTGCCGGGTTGCCCGTTCGGACAGGGATGTTTCTCGGTCCCAGATGACGGCAGGCCCGATGTCTCTTGCCGTCACAAACCTTGGAAATGGTGCCGAGAACGGGCGAACTTGCCAGGCAAGTTGATCGCAGGAATTGGCGACTCGGGGGATTGGCACCTGGCAATTTGCCTGGCGGGCTCTCAGGACTACATGCAGTCTCAGAGGGGCGTTTAGAGAATATGCAGGGTGAGGTGGACAGGTACGTGCTGCGCTGCGTGGTTGTCTGTGCAACTCGGATTCGAAACAGGCTTTCATCCAAGCCACAGTCCCCCACATTCGGCCAACAAACAGCCAGCGGAACTCGCGACTGTTGGCCTGTGGCGCCGGCCCGGTGGTGGGCCAAATTGAAGGTTGGGTTGGATCTTAAGGCCGAACCCCTGTCTTTTCTAATTGTGTCGCTTCGGGCGCATGAAGGTTTTGTGGCCGAGATTACGCGGTGCAACGACAACGAACCGGGACTCATCAGTTAACGTCAACCGATAGTTTACTGTGTACCTGGGCCACCTAGTCCGACCACTAAAATACCAACAAAAACCTTCAGTTTGGCAGGATAAAGGCAAAGCCTGTTGCTCATTAGTCCTCCAAATTCTAAACTTCTTTAGAGCTATGCAGGGTGTAACCCACATATTCGTTGACAGTCTAGTTGTCTCTCACTCGATCAAGTTGTTACGAGAGGGTTCATACCCACTGGCGTGCGATCGGGGTCTCCTGCGTAACTCCAGAACTAGTAGTGCAGTCAAGGCGACAAGCCCAACACACAATTTAGAAGCCACCGTCCCAAGTGTTCACAAGCCAGAGTCGAAGAGCAAACAGAATTGCAGAATTTCAGGATACGGAAGTAGCTAACTAGGAACTTCACACGATTGAAAGAAACAGCCTCCACTCAACTCTTCCCAACTTACCTTGCCAAATCACTCACACTCACCCCCGGAAACCACAGCCTACTTAGTCAACAGCGGAGCGGCAACATACAAATTATCAAACCGCTTGTTCAGCAGCGACGGCATCCCGGCCAACCCAGCCAGCGCGGTGTCCCAACCAAACGCCTCGGCCCACGATTTGACAAACTGCGTCCGGCAGCTGCTGGGCTCCTCTCCCGCTTCCTCGGTCTTCTCGGCCTCCTCTACCTCCTCCGGTTCACCCTCCACCGGAGCGCCAGCAGCACCAGCCGCCTCAACCTCCTCCGCAGCCTGATCCCACGCCGGCGTCTCCCAAGCCTTCCTCACATCCTCCCACTGCTTCGGCGTACCCGCATCAGGCGGATCCACAATCCCAACCCAATCCCCACTAGCAAGCGTCACGGCAGGGAACAGTTTCTTCGCATCGAGATCCACCCGGTCGGCGTCGAGGATGATGAAGGTCTGCAGTTTGTCCTCGGACATGGTGGGCGGTGGACCGGTCAGGAGCACGCCCATCATGAGGGGGATGCCGCCGTCGTTGGGGTTGAGGAGGGTGGTGATGTTGTTGCCGCTTTGTTTGGGGTCGAGGGAGGCGTCGTCTGGTTTTATGGGTTAGTACTTGTAGAGGGTGATGAGGAGAAGGCTGAGGGGATAGGAGGAAAGAAGAAGAAGACTTACAAACACCCCACAACCCCGTCGGCACACTCTTAACAAACTTCTCCATCGGCCACGCCCTCGGCGGATCATCACTATCCACCTCCGTGATACTAATCGTGACCGACGAGTCCAACACATCCCCCTGACCGAGATGCATAGGCCGGGCATGAATAGCATTATCCGTATACTCCACCACCGGGTTCCCGCCCGAGTCGGGGTCGTCGGGGATGACATTCCCGTGGCTGTCGACCTGCTCCGCCTTGGCAATGGCCATCTTGCATCCAAGCACAAAGGAGAACGTGCCGCCGCGGACGGTCCAGGTCTGGTTTTGGGAGCGCTCGGGCTTGTCGGTGTCGTTCATTAGCCCGGTTTGGGCGAGGAAGGTGTGGCCTTCGTTGGGTTTGGGCGGGCCGGTGTCGTCGTCGTCGTCGGCGTCGGCTGCAAGCACAGAGAGGGGTTCTCCGCTGTCGTCGAGCTCGACGATCCGTGGGTTAAACCCGGGAGTGGGAGTTCGTGCTTCTCTGGCAATGGACTTCGCCTTCTTGGGATCTGTCTTGCTGCTGGCCTGCAAAACAAGATGATAAAACCCAAGCAAATCCGCCGGGCCCTTCTCCTCCGACCCACTCCCAAAGTTGATATCAAACTTATGCACCTTAATATCAACATGCACGGTCCCAGCCATCGGCGGACCCCACAACGTCAGATCCGCGCCCACCTCAACCGAGATATGGATATGTATCAACCACACATCCAAGTTAAACCTCACCCCCACACTCACCCCCGCCTCAGCTAGGAAATGGAACGGCTTGTAGTTGATCAAGAAATCCGCAAACGCATCAAACCACGCCTCGATCGGCCCCGCGTGGAACGCTGCGTGCAGTCGTCCACCGCCCATGCAGGCTTTCGGGGTGATGGCGAAATACGCCTGGCCCGTTATTGACAGCGACCCGCCGAGACTCCAGCTGATGCCTAACCGCGGCGGGTTGGGGTAGCCGTCTGGCACGGCAAACGCTTGGTGGTAGCCGCCGAGGGTAAACACGAAGTCGCCGATTAGGGAGCGGTCGGCGTGGGGGGCGTCGAACCAGTAGCAGAGTGCGAAACCACCCGTCAAGTGGCAGTTGGGGTCGAGGATGTAGCTGTTGGGGGAGAGCTGGGATTCAGCGCGGAAGGTGCCGTAATCGAGGTCGATGACGACGGCGAGGCCGAGTTCCACGTGGGCGAATTTAACTTTGGAGGCGGAGGTGGGGATGTCGGCCAAGGCGACGGCGAAGAGACCCATTTTGATGGACTGGCCGAATTGGATTACCGCTACGGCGTCTAGGCTGATCATCTGGAAGGCATCGATTTTCATGCCGGCCGCCGCCCAGTAGGTGTCGCCGCGGGGGTGGAACCAGCCGTCAGAAGCTGGGCTGGTGAGACGTTCGAGGGTGGTGATGGCGCTCTCGGTGGCGCCGCTGAGGGAGGTGGATTTGACAAAGGGGAAATTAACGATCTGGTCTGCTGTCGGCACGCGCACTTCCGAGTTATACCCAAACCCGCCTGTGACGCCGGAGATCTCGGCGAATTCGAGGGTGACGAGCGGGCCGTCGAGACGGGCAAAGACAAACACGGAGCGGAAGATGTCTTGCGGTTTTTGGCCGCCCTCGGGGAGGGCCTCGCCGTAGAAGCCGGCGGCTTGGAGTTGGTAGGGGACCCAGCCGACGATGATGCCGCCGGCGTAGTAGTCGAGGCCGTCTTTGGATTTGCCGTGGCGGATGAGGCCGGCGAGGGTGAGGGGGGGTTTTTCGAAGGAGGCGGCGAGGCCTTCGAGGGTGGGGAGGAGCATTTGGATGCCGGAGAGGGCGAGGGAGGTGATTTGGATGTTGAGGCGGAAGCCGATGAGGCTGAAGGCGAGCGGGCCGAGTTCGAAGGTGGCGGTGAATTTGATGTGGAGGGTTTTGTTGGCGTATTCGAGGCCGATGTTGTTGATTTGGACGGGGCCGGACTTCTTTTTGAAGGGGGCGGTGGAGGAAGTGCCGTCGGAGTCTTGCTCTGCTGGCGGGTCTCCTTTTTCCTTTTCCTCTTCTTTTTCCTCCTCTCCCCCTCCCGTCACCGACTTCTGCTGCTTCGGCTTTGCCTTCTTAAACTCATAATCCAACACACACGTCCGCTCACCCTGCTGACTCTTCGTCACAACCGCAAAGTGCGACCCAGCCGAGATCAACACATCCCCGGCGTCCTTGGTCTGATTCCTATCCTTCGCCACGAGCGGGTGTCCCGTCAAGCTCAGCGTCTTGTTCAGCACATCAATCTCAGCCCGCGTCAACCCGGGCGTGGCCTTGTTCTTGTTCTGCCCCGTCTTGTCCTGCACCCACATCACATACAGCTCATCAAACGGCTGGGCGAAATTGCCGATCAGTGGGAGGTCCACCTCGGGCAGGCCGACAAGGCCGAACTTGACGAGGCGTTTGGGGGGGAGCTTGGGGTCCCATTTCTTGAGGTGGAGTTGTGCAAGGACGAGGGCTAGCTCGCCGATCTGGACGGAGCCCATGAACTGGATGCCTTCTTCGTCGCCTGTGGTTTTCTCTACGGCGAGGTGGATCCCGCCCTCGTTGTTGTTCCCGTTGATCTTGGTGTCGGCTATGAACGGGGGCAAGTCCAACGGGGCGCTGTCGCCGAGCATGTCGTCAAGGATATCACCAAGCGTGGCCTCTTTATCCTGGGCCTTCAGCGAGGCCGTGAACTTCCAACCTTTCCCGTCGTCAAAGGTGAAATCGAGTTTCAGCGCCAGGTCGGCGACGAAGATGAGTCCGTCAAAGGCAAAGTGCGTGCCGACCGACTTGCCCTGCAACCCCGGGGCCGACTGGTTGCCGGTGTAGGTGTAGTCCAGCGTCAGGTGATCAATCTCGAGGGAGTCGATCAAGGGTATCACGTGATCGACCGAGTTTTTGTCGAAGAACTCCCAGAGCGTGGAGGCGTACAGGTTGCGGAGGGAGGCTTTGAGGGCCCAGGACTTGTTGGCGGAGTCGTAGTCGAGGGAGCCGGAGAGGATGGCGGAGGTCTGGTGTTTGGAGGTGGTGCTGGGTGTGAGGATGGCCATGATGCCGAGTTGGAGTTGGAAGGTGGTTCGTTTGTCCCAGTCGAATTGGGCGGCGAGGTTGATGCGGCCGAGGTCGACTTGGGGGACGGTAGAGGCCTGCTCGCCGGCAGTGGATTGTTGGGACTGGATGGTGGTGCGGAAGGAGAATTGGGTTTGGGAGAGGTAGAGGCCGGCGGTGGTGATCTTGGTGGGCACGTTGGCGGGGATGTTGTCGATGGTGTGGTTTGGGATGAGGGTGGTTAGGTCGATCTCTGTGGCAGGTGATGTGGTGAAGGGTTGGATGTCCTCTGCCTCGCTGTAGTAGGGGTCTAGCACGCGGTTTCCGTCCGTGTCGAACCCTTCGCTGTGTTAGCACGGTCTCGAACAAGCAGGGGATAAAAGACAAGAACACTTACAAGTCCAAAAATCACCGTTAATGGACCCCATCCCCCCCAACTCCGCCGACCAGTTGTACCCAAGCAAAAAAGCCGGTCTCTTGCTCAAGTTACTCCCCTGGCCAAAGTCCCCCGAGACCTCAATCTCCACGCGCACCCCCGCCAGCGACGGTTTGCCATCATCATCCACATCCACCGTCACCTTCACCCTCTGCAAATGCATCCACCCCTTAAACAAATTGTCCAAAATCCCCTCCACCCCATCCATCCCCGCATCCCCAGGCAACAACCCAACCAACCACTTCACAATCCCCCCCAACCCATCCCCCGACTCCATCTTCAAACTCACCTCCAATCCCCAATCCTCCGTCACCACCAAGCTCAACAACATTCCCGCCCCTCCCACCGTACACTTGACTCCAAACTCCACCTCCCCGGCCACAATCGGCCCCTTCCCCTCGCTCGTCTCCCCAAGCACCATCAATTTCTTCGCCGCGACGGTAAACCCACCCTCTGCGAACTCCAACCCCGGCAGCGCCGCCGTCAAAACATCCTCCAGCACTTTCGCCTCATCCAGCTCAAACTCCACCCTCATCGTCCCCTTGAGCTGCTCCGCAGGACTAAACCACAACGCATTCCGTCTCTCACCCGCCTTGTTCCGTTTCAACGTGGCCGTCACCAAATCCAGGCCCTGGATAGGAAACCCGTCCAACAATTTGCCTAAGCCAGCAAACGCAAACAACTCAGCCACGGTAGCCGTCGGATCGGTGGTGGTAGCGGCCGGGTCGAGACCGAAATAAAGCGGTGCTCCGTCGTCGAACATACCCGGCGCCGGAACGCGGGAGAGGCCAGAGACCGGGTCGGCGCCGAAGGTGAAGGCTAGGGTGTCGGGGGTGGAGGTGAAGACTACCTCCTTATTGTCCTTGTTGATCAGGGCGAGACGAAAGGAAAAAGACTGAATATTCAGATCGGTGGCATTATCAAACGCCACCGACACCTGACTTTCGTTACCATTCCCACCGCCGTTGGCATCCCAATGCGTAAACCAAGTCGCCCACTTGTCACTCTCATCCAACACAGCGGATGTGTCGGTGCCAGAAGGCTTGGCGGCGAGAGTGATACCCTCGTCGGGGAGAAGCGAGAGGTAGGTGTCGATGTTTTTGGTGGCGGCCGAGGGGGTCAGGACGTGGGCGGTGGCGCTGGATTGTTGGCCGCTTTTGCTGGAGTAGATGTAGTATTTGGTGTCGTCGGCTGCCGCTGAGACTAAAGGGCCGGTTGGGGTTGAGATCAGGGAGCCGGCGATGCGGCCGTTGGCACCGGGGACTTGGGCGACGAGACGTCGGTGGTAGGGGGTTATTTCGGTGATCATGGTGGTGGTTTGTTCGGTTTTTCTTGGGATTGGGTTTTGGTGTTGTCGGTGCTGTGTTGTGTTGTGTTGTGTTGTATTCTGGTGTAGGTGTAAGTGTTGTTGCTCTGACTGGTACTTCACTCACTCACTTCGGCCATCCAGTACAGAATCACAACACCAGGCAGTAAACCCCTGAGTCAAGCTCGCATGAACAACTTCCACAGCGAGGAAGATGGAAGACCAAGACCTTGATGCTCTTCTCTACCCGAGGGGGGATCTGAATACCCCGAAACAAACCGCTTCCGCCTCGGCGACCTTCCAAGGCGCAAAGAAGGTATCCCGAAGCCCACGGAGATGTCTCAACCACCTGGAGCGGGGAAATATCTCGGGCAGACGTCAGTTCACGTCGGCTTCAGCTGGCCACTGTTCTTCGGTGCATGCCTTTGTAGTATCACCACCCTGCGACCGGCTGGTTTCGGTAAGTGATTCGTGACGGAATACACAGCAGACAGCTGAATCTATTCCGTTCCGCCATCACCATCACCATGCAGCCGGCACCATTACCTATCACCCATGAGCCAGCCATTCCATTCCATACACCCCAAAGTGCAACCTCAAGCTGATATACCGCCTACCCACATATCCTTCTACCGAGTACCCTCCAAGGGGCGTGTGTTTAACCCAGCCCCTCGCTAGCGCCAGTTAGCGACCGTTCAGCCGTTCGCCGTTGGTTCGCCGTTCATGGTCTGTGCGCCCCACCTCGCGTGGCTTCCATTCCATCCCATCATCCCATGTGCGTTTTCGTCGAAAGTGTCTCAGCTGTCATCATGCCGCCCGATTGGGAAATGCAGGTCTGTTTTGGGATGTTCGCTTGGGTCGCTTGCAGCGCTTGCGGTGGCTTGTCGTGACTTGGGGGAGAAGTATCTCTGGGCTTGAGCTGGACTTCCGTTCTAATTCGCTGACTTGGACGCATGCAATGAACGACAGAGTAACTTCCGCTACTACCGTACTCCGCAGAACTACAGCTCCGCATCACATTCCAGTCGTCAACGTCTGTTCGCTTCGCTCGCTTCGGTTCGGTCAATCCGATCCTGCAGACGAAAACTTGTGCAGAATCGCCCCGCTTTCTTCTCTTCTCTTAATTATCCCGACCGGACCGGACCCTACCGTACCCTAGGTACCCCACTTACCGAATGGAGACTACTCTCAGCTGGCTTTGGGACCTTGCTTGCGAGACTACATTCCTACGCGAGAGCTTGGTGTCCGTCATGTCGGCGTTGAGCTCCGCGGGGGATGATTGGATCGTGGGTGAGGTTGACGAACGAGGTGATAGATGATGGAATGATGGAATGGGGTTTCGTGCGTACGCAGCTGCGAACCGGGAGAGGGGGCTCCGATTCGTTGGCTTCTGGTTCGGTGTAGTGTGTGCTACGATACCCCTCATATCAGATGTCCCTCATACCAGATGTGCCTCATATCAGATGCTGCGGTGGTGGCGATGCGGGGGCGGCTCGGGATACTGTGTTGGTAAGTCAGCTGGGATCTGCCGAGGGGGTGGGTGAAGTGCGGTTCAGGGGTTGGTTTGTCATACTACTGACTACTACTACTACTACTACCTAGATACGATAGAAGTCCTAGGGAGAGTTAGGGGTAAGTGGGTATAGCGGCTAGGAGAGAGCTCACTTGCAAGTTAAGGTGATAGCCATCCGTCACGGCAATTCCTAGTATCTCCCGTTCCCCGTCCAGAGCCGTTCTCATCCTCATCTCTCTGTCTTTCTTTTCAGACTCCTTTCAGACTGCTGTTTGACTTGGACACTCAAGACACTCCAAGAATACAGGTATCTACCTATTCAAACTCAGTCTCAGGCCATACAACAGACACACAGACAAGCTCAGTCTCAGGCAGAAAACATGACAGACCTAGCCCTCGTGCCGGTGCAGCTGCAAGCCTTCGTGCTCAACCCAGCTGTCTGCAACACCGGCACAGACGACGACAACGGCGCACGCATCGTGCCCATCACCCAGCCCAACTACACCTTCCTGCGGCTGGACAACTTCGTCCTCCAGCCCGATGTCATGAACCACGCCGACATGCACAACGCCGCGCCCGCCGCCAAAAACTCGCGCATGAGCGACCTCGGGCTCACGCCGCCGGAACCGCGCCGGAACCGCCACGGCGTCTATGTGCATTGGATCCTGCCGCAGGTTTACCGCAGCGGTGTCACCTCGGCGCCGTCGGTGCCTGCTGATCGCCGCGAGGATGAGCGGTTGCGCCGGGGTCACGCCCCGTCGAGGAAGCCGGGCACGGGTGAGAACGTCAAGGCGCCTGCGCCGAGTTCTACCCCTGAGTTCCTCCAGCCGCCGACCAAGTATCTCGTCGTGCGCAAGCTGGATCTGGACAGCGTCGTGCCGGCGAGTGCTAAGTCGCAGTTCAAGGAGTACCAAGCCTGGGTGATCGAGAGCGATTTCCTCTGGAAAATCGACGACATTCCCTTCAACTACGACCTAGAAGTGGATGTATCCCCCTTTGTCGTCGGCGTAGCCGACGGCCGGGACGCCAGCATCGTCCAACAAGCCGAGGTGTTCATCGGGCGGAAAACCCCCCTCGAATCCTGGACCCCGAACGCGGTCACAGACCGGTTTGCCGATAATTTGACGTTGCTCCGCAGCAACAACCAGCTCTTCGCCGACTTCCAAATGCACAACACCAACGTCTTCAGCATGCTGGACAATTTCGTCTACGGCACCCCCGACGAGCCCCAATACCTCGACCAGGCCAGCGCCAGCTACTACCTCATCGGCTGGCACAAAGACACCCACACCGACCCTTTGTACGACGCCTCCAGGCGCTTCACCCGCGAAAAGAAACTCTCCGGCCTCTTCATGGGCCTCGCAGACAGCGGTATCCCCGACACCACCAAAGCCTGGCTAACCTCCACAGACCCAGCCCATCTCTGTCTTCACGGCGCCGTCTACGACGTCCGCTGGGACCACTCCTCCAAACCCGCCACAGTCCCGGCCGACAACTACTCCGCGCGTCTCCGTGACCAGACTATCCCCTCCCTAGCCGTCGGTACCACACCCATGGATGCGCTGCTGACGTATATCTCTGCGCGTGACGGCCGTGAGGAACCGGGGTTGATAGCCCAGTTGGAGGAGGATATCCTCCTGATCGATACCCTCCTGCACGCGCGGGATGATGGTGTCGAAGGCCAGCGCGAGGCGAAGGATACGGTGTATAACTGGAATTTTTCGCGGTTTCGCGGGGGCACGCATTTCTATCTCGGTGGGGAGGACGCGACAGGTAGACCGACGCAGCCCGCGCCGGAGTCTATCAAGGCGCTGAGGGAGGTGAATGCGTTGCAGGTGCAACTGGATGGGTGTGAAAGGTTAGCCCGCCAGCGGAGATGGGATATGTTTGCGATTTGGTGGAAGTATGTCAGTGATGTCGCGAATAAGGACCGGGAGCAGCATGATCCGGCGTTTAAGGCGCTGGCGGAGGATTTGGCGACGAGGATTACGCAACTGGATAATTATGCGGATGAGTTGAGGAAGGAGATATATACCCTCACGACGAAAGAGGGGACGGCGTTGGTGAATGTGAAGACGGGGACGCAACCGCATTTTTATCGGGCCAGGGATCCGACGTTGTTGATTGGGGGGGTGGATGCTGGGTGGGCGTCGGATTTTGGGAAGAATGTGACGGTGCGGTTGCCGGAGCAGACGGTTGTTGTTAACCCTCCGGCAACCGTAACGCAGTTGGCGGCGGATGTGTTGAAGGCGTTTCCTGATGTGGTCCCCCTGAAGGAAGTGGGCAAGTTGCTGGGGGAGTTTTTCACGTTGAGCCCCGAGCAGGGCAACCAGAAGCCGGGGGACGGGACTTGCTACCCGCAGTTCCACGACACCCTCGACAGCCCGCCCGGCGTCCAGCCTCCGATTCTCCGCGACCAATGGGGCAACCGCCAGCCGTGGCTACCACTATTTGTCGAGTGGGAAGTAGAATACACCCACGTGCCCTTCGACCTCTGGGCGCTCGACGAGCAAGTCTCACGGCTCTCCGACAACCGACTAGTCCGGTACGGCGTCGAGGTTCCAAGCGGAAAACCCCTCTGGGAAGAACTTGGCCCAACCACCAAGGCCGAACCCCCCGACACGCGCATCCTCTCTGGCCGGGTCCTCATCCTCCCGCAACCCACCTTTTCCCTAACCGCCAAGGTAACCCAACTCTTCACCGACACACCCCCCGATATCCTGCGGAAGTACCTCGGCGACGACGAAAGGCAGAATTTACTGGATAACATGAGTGCCCTGCAGTACCTGTCGTGTCCGCTGGCCGGGTTGACCGAGGGGTTGTTGACGCTGGGGATGGGCACGCATGTCAAGCCGGAGTGGAAGGAGGTTGCGAATGATGTGGAGACGGTGACGGCGATGAAGGCGGCGCAGTTTGATTCTGCGGGGTTGAACAAGGAGAGGCTGGAGATGATTCAGGGGAATTCGGGGCTCACGCCGTATGCGGCGTCGGTCAGTTTTGGGGGGGACGAGTGGTGTCCTTTTAAGCCGGTGACGCATGGGCAGTTTCGGTATTTCCCCCTCATTTAAGACCTCTGTTTGTAAGGGATAAGGTAAACTGACAGACAGGAAAGCTTCCGCAAACTCAACATCATCGACAAGTTTGGCCAGGCCATCGTCACCATCGACCCGACCCCCCAGCGCGACCACGGCCACCCCCCCATCTTCCCCGCCATCAGCGATTTCTACGAGCCCCAGGCCGTCGTAGTCAACAACCAAAAAGTCGCCAACACCGTCGTCCAAAACAACGGCACCGCCTGCGAGTTCATCCAACTCCCCCCGCAAATCAACCAAAACGCCCGGCTCAACGCCCAGTTCGTCACCGTCGCCGACGACGGCGACTCACCCACCCACGTTGGAGGCGGCAGCCCCAACAAACCCTACTGGCGTCCCACCACAGAATGGGAATCCCCCATCTGGGGCTGGATCGTAACCAACTACGCCGACTACGGCATCCAGCTTTTCACAAAGGACGGCATCTTCTACGGCGAAGCCCGCATCGGCGGTCCCAACGGTGCCATCCCGGGCCCCAAATGGAGTCCCTTCAAGCCCCCGCCCGCCGGCACCACTTCTACCCGGGACCTCGCCCGCCTCGACGCTCTGATCACCCGTCTCGGACAGGCGGACTACCTCAAGGGGTTCTGGACCATGCTCACGCGGGCGCTGGACAGTCTCCCGCCGGCGCCGGACGCGTACGCCCAGTTTTTGAGTTCGGTTGTGGGGAAACCGTTGGCGTTGGTTACTACGGGGTGGTCGGTCGAGTTGGATGCGCCGCCGTTGGGGAATCAGTCGACTACGGCGAAAGTCAGTTCCCCGGAGAAGAAGCTCATCGATACCGCGACGCCGGAAGACGGGTATACCTTCCACGTCAAGCTCGGCGATCGAGAACGCGAGTATGACGGGTTAGTCGGCTACTTCGACGGTTTCCCCTCCCCCGCCACCGACGACACCTCCCACAAGGGGGAAGAACTCAACTACGACCAAATCAAAACCTACTTCTCCCCTCCCCCGGACCCTCAACACTCCTACCCCAACCTCATCCCCATCTCCAAAACCAACTACCCCACCTTCCAACCCTACCACATCGCCCCCTTCCCCGAAACTGATCCCCCGGACTACAAACAACAAATCCACCCGGCCGACTACACAAACCAACACAACGCCGAGTTATCCAAACACATCTTCGGCGCCATCATTGACCCCTTCACTCCCATCCACGCCTACTCCTCCTTCCTCCCGGCGCAGACGCTGGAGTTGCGGCCGTGGACGTGGCAGGGGGCGATGGAGAATGTAGTGGCTTTTTTGCATGCTGGGCCGGTTACTTTGATTCCCGAAGGAAAGGGGGGTAAGGGGGATGTGACCGACGGGTTTGATGAGGGGAGGGAGTTGACGGCGGATAATGCGAAGCAGAAGCCGCCGGTGGATGTGGTGGGTGTGCCGGCGTTGGGCGGCGGGGAGTGGAGTTGGTTGCAGCCTTATGTTGATCCTGATACTCCCTCTCCGAGACCCTCTCCTTCTGCGGCGGTTGGTGGTGGTGATGGGGGTGGCGGTGGGGATGATGATTTGCCCATCCCTGTGTACAACGCATACGGGATCGAGTCAAAAGGCAACCTGTTGTCGCCTGGGTTTCAGAACGGGCCGTACAGTGCTGTCGAGGGGTTTTTGATGCTTCGTCGGCCGATTATGGCTGCTGATCCGAATAAGTAGTCTGTTAGTGTCTGTTACTGTTTGTGGGAAAAGGGATGAGGAAGGGGGATGAGGAAGGGGGATGAGGATGGGCAGGGGTTGTGAATGGGGGGTTTTTCTTGCTGGTTTATGGTTGGGACTGCTTGCGCGACTTGGGTTTTGCTGTTCGGATTCAGTATGTAGGTGGATAATTGATATACTTGATATTTGAGTTCATGACTGTGCCCCTGACTGACTCCTTGGACTTTCCTTTCAAATCTGCTCGGCGAGGAAGAGATAGAGATTATAATTATCTTGCCGTTGTAGTTTTGGAGGTTACTTGCAGGAGACATAATCACGGCAACAGTTAATTACATGGAACTGTCAACGAAGCGATGAGTCAGATCCCAAAAGATTCGAGACAAGACCTCAGAAAGAAAAAGAACCAGTCAGAAATTAGTTGCATTTTGATTCAACGAAGCTTTAGGTATTTTGCTGGTTCTGTTAATCCTTCGAATACCCAGGTATAGGTTGTATCGTGTATATATGCCGTTCAGTTAATGCATCGCCAAGAGGTACGTACTCTCAGACCCACTCGGTAGGGCTGCCCAGGGTCCAAGCTTCAGGGTTCAGGGTTCATGCCCGCGAACTGATAGCCCCACCTTCCTTACTAGGAAACACAGCACAAGACGAGACGAGAGGAAGCGCAGTTTTCCCACACCAAGTTTAATTCCACTACCTAACTAATTCTCTTCCCGAGCCCGCATCTATCTAACCAACCTCCAAGGAAGTAAGCTATCCGATCGAGCCCCCTCACCGAATCCCGAAGCCGAAAAGAGCCCGCCCGAATCGACCGTCCCCCGAAGCAAGCTACCCGAGAGTTCACTTGCGCGCGTGCAAAATATGCTGGAACTTGTACTTGCTCTTCTCACCGAGCGCAATGTAAAACAAATGGTTGCCATTGTCCGCTGCAACCACCGTCAGCTGGCTCTGGGTGTCGATGGGGGCGTGGGCCACGTTCACGGGGTTCGAGCCGCCCCAGCCGCTGTCGTCCTTGACGATGACGCGGATCTGGTCGCTGGTGTCGACGTAGTAGAGGTAGGTCTTGCCGTCGATGTAGGCCACGGCGAGGGTGGAATTGTCTTTGACGTCGTTTGAGTTGACGAGTTCCTGGTCTATGACACTTTTAGCATCTACACATAGAGAGGCATACACACATAGAGAGATAGAGCGAGGGAGGAAAAACAAAGGGTGAGAAGGGAAGGGAGAAAAAAACACACCCCAGACATGCTCGGTGTTGGGCGAGTACTCGTGCAGGCGCTTGGGGTGGTTGGCCTGGTAGATGATGTAGCGGTTGCCGTCGTCCTCGGGCTTGTCGCCGGGCACGTAGTACGCGGCCAGGGAGGTGCCGGGCAGGATCTTGACCGTGTTGTCGAAGCTGCCGGGGGACTCCTCGCCGAGGGAGATTTCGTTGATCGCCGTCGTGTTGTAGTCGGTGCCGCTGTCTGTGTTAGTCTCTGTGTTTCTGTCTGTTTTTTTGTCCGGAGAGAGAAGAACGGGAAGGTGAAAAGAAAGAGGGAGAGTACGTCAGGTAGTAGACCCAGGCGGTCTGGGGCGACGAGGTGCTGGCAATGGTGATGTTGCCCAGCTCGGTGGCAGCCAGGGGCTGATAAATCGGGCTGATGATGGACACGTCGTTCTGGGTGGCATCGCCGACCTTGGGGGGCGGCTTGGCGGTGAAGCCGACGACGAGGTCGATGCCGGTCAGGTTGGTGGTGGTGACCTGGGCCGGGTTGATGACGATGCCGGTCTGGTCGGCGTCGGTGGCGACGTAGGCCTCGGTCTCGTCTGAGGTCTTGGCTTCATCGCGCAGCTGCAGGCCCAGGTTCTGCTTGTCGGTGTTGTAGAAGAGGTGCAGCTGCTTGTTGGCCGGGGCGGCGGTGTTGTGAAAGACGGCGGCGCCAGACATGGTGACGTTTGCTTCGAAAGAAGTTGGTATGAAGGAGGAGAAAGTAAGGTGTGCTTGTGAGTGCTGGTTGAGAAGTTGTTGTGGATGCTGAGATGTCTTGATCGAGGAGAGAGATGGTGTTTATATACACCTGAGCCGTCTCTGATGCAAGGAATGTGAGTGATGCCAGACACCATCAAGCGAGAGATGAGAGACTAACCTTGGAGCCCTCACCGTCGTCGCTCATCTTCCACGACATTCCACAAGCCGCCATTCGCAACTCAACTGACCTCACAATCACGACTCGGCCACTTCCACTCGGCGACTACAAACACCGTGCTCCGCACTTCCGTGAGAAAGAGACCTAGCGGTTGGCCAAATCGCGAGGTATGTGCGAGGTGGTTGTGATGGCGTTGACGCCGACGTCGATTCAGCTGCTTGGCGGCGAGCACAACATTGCGGGATTTCCCAATCCATCACAACTGCATTTTCACCCTCACGAAATACGACCCTTTGCTACCGTCCAGGGAGGAAAGAAGACGACATTCCAGTCATCATAGCCATGAGTTCAGCTGGGTAGAGAGCTCGGTTCGAGGGTATCGGCTAGAGGTATGAGCGCTTGAGAGTTACGCCATTGGTCGTCGGCCAGGCCGGCTCGGCGGAGTCAAGCGCGGGGTTGAGTGTACGTTTACAAACGAGCTATCACGATGTGGGATTGATTGGTGACGTGACAAGTCGGGGTAGTAGGAGGACGCCGACGGTGATGCCTGTAGTGATGACATCGCCAATAGCCGGGCTGAGACGACGACGAGAGATTTTTACGCGAGGTGAGGACGGACGAGTGGGGAACTACCTACCTTGCCTGAAAAATACCCGTTACGACCCTGCGAGTGAGGTTGACACGAGAGGATCAGGCACTTTTGTCGGGTTCTGACTTCGGACGCCAAGACGGAGAAGGGGGGCTGAGAACCGTTGCATTGGATGGAGGGGTGTGGGTGTAGTGGAGCTGTCATTATGCATTTATCCGGGAGGTTAGAACGACCCCGATTCCGACGGCCATATTGAGGAGTACGACGGAAACGAGATGTTGGTCCGGTTTGACTTGCTCTAGGTTTGGATTCATGAGGGGTACTCGATTGATTTGTGGGATAGTTTGGGAACAGCATCCGAGGTTGCCCTCGAACCAACTGTCTCGTCTTTCTCGCCGTCCTCACTCGCAGTCCCTCGCTCTCAAGGTCTCCCTCTCATGGTCCCTCCTGACCGGGGCTGAGGTTGAAGCGCAAACTCACACTTCAAGACTCGCTTCAGGGGCATTCCCTACAATCACCTTCACCTTCACCTCACATTCACATCCACACACTCAACCCATACTCACATCATCTTCACCTTCATACCTACTCACCCATACATTCACACTTCTACCACACCCACGTACACAATCAAAATGGCCATCTACACAGGCGGCAAAAGCAAAGCAATCTCCTCCCCCCGCCACCTCACCCTCCGGCACGCCCGGCGCAAAACCCGGCTCTCCAAAATCGCCCGCGGCCTGCTCTCCGCCGCCGAAGACGACCAACCGGTCCTCAAACCCGGCGAAGAAAAGCTCAACTCCTTCTGGGCCCCCGGCCTCGAAGCCGGACCCAAGCACATCATCTCCGCCACGCAAACTATCAAATCCAACAACCAGCCGGATTTAGTGCTCACGTCCGAGCAGGACTTTTACGTCGACGCGCCGCAGTTCTCCCTGCCTGAGGGCTCGGTGTACTCGGTTTTCCCGCCGTCGGGGTATCCCGAGGATGCGAATATCCTGCCGCATGTTGTGCTCTCCGATCCGCATTTGCCGTGGGAGCGCCGGGGGAGTCCGAAGGATGATCATCGTGGGGATAAACGGAATAAAGTGCCTTGGTTGATGCTGTTTAGCTTTACCCAGGAGGAACTCAAGCTCGCGCCGGATGCGTTCGGCGGGAGTACCGAGGTCAAGCAGACCCCCACGGGGGCAGTCAATATGACCGTTGGTGATCTGTGGGATATCACTGGCAGTGCAGCATCTGGCGTGACAACTCCTATCACGAAGGAACTGGGGCCGGAGAATATCAAAGACGCCCGGGGTGATTTTATTTTTGTGAAGCCCGACCTGTTCAAGAGCATGTTCTCGACTTTTGACGACAACAACACCCGGGTTGTCCCCGCGAGTCCAGACACGACCAAGTACAAGTACCTCGCCCACGTCCGTAACATCAACACCACGGGTATGGCCGAGGCGGGAAAAGAAGACGTGGGGATCTTTTCCGTCGTCGTCGGCAGTCGCGCAGGTGTACTAGCCAACACCGCGCCGACGGCCGTATCGGTGCATCTCGTATCCATCGAAGGGGTCGAGGAGATGACTTCCTGGGCAGACGACAAGAAATATATCGCGCTCTGCTCGCTGCACAGCTGGAATTACACCGTCAACCCCCCGGGTACTCTCAACGTGCACGACGCGTTCGTCCACCTCGGCGAGACGCTCGATTTGCTGAGGGCACCAGACGCTATTATCAACCCGCTGTTACGTGCCAACGACAAAGTCAGCCAGCGCCTCGCCCAGCGTCTGCAAGACGGTTATTCCCTCGTCAAATACCGGGTTCAAACCGGGGAAAAAACCATGGCGCTGTACCGGGGCCCGTTCACCCCCACCGTGGTCGCTCCACAGGGCGGGGGGTCGGCAGACGATAGGGAGGTGAATCTGCGGTGTTCGAATTCGGGACAGGATTTGCAGGTGCTGGATCGGGAGGTGGGGCTGATGGATGTGAGTTATTCGGTGGCGTGGCAGGTCGGGAGGATGTTGGCGTTGGGGGACCAGGGGTTTGCGGCTGCGCTGGTGAGGCATCGGGTGGCTATTCAGGGGGGGGCGATGAAGGCGGCTAAGGTTGATGTTGTGAGGGGGGTGGCCGATAAGACTTTCCGGACCCGGACGGATTTGCTTGCGGATTTGAAGGAGACAGCGGGGCATTTGGGGAGGATTCATCTTGGTGATGACAACGGTGATGACAATAACGATGGTGATGATGGTGGTGACCCGCCCAGGTTCCTCCCCGGATCCCCTCGGAAAAGATGGCATCGCCCGCGTCTGCCCAAGCACCAATACCCCCCCCTCCACTTCAACGCCCCCGATATCAAAACCCGCTACCTCCACCACGCCACCAACATAGCCCACCGTCTCGCCCAGTCCAAATCCGGCCCCGGTACCATCTACGACGAAACCAACGACCCCGTCTCCACCGACTGGATGCAAATCCTCGCCTGGATCCTCGACCGCATGTTCCTATCCGGCATCCCCTCCCACTACCTGCTTACCGACCCTTCCCATCTGCCCACGGAGAGCCTTCGTTTCTTCTACATCGACCCCAACTGGGTTGACGCTCTCATCGATGGAGCCCTCAGTTTGGGAAACCATATGGGTGAGGACCGGGATCGGGTGGCCATCAAGCAGGCTATCAACACCTTTCTACATCACGTCCCGGAGCATCAGACGCATGCGCCGCAGATACCGACGTATGGGTTTTATCTGCGGTCGGATTTGGTGACGATGTTTCCCGACCTCAAAGTCTCCACCGAGCCAGAACCGCCCAAGGGGGTGTTGCCTGACAAAGCGCCGCTGTTACGGCATGAGATTGTTGCTGATGGGGTGATGCTCGGGTTGCTTGACCGGCTACCCGATCCGAGCGTGACGTCTGATTTCCAGGGGCTGTGCTTTACCCAACCGCCGCATCAGCAAAGGTTTGCGGTCGGGTATGAGCTGTCTGCCGAGAAGCTTAGTATTGATCTACGGCATCAATACACGGTTGACCAAGAAACGCGGGAAACAGACAAGTCCCGGCACAAACCGCTGGTCGAATTCAGCACCACGCCATCGGATACCAAGAACTGGTTCACTTGGAGTTCGGATCCTAGTGATGAGACAAAAAAGAATGACTTGCGGGTCGTGCGGCTGCCGTTTTATGCCGAGGAGCAGACACGGATTTTGATGGAGAAGATGGACAAGAAGTACTTTGATGATGACCAGCCGAATGCGGCGTTGTTGGGGATGCAGCTGAATGATGCGTTTTATCGCCTGGTGGTGAGTGCCACGGAGCAGAGGGCCGCGGAGGCGTTTGAGAGGATTCGGGAGGATGGTCCGCCGAAGGTGAGGGCGCTGGGAAGGTTGGGGGTGCCGTATATCCGTCGATCTTTGAGTGGTAAAGATGGGGACGAGGGTGAGGACAACGAGCGTGGTGATACTGGTGATGGTGGTGGTGAGCTCGAGGAAGAACCCCAGCTGGAAGTGACTCCCCCCAACGCCCTCTTCCAACGCCACCCAACCTACCGCCCGCACCCCTCAACCCTCGCCCTCAACCGCTCTCCGCATGTCCGCAACCTCCCCATTCCCCTCTACGACCCCTCCGAGCACGGCCGTCTCCCACCCACCCGGACTCCCCCCAATGAGCCCCCCAGCACAGTATCCCTAGCCGCCCTAACCACCAAAGACAAAGGAGTGTCCGCCGACAAAACCGACCCCGCCGGTCCTCCCATCTTCTCCTGCTACACCTTCACCTCGGGCTACGGCTCCGTCCAAACCAACGCCGACCCCCTCCCGCAGGACATGATCTTCTCCATCCAAGCCACCAACACCGCCTCCTCCAACTACCAACTCATCGAGTTCCAAATCTGGGTTCCCCTCGGCACCGTCGACAACCCAGACAACCATTGCCTCTTCCCCAGTTACTCCGGCCCGGGAGCGCGGATGTTGAGTAATCTACGGTTTAACGTCCTGCCGATGTTGGCGGATATGCAGGGGGTGCCGTGTTTGGTGTTTCGGTTGTTGCCCAGGAGTGCGAGTGGGTGGACTTCTGTCAGGCCGGTGAGGGAGTTGAGCTTTTTGTTGTGTTTGGCTACGCCGAACGGGACGTATGGTGGGGGGGCGAGCACGTTGGTTACGCTGTATACGGCGGCGTATTATAAGTATGTCGCGGAGAAGACGCCGGTGCAGGGGAAGTTTGTGGTGGCTTTGAAGAAGAATGAGGATGTTTAGGTTACTGGGATTACTGGGATTGACTTGTGTTGTCATTCTGTTTCTAATTTCTGGTGGATATTTACTGGGTTTCTCGTCTTTTCTGTTACCTAGTTCTATCAGGTTAGGTCGTTCGTTCTCCGTAGCTCTTCAATATCTAGCGTCGTTTACTCTACGTCGGCACCAAGTTAGGTATCATGATACACATAAAAAGAAAGCAAAAACAGATCAGAGCACCGTGAGAGCTTGACTACCATATTACCCAGATTGCAACATCCAAGGCGTTAGGTCTATGATGCGGATAACTATGTGATGTGAATGACTGTATCAGTGACGGCTGTGGTATGGGCGGCCTTGTCCTGCGAACTGTAAGGGCCGCGCAATGAGTACGGGATTCCAATGAGCACCAGTCAGTCAGGGTGAGGCACTCCTTCCTCAGGAGACTGGAGTCGTCTCATGTTCCCAATATCACGGAAGGAGCCGGCACGGGCCTACGGCAAGCGCGACCATCCCATCACATCTTGGGAGTCTATCCTGCGACTTTCCCCAACCAAACACATTCGCAAAAACAGTCAGACCACTTTGTCTAGCCGTGTTGCCGGACATCTACCGACCGTGGATTCACCGACTGAAAATGAACCGGCCGAACATGGCCCGGCAAAACGGGAACCCACCCATCCCAGACCTCCCAAGGCGGGGTAAAGGAACGAGGCCACTCTCTCCTCTCATCACCAACCCCCTCAACCCCTATCACCGGTCTCCATCGCCGGTCCCCTATCACACATCCCAACTCACAGCTTCTATCACAAGTTCCATCACAACTTCCATCCCAGACGCCCTTGAACGCATCCATCTCCACACCCCGTCCTCACTCCTCCGAAGATCACGACACTCCTCCGAGTAGCACACCTCCCCCGACGATCACTCTCTTGTGTCGTGCACAACTCTCCCCGCCGAACACAACGCTTCTGCGTTGAGTACAACTCCAGTCGGGGACTCGGGGACGACATAACAACCAGTAAGAACCAGTAAACGCACTGCCGACAATCGAGGCATTCCGAAACAGGTCTCCCGGAGCGTTCGAAAGAAGCTGAAAAGCGATGATACAGCTGTCACTGTTATTGTTGCTGCAACTCACTGCAACTGTTGTAATCACCGTCACTGCGACACAACACAGCACGACGCAGCACGACACGACACAATACGATAGACCCGGCACGACAAGACGTCGGTCCGAACTGAACTCGGCCGGAAGCTCAAAACGGACGTTCAGCTCGCCCCAATCATATCCTTCGGCGCTTCTAGCGTCAGTCAGTCAGCTAGCCAGCCAGTCGTAATGAATGAGGCTATTAGAGGTAAGAGGTGCCGAATGGGCTGTATGTCGTGCATCGGTGTTAGGGTAAGGGGGGTGTAACTGATATACACGTTATTCACATTTCTCTTTACCTGCATATCGCTAACGAGAGTGGATCCATAGGGCTTCGCACCCCCCACCCCTGAGACTCCTCCCTGTTCAACCGCCCGATTGGTGGAGCTCAGCGAACGTTGCACGACAGGGCTTCCGAGTTCTGTCTCGTCTCGGGTCTCGAAGCACCCGTCCCGTCCCGGATCCGTACCAAGCTAACGTTAATTTGCGGCTTGTCCGTTTGCGGCTACCCTTTCGCGGCTTCTCCTTAGCGTCCGTCGCACAATCCGTGCATGGTATTGGGTCGAGAACGATGCCTTATCGACTGGGGACTGCGTAGTGTAGCACTGGCAAGGCGCACTTCTGCATCTGCATCTGTATTGGACGTAGGGGCGTACCTCCCTACCTACCCAGCTACCTACGTCGGGTCTCTACTCAAGCAAACCCTCAGCCCGAAAAAACGCCTCCAACCTCACCTCCTTCTGCTCACTCGACGCCCCATCCACCTCCTCGCGCTTAATCTCCTTAAATTTCCCCGCCGCAATCAGCTTCTTGATCCCATCCACATCCCCCGGCTCGGTGACACGGAACACCTCGCCCATGTCGGGTTCCCAGAAGTAGATGTTGCCGGGTTTGGCATCACCCGCAAAGAAGTAGAGAACCCCGCCCTCGCCTAGTTTTCGGCCCAAGAGGGGGGTAGCTTTGCCTAGGCCCAGCGCCACGGAGGTGTGTGCGCCGGTGCCGTTGACGCTGCCCCATTCTTCGTCGCCGCCCATTTCGGCGTAGGTGTCTGTCCAGCCGGGGGGCATGGAGGTCTTTTTTACTTTAGCTCGTGCGGAAATGAAGGAGACGAAAACAGGAAGAAAGGACGTGAGGGATAACTTACTGCATCGGCTTTGCTCACCGTGCCAGCGTTGGAGGGAGTCAAGTCGGGGGCCATTTCTGGGCTGGGATCAGCAATCAGCGCTGTTGAGGAAATGTTGAGAATGTGGTGAGGTGTGATGTTGATGTTGTGCTCAAGTCGAGAAAAGGCAGCGGTTAGCGAGAGTTGTGCAGCGAATGCCGTGGGGCGGAGTGACGGCCGCCCTAAATACAGCGAGCGAATCGTAGCTTGCCAATGGCTTTTCGGGCAGAGGGGTCGACTGCCTCGGCAACCGAGCTATGCGAGCTATGCCAGCTATGTCCACGGCGCCAACATGCGGAGACGGGGAATGACAGAGAACGGCGATCAACAGGCCCCCGCGCCAAGTATGACTGACCGGTACATGGTCGACATGTACCTCGAACGCCGGGGGTTTCTTGCTTGCTCCCTGGCATCCCAATCCATGACCCCTTGCTCACCCAGCCCCTTCTCCCAGGTCAGGACCTCTCTCAAGTCACGACCCGTCCCATGGCCGGCCCCTTCTCTCACACCAAGGCCTCTCTCAACTAAAAACCGTTCAAGTCAGGAGAGTCCTGGCTAGGTGATGTGTGTCCGTCGCTGAAAAACTCCAAATCATCCTTTCTATGTCCCTGTGCCTATACCCTTAGAGAGTATAGTAAACACGCCACAAGATACTCAGACTCGAGGACATCATGGCTGCCATCTTCGACTTTGGTGGCCGGAACCTGGTCAACCTCTACGAGACTGTCATGACCAGAGACCATGTGAGTTGGCGGCCCTGCCTTCCTATGATACCCTCACTTGCTCCGGCTAACCAGGGCACATAATATACATGACAGGTCTTTGCATACCTCGACTCGGTCATCGCGAATGGCGGAGGTTTCAACCCCCCCATCCAGGACAACGTGCGCGCTGACCTCCAGACCATCCGGGACCAGATCGCACTTCTCAGGTAAAGACACCCCAGGCTTGTTTGTGTCCGCCCAGATCTCCCAGAGAACAGAGAACAGCGGCTGACCCCAAACACCATTATGCGTTCGCCCCCGGTCCAGCCTCCCAAACGGTGCCGAATACTCCGGCAACGCCACCCTAAGACCCAACCAACACCTCCGCCGAAGCCTCAACGCCGGCTGGAACGCCCAGCCCCGCACCGCCCCTTCCAAATTCGACCTCCTCGTCCAGGATGCCCACTTCTGGCGCAAACAACGCCCCGACGGCCACGAACTCCCCTACTGGTCCCCCTACGACCTCCTAGGCTTATTCCTTTCCAAAATGGGCCCCGCCCCGAACCACGGTACCGCCAACCGAGACAACTTCTACATCCCCCTCGTCGCCGTCTACGCCCGGTTCTGCATGCTGATCGCGGGCAACAAGCGGCCCGCGCTGACGACGGACCCCGCGCGGGCTAATAGGCGCACGCGCGGCGCGGGGGATGCGTCGACGTATTATCAGTGTACGTGGGAGCCGTGGTCGGGGCAGTTTTTTTTGGGCGCGGTGTTGGCGGGGTATAAGTGGGAGGTGGAGGATGGTGTGGGGACGTGGAAGCCGGTCGTGAGGGAGACGAGGCATGATTTATTGAATGGGTTTCATGGCTTTCCGGGGCAGTGGCAGGTGTGGACGCGGAGTCCGACGAATGATAGGGATGGGAGGGATACGGTGTTTGGGAACTGTGCGGAGACGTTTCCGTTTTTGGAGATGCTTGCGTATGTTTTTATCTTCTTTGTTCCCCTTTTCTTTTCTTGTTGGCTGCTCAGTTATGCTAACGCAAGACCTCGCAGACCGCACTACAACGCCACTGAAAGAGCTCGAATGTGCGGCCGGGCCCTGCACCGCAATTTCTCCTCCATAGCCCAGTACAATCATGGCGCGATCACGGGGTGGTGCGACTCACCCTGCCTCAACTGCAAGCAGCTCCTCAACTGGGCTGGCGTGGCCCCGCCGTACAGGAACTTTACTACACCGAGACAACGCCGAGGCAGGGGGGGAGGTAGGGGAGGAGGGGGAGGAGGTAGGGGAGGAGGGGGAGGGGGCAGGGGGATGTAGGAGGTTGAAATCATGGAGGTCATGATGAGGGCGGATATACAAGTTGTTGTTGCAATTTACTTCTGGTTTTCTTGAGCTCTGGTTTCCTGAATAACTGCAGTACTTCCGTCAAGCCAGCCAGCCCTCGCTCTGGTATTCGTTCATTACCGTGGGTGATCCCGGGCTATCGGCTATGGATGGTCTTACTGTTAGATGGCGAGCTCTGTATAGATGCCCTCCCGCCCTTCTCGGTAATCATGAACTGCACCAACTCAGTCAGGCCGGCCCAACGTGTGGTTCAGCTTAGTCTCCGTGCCACTTCAGATATAGCTGGGCCCCCTTTAGTCCTCTTGAACGTCTTCTGTAAATCGGTCAGGCGTTTCGTTGCCCCCTTTATCTACACCCTGGGTATAAGCAGTGCTTACGACTCCGTGTAGTAATTATGTAAATTGAATTCCCTGGTCGCCTTGACACATGAATAACTCACCGTCTTACAAGAATAGCACAGAAATGGAACATTCAAGTTACATGTTTTATAGTTCCGTAGCTCTGAGTGTTATAAAATTAAGCTCCTAGTCTTCTACACAGTAATTACCATCAGCATCAACCTCAGACCTATATACGAACTGGCCGAACGGACCCCTACATTGCCTTCCGCTTTTCTCCCCCCTTCTGAGCCGGTCGACGGGTGTAAGGGATTGCTCATTTTTTTTTTCTTTTTCTTTTTATTTCTTTTGAAGGAATACCCTGTTAAAAATATTCTTGGCGTTATGTGGTTGTCGTGAAATTGTGAGCATCGCCGACAAGAGCGGAGTCACCCTCTGTTTCTGGAGTTTACATGAGGGGTGACACTACTGTACCGTTGTGTGTGTGTGTGTGTGTGTGTGTGTGTGTGAGAGAGAGAGAGAGAGAGAGAGAGAGAGAGAGAGTCAGTCGGGAGTAGATACCGTCTACACCATTGCAATACACTCGCCTCAGGATTCAGTTTCTTGTTTCTCAAAGTTGGCCCCAGTGTCTACCTTGATTTCGTTATCTTGAAATCATGATCTTTGGCTCACACTTTCTTCACCGAGGGAAATATTACACGAAGTGGTGTCGTACAGATGTACATGTATGTACATACCCTTACGCTGTTACGCAACAACGTTGTCACGGGAGCTCGCAGTGAAGTCATCACAGGAGTGCTCCTCCCAATCAACGTTGACAGGAACGCGGTTAGTCCTCCATGTTGACTATGCCCGCTCTAGCTAATCGTTAACGTTGGCGAGAAGCGCCAGACGGTCGGTGCCTGCTCTCTGCCCTAATTATTGAGCGCAGAGGGAACATCAGAATACACCCAATTATCTACACAACAGCTCGTTCCCTAGTTCATCGTTCTCCTCGTGCCGTGCCCCACTATTTCCGGCATCACGAAGGCCACCACTAAGAATTCGACGGGAAATAGGGGGAGGTGTTCCGGTCTCGGTACGGAGGTTCTGCGAACGAAGCCGACCCCGCAGCGCCAAGGCGCCCAACCGGCCGCGGCCGGCCCCGCCCCGACTTTCCGTTCCGGAGGGTCACGAAGCCGAACTTCTGCGGGGAAGAGTCGACTCTATGAAACAGCCCGAGATGGCTCGAGGGCAGTTGGTAATCTAGTCCGCTCAGTTGGGAATGCGATGTCGTCGGTGTGTAATTATCAGTAACTTGCGAGATTCGCTAGTTACTAGTAAGCCCGGTTCTCGGGACGGCGATGGTTGGAACAAGCCTTCGACCATCTGATGGTGGCACGGCCGCCGGCCGGGCGGGGCCCGCCTAGGTAGTCTTTCAACCGATCGGACACTGGTATGTTTGCAGCCCCAGATTTTTAACTATTCGGGGCCCCAAAACTTAAAAAGAACGGTTGATCCCAGGGAGATCTCGCGTATCGTGAACCCACTCGTTGCTGGAGGGTTTGGCCTCGAAGGCGAACGCCACGATATGATTCTCACTTGAGAGGCTGAGAGGGCTGCAAAGATTCGCATTCGTGGCGTTCGAGATGCGGGAGCGCTGGTCCTCATCTCGTCAATTCCCTGAAGCCCCGCTTCTAGAAAAACGATTCGCCGCTCCTTCGAGCCGACTTGTTTCATCTCTCCTCCCACCGACTCCATTGCACCCGCATCATCTGAAGTCTGTCAGCCTGATGCTTGCTGTTGGTGGCCAGGCTAGGCTGCCAGGCTGAGGGTTTTCGTTCAGATGACGAAACCCAGAATCCCCCGCGTGATGCCCTCAGCCGTGTCCCATGAGTGCGCCTCTCACAAGAAACCCTCAAAAAAACCCCGTAGTTTATCCGTGAACACGGATAAGGAAAAGCAATGGCCGAGGGCTGACGGTGCCGTCTTGCCGAAAAGACGTAGTGATTTGCAGTGATATGCGCTCGACAGTTCATACTTGGCAGGCTGTGGGAGGCGACAGGAGCGTGAGAAAGCGGCGGAAAAGTTGGCTGTGGGCCCCGAGGACCCTGGATTGGTGGGTTAGCGGCTTGGCAAGCCAAGGCAAGCCTGGCTTTGGCTGTCCTTCAGGGGGGCATGGGGGGCACGGGGGCTTGCAGGGGGGGCGTGTGCCTCGCCCAGAGTGGGTTTCGCGGGTGTTCCCCATCTGCGACAAGCAGCTAACTCACTCGCGGGCCAACTCCAAGTGGAAAGACATTCCATCTTTCTGCACACCCGTCGCCCGTGACCCCGAGACCCGGAGGACCGACTGAGTTATTCCAACCGGCAATCCCTCTCCCTCGTGACAGCTGACCGACCAACCTGCCGACCGATGCGTCCGTCACCAGCGGATCCCGTCACGTTCGGACTAGGCTCCAGGTCCCTCTCTTCCCTCTCCATCATCGTGCAGCGGCACTCCACGCGGACGCGGGCTGCTGCCAAACAGCCCCATCACCTCCAAGATTCCCGCCTCCAACTCTGCTCGTCTTCCTTCCAACATCCCCCTTCGCACGTTGCCCGCCGCCCACGACGACCACCACCGCCGAGAGCAGGCATCCCGGCTTCTACCCTCCTCGCAGCACGGACGGGGGCATCCCATTGACGAACCGGGCTCTTCATCCGAGTCGGACGATAATAACGACAAGGGCCACCACGAAGGCGACGACGACGACGACGATTACTCCAGTTCGTGGACCGACACCGGGGACATCGCCGAGCAGCTTGCCGACGAAGACCCGCTGCGCCAGCGAGTGAACGACGACGGTGACTCTTCCCTCGCGGGCGCTTTCAAGAAGAACAGTAACAAAAAGAACAAGAAGGTCCGCTACCGCGAGCCGGTGTCATCGTCTGGAAGCAGCCGGTCGACATCACGCCACGCCGGCGTCATCGACAAGGAGGCCATCCAGGTCCCGACTATCGGAAACCGCAGAGCATCGCGGGCTGAGCGCCTGCTAGCCACCATCATGACGGGCGGTTCCGGTTCCATCCACGGCCTGACGGGCAAGCCGTTGCTGTTCGTCCCCCTTTCCCCCTGCTAAGAGAAGATGAAGATAATTCGTAGTTCGCAATTACGGGCGATGCTGACATCAATTGGCTAATCCAGGTACTTTACGTCGATTTTTGTATCATTAGGCGTTTTTCTTTTCGGATATGACCAGGGTGTCATGTCCGGTATCATCATGTAAGCCTGCTTTTGTCCTGACCATTGATGCATACTAGCAAGCAAAGCATTCAACTAACCCTCTGATAGTGGCGATTATTTCAGAAAATATTTCCATGACCCGTCCCCCGTGGAGATCGCGACCATGGTCGCGATCCTCGAGGTCGGCGCTTTCATCTCATCCCTAATGGTCGGGCGGATCGGCGATATCATCGGCCGCCGCAAGACTATCTTCTACGGTTCCTGCGTCTTTTTCATCGGCGGTGCCCTGCAGAGCTTCGCCAATGGCATGGCTATGATGATGGTCGGCCGTGTCCTGGCCGGTCTCGGCGTTGGTATGCTGTCCACCATCGTGCCTGTCTACCAGTCCGAGATCTCGCCGCCGCACAACCGTGGTCAGCTCGCCTGCATCGAGTTCACCGGCAACATCATTGGCTACGCGACCTCGGTCTGGGTCGACTACTTTTGCATGTTCATCAAGAGCGACTTGTCCTGGCGTCTGCCTTTGCTGATGCAGTGCGTCATGGGTGGCCTGCTTGGCCTGGGCAGCTTGATCATTGTGGAATCCCCCAGGTGGCTTCTGGACAACGACCACGACGAGGAAGGCATTGTGGTCATTGCCAACCTCTACGGAGGTGGTGACATCCACAACCCCCGCGCCCGCGACGAATTCCGCGACATCAAGATGAACGTCCTCCTGCAGCGCCAGGAAGGCGAGCGCACCTACAGCGACATGTTCAAGCGCTACAGCCGTCGTGTCTTCATCGCCATGTCCGCCCAGGCATTGGCCCAGCTCAACGGCATCAACGTCATCTCGTACTATGCCCCATACCTCTTTGAACGCGCAGGCTGGGTCGGCCAGGCGGCCGTGCTCATGGCTGGGATTAACGGTCTCACCTATGTCCTGTCCACCATCCCGCCGTGGTACATCGTCGACCGATGGGGCCGCCGGCCGATCCTGCTGTCGGGCGCCATCGCCATGACTGTGTCGCTCTCGCTCATTGCCTATGTCCAATACCTCGACATCCCCGCCACCCCGAAGCTGGTTGTGCTCCTCGTGGTTATCTACAACGCTGCGTTCGGGTACTCGTGGGGCCCTATCCCCTGGCTCTACCCCCCGGAGATCCTGCCGCTCAAGATCCGCTCCAAGGGTGCCAGTTTGTCGACCGCGACCAACTGGGCTTTCAACTGGTTGGTGGGCGAGATGACCCCGATTCTGCAGGAGCTTATCCACTGGCGGTTGTATCTCGTGCACGCCTTCTTTTGCGCTCTCAGCTTTGTCGTCGGTACGTCTTTCTTCCTTTCCCCCTCATTCCCCCGCTTCTCCAGTCCATAACTAACGCTTTTACCCTCTCCAGTCTACTTCCTCTACCCCGAAACCTGCGGCGTCCGCCTCGAAGACATGGACGCCCTCTTCGGCGACTCCACCCGCGCCCTCGGCACTCCAGCCTCAGGCACCACCCCAGCCCTCCACGCCGAATCCGACGCCCTGCTGCGTCCCAGCTCGCCCATCCCTGCGCTCGACGGCAGCAGCAGCATCGGTGGCATTCCCGGCAGCCCTGCTGAGCAGCGCCGGGCTGCCGCGGCTGCTGCGATCCCGGGCTTGGATATTGACCCGCCTGAGGATGTGGAGGCTGTGAGTAAGCCGAGGAATGGGAATGGTGGTGCTGGGGGACGGGGAGGGATTGGGGGGTGGTTTTCGAGGATTATTGGGCGCGGTGGGAATGGAGAGGGGAATAGTGGGGGGGCGTATGCGCCGGTCAGGCAGGGCGATGAATAAATGATTATGGTATAGACGGTTCGGGAGCGGTGGGTGGAGGGTAGGCTGTTATGGGGTTGTTAGGTGTTGGATTTGGTGAGCGGACGGTGGGATATGGTATGGTCGTTGGTGGTTTGGGTATGGAGGTAATCACGCGGTGCATATAGATGGCGCGAGCTGTCGAAGGTTTGGCTTGGCTAGCCAGCCGCCAGGTTGCTTGGGAATGTTTTTCCTTTTTTTGTCTTGCGGTTTCTTTCCTTCAACGGATTGTCTCTGACGACATCTTGTCTCCATTTCTCTTTTCGACTTTCCTTTCTGATCTGAGGACGTAATTACGGCTACATAGGATGAAGAACGGCTCGTTGAGGGCCATTACAGCGGACCTACAGCGGGTGTGGAGCATAGATGTTCATCGTGAGGCGAGGATGAACGCAATGCTTATAGATTGATTTCTTCCCATGAGCTGCTATCAGCCTCGTGACGATGGCTTTTTTGGGGTCTGTGAAAGAAACTATCCCTTGTGTTCCCTCCGTAGTATGAATTTTTTTATTTTTCCCAGTCCTTTATGGGAAGCTCACCGTCCCCTCTAAAGGAAGCTTGACCAACTTCACGATTGGCCCGTGCACACCCAGCTTCATAGCACCAATTCCATCTCAAAAACTTATCGACTCACCTTCAACATCTTAAACAGCCAGCCCAAACCGGCCCAACACAACCCACTACTTAAGAACGCCCCTCAACCCCACAATGCCAGCCACCACAAACCTCGTCCACTCCTACCGGCACCTCCTCCGCGCCGGCCTCCGCGCCGTCCAATTCTCCAAACCCTCCCGGTACATCATCCGAGACGTGCTGCGCAAGGAGTTCCGCGATCCCCGGGGTGTGTTTGAAGCGGAAAAGGCACGGCGCACGGTTTGGTTCCTGAACGCCGCGGCTCAGTCGCGTGGGCTGGAGCACAAGATCTTGAAGAATTTGTGTAGGGTGCATTGGGAACGGAAGCAGGTGGAGCATGCGGTGCCGTGGCGGATGAAGGTTATTAAGATGACGGATGATAAGGCGAGGAAGTGGACTTTGTGAGTATTTGTTTGTTACTTTTTTATTGGTTGCTCTTTCGCTTTTATCTCGACTTTCTTTGTGCTTTATGTTTTTTCTACCTGTTTTTTCACACTCACTTCCAAAGGCAGAGACTAACACACAGGACAAAAAGGCCCGCAGATTCGATCAAGGGCACCGAATTTGAGCACTATGATCGGACGATCGCCATGCTGAATGATTCTATGGGATTATGTCTGCGTTGAAGTCGTCGATATCAACGAAGCATGCTCTTGTTATCAAATTCGACAACCATTTGTCGGGCCGGCTGTCAGCCAGCTGTCAACTAATGGGGTCGACTGGCGGGCAACCCCAACTCTGGACCCCGCGAGACCGGGCCTAACTAGCGTCGGGTCGGAGCTGAGCACAGCACCACGGTGCTCCTCGACATTTACTGCGGCTCATGCCGTTTAGAGCCGGCCCGTGATGGGCACTAGCGGTGGTTGAATGAAGGGGGCCATGGGCTTTGGATTCAATGTGGTCGGTTGTGGCATGGCCAGTCCGAGAAACCAACTCCACGAAACAAATCAAACGTGCGAAGACATCTGCAGAGAGCGGGAGCCGTTTTTGCAGATCGCCGGCGGACGATCGACAGATGTGGGGAGGGTTGTTATCTGAGGACCCCAAGAGGGCGTGACGGTGTGACGGTGAAGAGGTTGGGACGGATCTGGGGTCAAGGAATGAGGTCGAAACTGATGAGAATCTGGAGGAATTCAGAGGCATACTGTCCAGTCCTCCGTACGCAAGAGAAGAAGAGGCTTTTTCGAATAACTCGCCTTGATCCTATCCATCGCATCGTCAGTTCACAAGCTGGCGCAATATAAGAATCATAGGCCGAGGCGAGAGCTGCGCTGGGGCGGCTGCGGTGCTTCTGCCGGCCTGCCTCCGCAGGACGCTGTCCTCAATTCGGCAAGGCATGTTGCAGCAATGACGTGACCCCTTGTCAAGCGTTCATCGGGGATGACCTCCTCACGTCCGCCATTCCATTTCCCCATCACCATGTCCCGCTCTCGACACATCCATAATCTCCTTCCCCGCCATTTGCAGAGGCAACTGTTTGCGGCAAACGGCATTTTGCCGTTGCCCACCCGGGCTCCAGCATAGTTATTGAGTCGCGTGTCCTGTGTTGGCCGTCCCCGAGCTCTTCTTTTTGGGAGGGAAAAGGGTGACATTGGAATTGGAGACAGGGAGTTGTCCCGTGCTGAAAACGATCCCGGAAATTTCACTACTTGGCAGCTTCCCGGTCCGGCAGCGCTGAAGCTTGGGCCGACTTGGCCACTCACTCTTGCGACGCCGAGCTACGTCGAACCACCAGAACGAAGCTTCCACTTTGTGTGTAGGTAGTACCTCTCTATCAACCCCGCAATTGGGAATTGCCCACAGCGTCACTCCATCCACGTTCTTTGGTCGGTCCAGAAGCTTCAATCCCCGTTGTACAAGCTAACGAGCTTCTCGACCAAGCCACCCCGCCTGCCCACCAACCAATTGACGTCCGTCCTTGCGGGCAGGGCATCCATATCGACGCCTGTCCATCCTTGGCCATCGTCCAGTGCCATCCTATCTCTCCCTCGGAAACACTTTGTCTTTAGCTTCCTTTCCGTCCACATCGCGCTCCCGATCCTCCTTTTCCTCCCCTTTTCGAATCCCCATCCACGATTGTATCGAGCCGCCCCTGAGTACGGTGAACCAACAACAAGAACAGGGACTGTTCTCCTCCTACCAGACCGGCGGGGGTTCTTTATGGACCCTCACCCGCTGGCCTAGGTCCTTTCGCGACCGTTCTGCTGAGGACTCTGGTCTCGGCCGGTGCCCCCGAGACCACCGTCCGTCGGCCGGCGGCGTTCCGTGAGAGGTGCCTCGCGCCGGGATCCGACCGGAATAAGCGGGGGTGCACGCCGAGAGGATAAGAGAAATATTGTTAGAAGGAAGGCGCACAAAATAAACACACAGCCACCGCGGCGATAATCAAACAAAAAGAGCAGCGGAAGAAAGGAAGTGCCCCGTAGTATGCCTACTGAGTTCCGGCCCGCTACTTGCCTCGACAACCACCATCAAACCTCCCCGTTCCACCAAGATGGTACAGCCCACGAGCGCAGCTCTCCATTTCTCATCATGCCTTCGTCTTCAGAATCTCCCCGTCAGAACGATGACAAGCCGCAGCAGCCAGAGCGTCAGCAACAGCAGGCGCAGAAATTGCAGCAGCCAAAACATCAAAGCGTGAACGGACGAAGCGTGGACGATGGTAGTTTCAATGAGGACATCTGCCCCGACCCGCGATTGGGAACTGCCGCCGCTGCGGCCGCCGCTATGCACCATAAGTCGTCCTCGACGGCCATCTCGAAAAGCTCCCCTGCCATGAGCAACGACGCGGTCTCCAACTACCAGCGCTTGATCAAGCGCTATCGCGTCGAAGTAGCGGCCTCGGCCTCTAGCGTGCTTTCCACACTATCGACCTTCCCGCTCGACAGCGTCAAGACGCGCATGCAAACCTACCGATACGATGGTTTCCTCGACTGCGTCAGGCAGACCTACCAGACTGAGAAATTCCACGGCTTCTTTCGCGGCGTCACGGCGCCCATGGCGAGTATCACGTTGGTCCGGACGGTTTCGTTTTCAATCTACCAACGCTCCAAGTATTCGTACTGCGACTGGGTCAAGCGCAACTTTGGCGTGGATATCATGGCCCACGTCAGCAAGACGGGCACGTTTCCGACTTTGTGGTCTGTAGCCACGTTTGGTGCCGCTGGTGCTACCGCGGGGTCCTGTATTACAGTCATCGCCTGTGAGTTGACTTGATTGAGGGGTTGGTTCCGAGAATCGGGGATGACAGATGACTGACTCTTCTCATCTTCTACGTTTTAGGCCCCTTCGAGTTAACCAAACTTAGCGCTCAAGTCTCTGTTCTTTTGGCGGATAAGAAGAACTGCCCCAAGCCGGAAGCCCAGAAGATCGCCGCCAGCTACCAGAATAAAGGAACCCTCAAGACGCTGGGCAACATTGTCAAACATCGCGGCTTCGGTGGTTTGTACACCGGCTTTCGGTTACACCTGCGTAAGCCAGCACACCCCCCTTCCCCCTTTTCCCACTTACACCAATGTCAACAAAGCCCCTGTCTTACGTAAGGTGCTTTCAACTCTAAATCAACCTCAACTAACAACGCCCTCGGGGTCTAGTGCGCGATACACTTGGCACGGGAACCTACTTCATGACATATGAGAGTAGCAAGCAGCTCCTAACCACGTTTGGCGGTGACGGCACGCACTCTAACCCACTTGCGGTCCTGGTTGCCGGTGGATTGTGCGGGATAGTGTCCTGGGCATTGATCTGTAAGTCGTTTCATGCCTTGTCGCCTGGCACGTGATATCAAATAGGACCTCCTTCTAACCCAACTACTTCCCTCTAGACCCGGTTGACTCGGCGAAATCGATCTACCAGCGCAACTCGCTGTTGTACTCCAAGGGCGAGAAGGTAGAGCCGGTGAAAATCGAGTTCTTCCAACGCAACATGTACCGCGGCCTCGGTGTGTCTATGGGACGATCGTGTGCGGTCAATGCCGTGTTCTTCTCGGCTTTTGAGTTTCTCAAGAAGCGCATCAAGAATTGGGATCCGTGAACGGCTGGGTGTTGCACAGCTGTGCCCCGCGTTACTTTTTTTTCTGTGTCTTGCTTTCATCGGGTCTTGATTTCTTTCTTCCCTTGTTGTCTACTTCAGGTGATAGGTCTTCTCCTATTGCCTGAATCTTCTTTCGTCTACCTTTTCGTCTCGTCTTCTTGTTCTTTTCTCTTTCTTCTGATATCAGCCTTTTAGGCGATGTTGGTGGACCAGAGAAGGACATAACGGACACATGGATACAAAAATCTTTGTCTTCCACCCTAGCGGGCTTTGGACCTGGTACTAGGGCCGAAGAGGGTACGGAAAGGACTGGTGCATCACCACGGGGCGACGTGTATTATGGGATTGTTGTATCTGTCAGAGTATCATGGGTTTTGCTCCTCTTTTTTTTCTTCATTTCTCCATGTCTTTTCTACCATCATCCAACATCAATCTTCCTTTGTTAGGAGTGGGTGGGCACTTCAAAGGGCAGGGAATTGGGGAATCGGGGAAACGGAGAAATGGGGCGTTTGTTTGTTTGCTTGCTTGCTTGTTTCTAGGTCCTTACTCGGTAACGGTACTTTACTGGACTTCGTCTTCAGGCTCAGGGACGGGGCGTCAATCGTTTCTATGGGGAACGGGGGCTGGGACAAGGAAAGGAAATCCGGGAAAGCGGAGTGATGGATGAATGTATGTATGTATTGTATCAGCGAACCTGGGCGAGACGCCCGGTAGCGAGCGGAATCGGAATACAGCTAGCTTAGTTGTAGCTAATTCGATTTTGTGGTGTTCAAGTGTCATCAATGTGCTTGGGCAATGATCACACACGTGGTTGAGCAAGGACGATAACTACCTCTACTAGTGTAGAGATGTAGTATCTCAAAGGGAGTCAACAGTTCACCGCTGACCCTAACCCTTACATCATCGAAGAGGAACGATACATGTCACTCGGGCTGTTGTCCAAATGTAGTACCTTTGAAAGCAGCATAAGGTGCAATGGGAGTTGTACTCATCTGAATCATCAAGAGAAAGCAAAGGAAGGGAGTCTCAAATGATGTTCGTTGACCCAGTCTCGATATTAGGAGGTGCATAGTATTCGGTACACCGTGCGAAGTGCAAAGTGTATCATCAAGCGTAGCCCGTCCGTTCACATGCATCTTTCGACAGCACTGGGAGGCGACTTGGGGGTACTATTTCTATTATTATATCAAAACCTTCAGCTGGTTCATTAATTCACTTTTTTAAGGGAAAAGGATTGTGAATCTAGGTCAATGGCGAGAGCAACGCTCATGGTGATACCGTGTTGTCAGTATTCGTAGCACTGTGTGGAGCTGCTGGCTCACAACCTTAATTTTTCTTCATCTCACAGACACCATAGCTCATCCATCGAAACATGATAAAACTCATCTTGACTGCCTGTGGGCTTGACAACTGGTGGTGAGCAGCATTGAGTCGGCCAGTAATCGCGCTACTATTTAGACAAGGTTGTTGCAGCCCCCATTTTTTGGCTGTTTAATCTTCCCTTTGTTTTTCGTCTAATTAATTTTTCCTGCTCTCGAACCCACCTTTACAATGTCACGACGACACGGCGGCATCAACCCCCGACTCGGGTTAGACCGCGACGTCTACCAAATCGTCCTCAAGCTCGAAGCCGAAGGCAGCGAGGAAGGCACTGCTTCCGCACGAACCCGCCGACTCACCGTAGGCTCGGTATACGACAGCATCAAACGGTCCAATTCGAGTCTCGCGCGTTCCAAGAAGCGGCCCCTGGAGGAATCCATCGAGCGCGTGCTGGCTGCACGCAGAGACCAGGCCAGGGCTGACGAGCAAGAGGACTCGGACGATTTGTTGGAGGTGCAGGAGCAGGAACGGATTAAGGCGGCTAAGGCGGAGCGGGATCAGAATTTGTTGAATCGGCAGATTGCAAAGTCTTGGGGGTTTGGGGGGGGTGTGGTGGATAGGAGTGCTGCTGCTGGTACTGCTGGGACGACTGATTCATCTGTTGCTACTGTCACGCCTGCGACAACACCGGGCGCACAACCACCACCAGAAAACATCCCCTCATCAACCCCAACCGCCATGGACAACACATCCGGCGCTCCCGCTGCAGCTGCTGCGGCCGCAGACAGACAACCCAACGGCGAGCCACGCCCCAAAAAGCGCAAACTCCCCAAAGAAATCGACCGCAGCCCACCAACCGGCGTCTCCATCCTCGACATCGCCGGTGTAGACGACACCCTAGACCGACTCCTCGACGAAGTCTGGTTCCCGCTATGCGCGGGCGAAGCCTGTGAGAAGATGGGTTACCGATACGACAACGGCGTGCTACTCCACGGCCCGTCCGGGTGCGGCAAGACCACCCTGGCACACGCCGTGGCCGGCAGCGTAGGCGCTGCGTTTATTCCCGTTTCGGCGCCGTCTGTGGTGGGGGGCACGTCCGGGGAGTCGGAGAAGAATATCCGGGATGTGTTTGATGAGGCCATTCGGCTGGCGCCGTGTCTGGTGTTTTTTGATGAGATTGATTCAATTGCGGGGCGCCGGGAGAGTGCGAATAAGGGGATGGAGAGCCGGATTGTGGCGGAGATTATGAATGGGATGGACCGGATTCGGCAGCAGACGCCGCTGGGGAAAAATGTGGTTGTGCTGGCGGCGACGAATAGGCCGGATTTTTTGGACCCGGCTATTCGTCGCCGGTTTAGCTCGGAGATTGATATGGGCATGCCGAGCGAGGTGGCTCGGGAGCATATCCTGCGGTCGTTGACGCGCGATCTGAGTGTGGATGAGGATGTGGATTTCCGGTTGTTGGCCAAGATGACGCCGGGGTATGTCGGGAGTGATTTGCAGTATGTTGTTAAGGCGGCTGTGTCGGGGAGCTGTCGTGGGAAACTTGATGATCTCTTGCGGAAAGCTCGCGCTCAGCAGCGGCCAACTGAGGGGGAACTAGGGAGACCAGGAAGAGAATCAGAAGCTGAAGGTGGAGAAGAAGAAGAACCAAACGAAGAACGAAACCGTCTCACGGCCGCCTCCCAAAAGCAGCGCGACTGGGTCCTCCTAGAAGACCACCGACGAGCCCCCTGGGACGAAAGCCGCATCACCATGTCCCAATTCCAAGCGGCCGTCTCCCGCGTCCAACCCGCCTCCAAGCGCGAAGGCTTCAGCACCATCCCCGACACCACCTGGGCACACGTCGGCGCCCTCGGCCCCGTCCGCAAAAAGCTCGAGATGTCCATCGTCGGCCCTATTAAAAACCCTGACCTCTTCGCCCGCGTCGGCATCAAACCCGCAGCCGGCATCCTCCTCTGGGGCCCGCCGGGTTGCGGCAAAACCCTCGTCGCGAAAGCCGTCGCCAACGAGTCCAAAGCCAACTTCATCTCCATCAAAGGCCCAGAGCTCCTCAACAAATACGTCGGCGAATCCGAGCGCGCGGTACGCCAGCTCTTCGCGCGCGCCAAGTCATCCGCCCCTTGCATCCTCTTCTTCGACGAGATGGACGCACTCGTCCCCAAGCGCGACGACTCGCTCTCCGACGCCAGCGCCCGCGTCGTCAATACTTTGCTTACCGAACTCGACGGCGTCGGCGACCGGTCGGGAATCTACGTCGTTGGCGCTACCAACCGCCCGGATATCATCGACGAGGCTATCCGTCGCCCCGGCCGGTTGGGTACCAGTATCTATGTCGGCTTGCCCTCGGCCCCTGACCGCGTTGAGATTCTTAAAACGCTGTATCGCAACACTGTTGCCAAGGCGCGTCGGGGGCGGTCGCTGCCGAATACTCATACCAATACCAACGGTGGTGGGATGGACATCGACATGCTCGACGCCACATCTACCAACACCATCACGAACAAGACATCATCACCCCCCGGCACCACCGAAGCCGACCTGGAACGTGTCGCCCGCGACCCCCGGTGCACCGGCTTTTCCGGCGCCGACCTCGGCAGTCTGATGCAAGCTGCTGCGCAGGCGTGTCTCGAGCGGGCTTATCTCCAGGGGGCGTTTTCTTCTACTTCTACTTCTACTTCTACTTCTGATTCTGATACTCCCAGTAATGTTGGGGGAGGGACAGGCACGGGAGCGGGAGTGGTGGAACCGGCGATCTTGCCGGAGGATTGGGAACGGGCGTTGAGTGAGGTGAAGCCGAGTGTGAAGGATCCAGAGATGTATGCGTTAGATAAGTAGAGGGGGGTGGCGTATAATACACAACGGTTGTAGATGTGGTGTTGGATCTAAAGAGAGTGTGCGCTGCCGTCTGGTGTTCTTGATAGATTGACTATGGTGCAGTGTAGCAGATGAGACGGGTTGTGTGAGTTGTCTTCCCAAGACTTGGGATATTTCCTCACAGGACCCTTCCAGTGACTTTCTTTGTTTCCCATTTTTTAGCATGATACCTCAGCTAGTCACCACCAATAATTATACAGGTAGAAAATGAGATATTCCTAAAATGATTGTTTGGCTTCCTTAATACCACTTAGACATATTCTAGAGACGGAGACGGCCGATCTCGGCGTTCGGGATCTCGGCAAATCAGGAACTTTTCGAATCGAATATTTCACAAGACCCAAAACACCGAATCACAGCCACCCATTTCACACCGCATCAAGGACAACGCATACTCGCGTTTCGTCATCTGTTATGAAGAGCAGGGAATCATTGTTCATCAGTCAGGCTTGCCTCGCGCCTCTCTCTCGTCTAAAGTCCATCTGGTATGTCGTCGTCATTGTGCACCCCGGCACCTCCGTCGTCTTTCGTCTGTCTCCTTTCCTTCATCTCTTCTATGGTACAAAAATCGTAACAGTAGTAAGTAGTAGTTGTGAGTGCCGTTACAAGAGCCGCCCCGTCTAATGCAAAAAGAGGTGGTAGCAAAAAAACGGACCAACTCCCATATTTTTCCCTCGCAACACCATAACACGTAGGAAAGAAACCCCGGTCTAATAATGGAACAGGCCGGCTTTTCTTCCCGCTTTCTTTCCTGATGGTGAAAAAATGGATAGTATTACAATGCGACGCTTTCAACCCCGGTTATTAGGCGGAGATCTATTTGGTCGACTCCTTGAGGAAGCTGTGGGAAAATTGTTAGCGTCTCCATGTCGGTAAAATCGTAACAGAAGGGGAGGATAAGGGGGGTGGGGGCATACGTGATCAGGTCGTTCCTCTCCTTCTCCTTCTTGAGACCACCGAAGGCCATCTTGGTGCCGGGGATGTACTTCTTGGGGTTCTCGAGGTACGCGAACTAGGGATTCGTTAGCACACAATAAACACAACACACAAAGGGTTGCCAGCGCCCAGATTCAAACGCACCAGAGTGTCGTCGTCCCAGGTGATGCCCTTCTGCTTGTTGGCGTCGGTGTAGGCGTAGCCCTCGACGGAGCCGGTCTTGCGGCCGAACAGGCCGTGGAGCGCGGGGCCGATCTTGTTGCCGCCGTCAGCCTCGACGGTGTGGCACTGCGCGCAGCGGGTCTTGAAGAGGTTGGCACCCTTCTTAGCATCTCCTGTGGGTTGGTTGTTAGCGGGCCTGGTCAGGGGATCGTTCTTGGAGTTGTGTTATGGCGGGGGTTGTCGTTGGTGATGCTCGAGCGGCTCGGCCTGCTGCAAAACGCTGTCCTTCCCGTGGCTCGTCTATAAGTATCCGTGGTCCCGCTCCCCCGGACGTCTTTGGAAATTGACGCAAGGTTGTGATCGGGGGTGGGTGAGGGGGAACGTTTGCAACGCCGCAATAGCGACGAGACCCAAGATCCCGAGGAATCAAGGACAAATATCGCAAAGTCCCATATCCCCGGACCTAGGGAAGGGTGTGTAGACGGCCAATGGCTGGGAACGGCAGAGCGGTAAGGGCAGCGAGGTGCGGCCGCGATCGAGATCCGAAGCGCGGAAGAGCGGAAGCGAGTGGGAAAACCTACCAGGAGCGACGCCCATCTTGACGGATTGGTGTGGTATTAGGAGTTAAATGTGTTTGAAAAATGAAGGTGGTGCTAAACGCAAAGACTGTGTCTTGAGGTTACAAAGTTGGGATGTGAAAGGAAGCAAGACGGAGGAAAAAGAGGTCCTTGAAAAAATTCTGGGATGAGGTGTTAGTTGGCTGGCTGCCTTTCGCTGGCTGCGCCATGGGGGGCGGCAAGCCGGGATTTCTTTCAATGACCGCTGCCAAGACAAGCACCATCGCCCACTGAAGAGCCACAGAGCCACCCACCCACAGCGGGCCTGGCAGAATTTGCCCACATTCCCAGCCCGGCGTGCCAATCAGGACCCGAGAGTTTGTCAGTTGTCACGGGCAAAGTCGGGAGCTACCGGCGCCCTCCCAGCGCAAACCCAGCCGTTCCTTGTTCCTGACCTGGCAGGCGCACGAGCCAACCATCCAACGTTGGGGGAGTTTTTTCCGGGCAAAAATGAAAAAGAAAAGTTAAACACCCCGTCTCGCTTCGAAGCAAGGACCGAGACAGCGCTAGCCGGATTAGGATAGCAGGAAGAAACTCGTTGCAACTGGTGAATTTCTCGAATCGCCATGCATCGAGCCAATTGAGCCGCACCCAACGTCGTCTGGTCCGTTTTTTGCGACTTTGATGTCAAGAACTTTGGTTCTATTCCTTCTGCAGCTGCATTAACCCACCATAACCCAGCAAAGTCAACCAGTCTTCTTCACCGGCGTTTCTCCCGCTCATCCGAATCCCCTCGGCCCTGTCTTTCCCCGCAGCCATGGCCTCAACAACAACCTCAATCCCCCGCTTCCTGCTCCCCCAGTCCGGCCTGATCTGGCGGCGGGCAGTCCGGGTCCCGCTCCCGGCCCGGGTCCGGTCACGCACCCCGTCGTCCTCTCCCACTCCGAACCGCATCTTCCTCCGCCTAGCTAGCAGCAGCAGCAGCGATAGCAGCAGCAACGACAAGGCCAACACACTAGCGAAGCCGGAACGCTTCAACCCGCCCTCGCACGGCTCCCGGCTACCCAGGGGGACACCCCCACGACACTACGGCGGCGAGCTCAACTACCAGGAGGCCAAGGCCCAAGCCAGCCGCGACTACCCAGGCCTGCCCCCGCCTCGCAACTCGATTGCCCACTGGTTCTTGAACAACCGCTGGATCCATGTTGTTATCACCGTCGTATGTCCCACACACCCTTTACCACCAATACACACCACTGTACTTTTTGGCTAATTCATATCCTTAGGGCACCCTCACCGGCCTGTCAATCTACACCTTCGCAATCAACTTCCAGCGCTCCTCCCCCTTCGCCCACATGCTCCCCGCAGCAACCGACTACATTTGGCACCCAATCTCCTCAATCCAGATGCTAGCCGAGGTGACACGGCTACACGAGGGCCATAAAGCCGAGCGGATCTATGAGAAGCGCCAGCGCAGCGTGGATGATGTGGGCAAGCGGGCGGCGTATCGGCGTGCGCATGGGTTGCCGGAGGAGATGGGGCTGTTTAATCAGCCGATGGCGAAGATTCGGAGGGATGGGGAACCTGTGCAGGGGCAGGGGGAAGGGGATATGGTGGTGCAAGAAGGGGGGAAGGAGACGAGGAGGAAGTGGTTGGGTATCTTTTGAATTGGGGGTTGATAGCTTGGTTGGGGGTGAGGTGCATGTACAGGACTCCGGGTTGTATTCCGGGTTGTATAGTAAATGGCTGAGTGTGTACAGAGGTGTAGGATGTCAGGACTTAGTTCCAATCCCGGCCTGAAGTAAAAAACAACAAAATTCCAAGTCCCCTCACATCCAACACCTCTTCAAAGACCTTCCTTCGCTCCTTCCACCTCCCATACACCATGACAGTAACACCCTACCCCAAATCAACCCCCTCCAAAGCATCCAGCACCTCATCCACAACCCCACCCCCTTCCAACACCTTCTGCACCAACGCCCCCAACACCGCCCTCTTAGCCCCGCCCCGCGGCGGCCTCCACACGCCCTCCACCGCCTCCGTCTCACTAGCCATCACTGGCACCACCGCTGTCGACTTTTGCTGCTGCTGCTGCGGCTGCTGTCCCGACGCCCCAAGACTCGCACCATACGCCGCATTAGCAGCATTCGCCACGCCAGGCGGGGTCAGCCGTGAAGGGGGATCGATGGTGCGGATGGATAGTAGGCGGAGGTTACGTCCTTCTTTTTCTTCTTGTTCTTGTGCTTGTGCTTGTCTTATTGGGTCGGCGTCCGCGGTAGTAGTGTGACTCGACGTGCTGGTCACGGACACGGCCAGGGCGGCGTCGGCGACGGCGAGTTCTTCTTTGGATGGGTCGAAGATGATGTTGTTTGCGACGGCCATGACGAGGAGGGTTATTGGTGGGCGGGTGCTGGTACTGGTAGTGCTAGTCGTGGTGTGGGCGGAGGTCTCGCTGCTGCGCGGGAAGAGGTAGGGTGCGGCGGCCCAGTCGTCGTCGAAGAAAGGGTCCTCGTCGCCTTCGGATTTGAGGCGTGGGAGGCGGGTGGAGAGGAGGGCGAGATGGGTGGTGAGGGAGAGTAAGGGGAGAGGGTAAGAGAGTGGTGGGGAGATGAGGATGATCTGGGTTTGGTTGGGTTAGTATTTGTCTGGCAAGAAACATCAAGACTGGGAAGAGAACATACGTCGAGATACAACTTCCAGTGAAACCGCCTGTTAATCCACAACCGCCTAGCAAACTCCCCATCCGCAAGTAACGCCTCACTCAGCATAGCCGACAAGAACGCCGTCCCGGAGTCGTCGTCCCTTAACCCGGGTATCTCAACTGTCATCTCAACCCACGACGCATCCCCTTTCCGCTTATCCTCTGAGCTCCCCTCCTCTCCATCATCCCCCCCTTCAAGACCCCCCTCCTCAAGATAAATCGTATCCTCCCCAGGCCGCAGCGCCGTCCTTTCCACCTCAGCCTTGACGCCGACGATGGCCTCGGTGCCGTCGGCGAAGCAGATCCGGGCGCTGCCGTTGGTGCCCGGGAGGATGCCGGTTTCGGCGACGAGCGGGCGGAATTGGGTCGGTGAGCGGCCGTCGGGGCGGATGGGCGGGATTAGTGAGAGTGAGGCGTGCAGGTAGGCCAGCTCGGCGGGGGAGAGGAGGACGTGTTGGCTCGACGCCATGGTGAATGTGTTGGTGTTTTTTTATTTGCGCGTTTGTTCCGTGTCCTTCCCCTTTTTGAGTCAAGGATTTTGTTTGTCGAATGATCTCAAACCCCGCCAATTGCTCGGTTTGCGGGACGGAAAGCCACGACGAGATCCTGTTGCTCGGGAGTTTTGTTTACAGTTCAAGACTTGCCCGTTTTCAGCAGCATGCTAAAATTTTGGCGGGGCGCGGCTAGTTAAGCATTAGCGCGAGGATGATGTGGGGTAATAAGCGCCGGCAGCCGCGCGCGCTCGGCAACGGCCCCAAATAGGTAATTATGTAAACATGACGAGAACGACCTCCGTACAGTGTGCGATTAACAGATCAACTGACAGCATGAGTCCGTGCTATTCTCAGGTATCAAAATGGTTCCCCCACCCCACCTGCCCAAAGAAATCTTCGGAGGGTTTCTCCAGGGCAGCCGCCAACCTCTCTGATTGACTGATCATGTCCAGCCCACCAGAGCGAGAGTATATCAGTTCCCTAGAGGCCCTATATGGAGGCAAAACATCCTCTGAGTGGTGGCGGGATGCCGTTGCCGACCTGGAAAAGGCCCAAGCCGCCAAGGCAGCCGCTCCAGCGAAGAAACAGCACGGCTACCGCGATGTTGTTGTCCGGGCCCGCATACACCGGGAGCGCGATGTGATTGTCGAATCGATCAAGGAGGAAGACATCCGCCGTCTTGCGTCCTCCTACCACGGCAACGACAGCTGTGTGCTCTTCAAGCCTTTGATCCGCGGCAGCTTCAACGTCTGTTACTTTGTCGAGTTTGCCAATGGGGACCGATGGGTTGTGCGCGTGCCATTACGCCCAATCCTGGCCATAGACCCAGCGGACAAGCTGGAGACTGAGGTTGCTGTGATGCGGCTCTTAGCAGCAAAGGCCACCATTCCGATTCCCAAGGTTCACTTCGCCGCTTTGGGAGACGGCCCCGCGCCGTTTCCTTCTTTTCTCATCTTAGAGTACATTGACGGCCAAAAGCTGGACTACAAGCAGTTCAGGGGCCTCGCCGTCGAGTAGCGCAATCGTCTCTTTGCCTCCCTAGCCGATATTTACATCCAGCTGCGGCGCCTCGAGTTCCCTGCCATTGGCAGGCTCGTCAAAGACGGGGAGACCACAAAGGTTGGCAAGGGGATCTTCACCACCGACATCAACATACAGCATCTAGAGAACTCAGCCCCTTTCGATGTCATCCAATCCCACTCCGGTCCGGGTAACCCACCACTTTACTCAGCCAACGAGTACGCCGAGCTCCTGCTCGATCTAGCCCACAACGGGTTCCTCAAAAGCCGTAGCGCGATAGAGACCGAAGCGCAAGCCGAGGAGTTTCTCTACCACCTGCACGTGTTCCGTGAGCACGCCCATGGCTGGCTCGACCGCAGCCTAGACCAAGGACCTTTCGTGCTCATCCACGGCGATTTAGAGATCTTCAACCTGGTTCTCGACGACGACATGAATGTTGTGTCGGTTCTGGATTGGGAATGGAGCCGTGTTGTCCCCGTCCAGCTAGTTTATCCGCCTTTGTGGCTCAACACCATGCACTTCAAGACTCTGTGCTTAGGATCTCAGTACTACGAATACATCCAAGTTTTCGACGAGTTCCTAGCCATCCTCCGGACTCAGGAAAAGGAGAAATTTGGAAACGAACTTCTGGCTGACGAGTGGACCGAGCGAAAAAAGGACAGCGGGTTCATTGTCGCCCAGGCCATGGAATACTGGACCGCTATGGACTGGTTCGCGTACCGGTGTATTGGAATCAAGGCTCCAGGGAGGTTACGAGGTCTGCGGGGGCGAGTCGACGCTTTTATCCAGGAGGACCCAGCGCGGAAAGAGCCGGTTACAAAGGCTGTGGACGTGAAGGCCTACCAGGCCGAGCTCGAGAAGGAGGGGATGTCATAGAATGCTTCAGCAAACACAGTTGAAGGCAAAGTTGAGGTTACTCCACAACCCGAACAAAATTGAATGGAAACAAGCCCTGTTAAACCGTAATTGTAGGGTCGTTCTAGATATAGTTACCCGGAGCTTAGACTGGTCGTTTTGCGCAGTACCTTCCGCCTTTCACATCCTCTCACTGATTGTAGTATCTGGCTTACTCCTCCGGCCCACAAACGTTCCAGCTTGAATAAGGTTCTGTGTTTGAAGGATAATATATTATGGCCAGTTGACACAGCCAGCCCTCCAACTACGAATTCAACTGAAAATATATGGGAGTAAACCGCAAAGGTAACGATGAATTCCAAAACGAAAAACGATAAAAGAGAAACAGGAGGAGAAAAAGTATGAGGAAGTAGTAAATGTAAGGGGCAGCCATCTAGAAGTAGTGGTGGAAAAAGTCATAACCCACGTTTTTGTTTTTAGAAAACCAAGCAAGTCGTTCGAAATTGATAATGTGAGAATGTTTACGAGCAATTATGGATGTAATCAACCAACTCCCTCTCAAGCTTGCTCGCCTTCTCCCGTCTCTATCTCTAGCCCGGCTTCAGCTTCCGTCCCATCCACTACTTCCGTCCTACCACCAGTTTCCGTCCCATCCCCAGGCGCAAACTCCTCCAAATCTCGGAGCTCTTGCTCAAACCTCTCACATCTCCAGAAGAGGAGTTGGATGGCCATCTCAACATCCTCAAGCGTAGTGCTGTTATCATTTGCCGGGGCTTCTACCCCCCGGCTCTCTTGAACGGCTTGAGCCGTGGAGAGAATGATACCCTCGGTGTTTCCCTCCTCCACCCCTTCTCGGTATCCTTTTATCACATCTTTTTTCTTCTCCAATCTCTCCAGCAACTCATCCCTTCTTTTCAGCTGCTTCCTCAGCTGCTCCTTCCGGAGGTCGGTAATTCGGCGGGAAGGGGCATTCATCTGAAGGGAGATAAAGGGTTAATTAAGTTCAGACAACAATATAAGTGATGAGATGTAGGGATGACTCTACCTTGCTGCTAGATATATCTTGGGATTGTCTAGTCTTGGGATGATTGTGGTTGATTTTGAGAAGGACGGGGTTTGAATCTAATGGCGATGGTGGATGGGATGGTAGATGTGATGGTGGGTTGTTGTGATGCTTGTTTTGATTTCAGATGGTTCCGGCTCGGGATAGTTCAGGCTGGTTTGGTTCGGTTTGATTCAGGTTGGTTCGGCTCGGTTTGGTCTGAGGTAGATATAATATGGATGAAAAGAACCAGTGAGGCTCGCTCCTTCGCTCCTTCCTCTGATGCACAACTTCAAACTCAAAGCCTAGCCAAGGGGAAGGAATCACCGAGTAGGGCCTCTGAGATCTCCCTAGTTAGGAGATCACCTCAACCTGATCCATCCATCGATTCGTACCTTTGGGGCAGGAAACGTGGTATGGCCTCTTGATAGCTCGTCTGTTGGAGGTTGGCCTTGTTAAGTGGCTAGCATATTCTCGTTGAGCTCTGTACACAACATCTCGAAGACGGCTATTGTACACATAGACCTTATCAAAACTTTTGAATGTTCATTGGATTTATCTATCCTCATTCACGGAGGAGTATATTTCAGTGTGTCTTCATCAGTTCCCAATCTCTTAACTACCTACTGTTTATACCAAATCTCCATGATACATATCTCAAACACTCAAAACCCCATTCAATCTCGAGCGTGCGCAGGCTAGAGGAGCAAGCTAAATCCTACAACTATTGAGAGTATGAGAGTGGTGGAAAACGTTAGCCGAAACGACCAGTCTAAGTTCCGGATACACACAGAACGACCGTACAATTCCTACTACAATATATTTCTGTTTCCATTCCTTCTTTCCTTATTTCCTCTTTTTTTCTCCAATCATGGTTGGAGGACCTTTTCCATTACTGGTTCCAGCAGGTTTCCCTTGACCTTTCCTACCACGTATCACATATTTTTACTCGAATTCATAGCTGGACGGCCATGATAAGACGGACACTGAACTTAAAAAAAACAAGCAACCTTGCTAGTGAGTTAGTCACACCCATGCTCATAAACACTCTCACATTATCAGTTTCAAGAACCACTTCCGCCCTCATAAACTAGAGAGGCAAAGCAAAGCAGAACAAGAAAGTAAAAAACCAAACAAGCAAGTCCTCAATTTCGCCGTACACTAACTATCCCCAAGCCCAAACGCCGCTATCATGTGATGATCTGTCCGTATGGTATTGGTATCTGTGCCCATTCCTGTTCCCTTCCCCGTTCCCGTTTCCGTCCATACCCCTTTCCCATTCTCGTTCATGGCTAAGGACAAGCTATGGTAAGATCCGCCCACTTGTCGCTCATTCCCATGTCCATTTGTCCTGTCCAGACAAACCCAAGTGCGATGCTACGCAGTCCATGGCCATTCATGTCAAGTTCATGACTTCCTTCCCTTTTCCTTCCCTGACCCACTGTACCGCCCTTGTCAGTAAAACCGAGTTTTGATTAACCTACAAACGGGCATAGAGCCAACCTCAAGTCCGCAACCCCAACTAATACCCATTCGCAACCCTCCGAAACCCCTCCGGCACAGTCCACCCATGCGTAGCCGCCGCTCTCTCAAAAGCCTCAATGGCCTCTCCCACTCCATAATCCCCTCCCAGACCCTCCCTAACGCCCCAGCTACCACCACCACCACCACCCATACCATGACTAGTAGGGATCCTCGAAGCAAAAGCACTAACAGCACCACCCGTCCCATTCCGATCCGCAAACCTCCCCAACAACCTCGCCGGCCTAGGCTCCAAAGCACACATCGCCATGCGCACCTGCAACAGGACACTCTCCATGGTATTCACAGCCGACCAACCCGTCGCCGTCAACAATTCCATGCACATGGCCCCGCCAGCCGTGACATGGCCCCCACCACCATTCATGAACGGCAAGAAACGCGGCCGAACAACCCTTACAAAGGGAGGGCTGATGGGGAAATCCGGGCCGAACCGGATCTCGAGCACGACAGAGGTGACGCCCGCGGCGCGCATGTCCTGCGCGAGGGGTAAGGTGGGGTCGAAGCTGTGGAGTTGGACGAGCCATTGGAAGAGGTTGGTGATTTCGTCGAAGTCGATGTACCAGCCGAGCTCGTGGAGCGGGGTTTTGAGTTGGAGCTTTTGGAGGGTTCTGAGTTCGCGGCTGAGGGCCATGGCGGCGGCCTCGTTGGCGAAGGCTGGAGGGGGGAGGCGGGTGATGGTGGAGAGATTGAGTGTGCCGGGCTCGAAGTCGGTGAGGCCGCGGTTGGGTGCGATGCTTGAGGGCGTGGGGGGGCCGTTGCCTATGACGCTGGGAGTGGGTTTGTTGTTAGCAGTCTTCCGGCCGTTGTGATCATCTATAGCGACATACCCATATTCCTGGCCCGCGACCTCCACATCCATAGGGTCTGAGGTCGAGGCCCGGGATACCTTCTTCGAAGGGGGACTTGCGAGCTCATCGTCACGCTCTTGGTCTGGCCGCAGACGGGACACATCCTCTTCGTACTCGATGTCGCTGGACTCCAGATCATCCACGGACCGCTTAGGCAGTTTCGACGGCATCGTGGCTGTCAGCGCGGCCGTGGGGCCGACCGTCCGGAGCGGAATCGAAGACAACGGGATCTGTAGAGGGGTGCGCGATGGGCCAAAAATACCGCGCCCCGACGCCTGTGGATAGTACTCGGTCCCTGTCTCGGTCACTGGAGCCTGCGTCTGGCCCGCAGTAGCGGCTGCTGATTTGCTTCGCAGCGTTGTTTTCCCGATCATCGCGCTCTTGTTCGACGCGAGCCACCCCGCGGTAGTTTGTACAAATAGGTACCGGCACTGGTGCCAGTCGGGCTGCGCGACCACGTAGTGCGGGGAGGAACATTCAAACTCCTCGGGCGCGTTAATGATCTCGTTAAGGCCGAGGCAGGTAGTGATGTCGAGGTTGGAATTCGGCCACGGGAGCCCGACCCCGGAGCAGTATCCTAGGCTAGTCTCGTACGCGGAGCTGAAATAGACGCCGTTGCCAAACGAGCGGCCGTTCACGGTATCTTGATAGTCCAGGCCGGTCCGCACAATGCTGTGCCAATTGCTGAGGCTGCTGCCGTGCCACGCAAAGATGGTCGGGTTCTCCTGGGTCCCCTTGCGTGCGGCGACCGCCTGCAGCTCCCGATTGAAGCGCTGCTCCTTGTCGGGCGAGCCCTGCGCGAACCTGAACTGGGCCCAGCCCTCCATACCTTGAACACGTTCATGCTCCCGGTTTCTGCCCCGGCCGGCCATCTTGAGAGTTCCTCCTACTTCCTGGCCTGGTTTGGTTGTCTGGTCTTTCTTTTCTGTCTGTTCCGTATTTGTCTGCCCTGCCAGGTGGGTATTTCCCTTCATGTCCACCACAACCCCAGTATTGTTCTTGGTTTGACTGGGGATGGGGCTGGTAAGACCGGGAAACGCGGCGGCACTGCCTGGAGGGGACCAAGCGCTTCTTTCCGCTTTGGCGCTCGCAAGCTCCAGCCCGCGGTCAACTTGCAGAATACAAGACCGGTTCGACGAGACGATCCACCGAAGCAGCGACAGCGCAGCTGGCGAGATGTTCTCTAGGGAGCGGAGGGTGTGGTGCGGGTGGTCGGTCAGCCACTGCGCGAGCGTGAGAATAGGCGGAAGTGTGTCGAGGACGTGACGTATCGCCATGCCCTTCATCCCTTCTTCGAGGGAATCGAAGTCGACATCGTAGACGAGGACCTGCACGTTGTCGTCCACCACGTCGAGGGATTGGTCGTAGATTGTGCTTTGGTCGCGCACCCACGAGCCGATGCTCCAGTGCGACGAGGTCTCCGCCATCACTTGCACCGTGACCGACCTCACATCGAGGTTGACCTGGCGCACAACCGCATGGCTGGTCCACCCGGTCCCCGCCTTTCGAAAGGCGACCCAGGCCGATTTCGATGCCGCCAACTGCTTGAGATTCTGCTCACAGCCGGGTTCGAACACGATCATCCCCTGGTCCTGCGAGAGTCTTGCTGTGAGAGGTACGACGGCGTGGTTGGCGAGGTCCGGGACCTTGAAGTGAAGCCCGACGGGGAGGGTGCGGAGACTGAGTTTGATATCCTGGCCGGTCAGGGACGCGCTGGCCCTGTACATGTGCTTGCCGGGCTGAGCCGCTGCGTAGCAGAGGCTGACCAAGAGATCGACCACGTATGGCTCGGTCAGGATCTCGTGCTCGATCGAGGGACCAAACCCCATGGTCATGTACTGAAACAGACATAGCGGGCTGGAGCAGACGTAAGGGCGCAGCGCCCCAAAGTCCTCCTCGGTCCGACGGTGGCACCGCAGGCAGTAGTCGGTGCATTTCACAAAGTACTGCATCGCGAACTGCATCGCAATGAGCGGGAGACTGCCCTGGGCCGGGTCGCTTCCTGGGCGCATGGCGTCTGCGTAGGGGCTCGCCGTAGCGCAGGCGGGATCTTGAGCTTCGTCATCGGACTGATTCTTGTCTTTTCCTAGATTCAAACGAGAGTCGGCTTCTAAGACACCCTCGAATCTTTCTAGGACGATCTCGTTCGCTGTCTCCCAGCTGACCTTCGAATTGTGTCGCGTCTTTAAGAGGTTTACGAAGCTCTCGCACATGAACGAGTCCAGCGACGCAGAAACAATCAGCTTCTCAAACTCGGGGCCGCTATCAGCCGCATCTTCGGGTGCTAGACCAGTGTCTACGTCGTCTGGGCGCTGCTTAACCCCCAGAAAAGCCCGGAGAGCCTGTCCTGGAGACGGCTTGTACCTCTTGCACTTGCCGATGCGGAACTCCACCTCCGTGAGAGCGGCGTGTTGTTCCAAAACTTGGTCTAGCGGGGTGTACGAGGTCGGAAACCGGATCAGGAGAACCGCATAGTCGGTGGGCTGGATGTCCCAAGCCTCCACGGTGGCGTCCGACAGGCAAAGCTTGTCCATACGGATGGAGATGGAGACGATTCCCTTAGTACTGTCCTTGCCAAAGCCATCAAGAAACCCCACCTTGTAACCTGCTTCCTTGACTGCACGAAGATCGCGTCGGATACGTTGCAGCAACTCCCCCCGGCTGGCCGCCGACTTGTTGACAAGTTGTTTGGTCGGTCTTGGCGCCCGTTGTTTGCTGTCCCTCTCAGAGAAAACATCGTCATCGTCCTCGTCGGAGTTTCCCTCGACGAAATCGTCATCCACGGTCACATCCCCGACCTCTTCGTTCAGACGACCGGCTAGATCCATCACAACCTCGTAGACACTCTTGCCAAAGAGGAAGCCCTCCGTAGCCTTGATGCCGGTGATCACAGGCTTGGGCGCGTCGGGATCGACGGTTGAGGCGTTGAACATGTTCCCGTCGGGGTACTCGCCGGGATCATCTGCCGAGACTCGAATGTGCACGTCTTGTGGCAGGCCGTCATGGTGGTACTGAATCACGATCTCATCATCCGATTCGCCTTTGGTGATAGATCGCACCCCTGCGATCGCGCCGCTCGCCACTTTCTGCGAGGCAGCCGAAATATCGGCTAGAAACTTCTTCTTCCCCATGGCCGTGGTGTGTTGAAGTAACGGTCGTTTGGCCCGGAAAATCGAAAGAGAAAATCCGTCCGTGAACTTGTTGCCGCAAGGATGTGCCGACTAAGGTAGGAGTTGTTGAAAATGTTTTGGGGACCTTTTCTGGCAAAGTCGGACGATTGGAAAATAGGTAGTCGCTATTTTGGAGGGCTTGTTATTAGGTGGTCGGTTACCTAACAAACGAAACCAACTGACCGGCTTCACAGGGTGCGGCGATGCGCTGCTGTCAAGGTGATCGACCTGTTTGTGTTTGGATTGAAACCGAGTTCATCGCCAGTTACACATCAAGAAGTGAAAGAATAAGGCATGAATATGAAGACCTTGACACAACCGCGCTGGCCAGGCGCTAAATAAAGAGGGACTGGGGTTTGTTGGAAGCCAGCCCTCACAAAAAGCCGACTAATCGGGGCTGAGGATAGAAGTAGAAATGGCAAGGCTCAGTATCGGAAGGCTCCCTCTAGTCAATAAGGCTGGTAGGTTTTAATCGACCGGGGAAACCGAGAACCAGAGAGAGCCTTAGCGCCGCCCGATCGAGCTGGGGAAAATGTGTGTGCGTTCTGACTGACGCATTGCGCGGACCTTCCTCACCGTGACTGTAGGAAAAGTAGGCAGCAATGGCGGGGTTGAGTCGACTGACATGCATGTGCTTCGACCTCTCTCAGCCCGGGCAAAAGCACAGTGCAAAAATAAAGAAGCCCGGGGCTTGGGCCTTTACATTTGAAGCTGCATTTTTTGGCCCCAATTAATGCTGTAGGCTTTTGTCTTTTGATCTGCGGTTCAAGCGTCATCGAATGGCAGAACATAATGCAAACATGCACAAGACAAACAATGCCTACACATAAACCGAAAGAATGTAAATTACCTATCATTTGGTGCAGCTGGAAAGAACCATCCATACGCATTGTAAATCAACTGAGTAACGCAGGTCCTCTACATCACAATACAAAGAGGAAATTGAAACAGAGAAACCGTTGGATGTTTCATTTGGGCAACTTTGTTGCTTTGTGAACGAGATGTTGTTGACTTGAGTGGGTCCGTCCTCAATTACCTAATTTAGATATAGGAACAGGCGCGCTGCCTACCAAGTGCCCACAGCTGGCCAAGATTTGGGCACCTGGCACGGTTAGAGACCAATGGTGCCACACCTCTCACAACTTGGCTCAAAAACAACCTCACCACATCGAAACAGTTTTAAAGATTTGGGGATGCACCACCCCTCAAATTGATATCCAAATTCCTATCTTGGGTTCATCTCATAGAGAAGTGATTTGCGGAGTCTCAGCTCTTCTCCAGACCCAAACACCGGACCACGGTAAAAACAAAACTCCGCACTACCCAACTAGTGGCATCACGCCGACATGTCTTGGGACTCAAAAGTGGCCCGGCGTAGGCAAAGCAGTGCCGCGTCGGGAACGAGGAACATCGCCATACATGCCCGACAGCAGGCCAAACGATCCATACAGCCCCAGTCACAGCACGTCGCCGACCCCTTCCTGCAGGACTTCCTCAACCCCTCCTTTGATCCCGCCTCCTATCTCAACGCCACTTTGCCGCCATTACAAACCTCATCCCGCACGCCCGCAAGCCAGGCTTCCAGCCAAGCCCCGGTTCCGCTCTCGGAGCTCTCTATCCAGACCCAAACCGTGCTCTCCCAGCTCAACGCCCACACCACACGGTTGACCAACACCCTGACCGAACTCACCAACGAGATCCTCCGGAGCGGCGGCCGGTTAGCCTACGAGGTTGAGCTGTTGCGAGGCGAGACGCTCGGGTTGGCTGAGACTCTGACGGAGGGACTGGAAGACGACATCGCCAAGTTTGTCCCGGGCGGTATCAAGGACTCCTTTGCCGAGCCTAGAACGGCAACGGATGGCCACAGCCACGGCACATCTACGCATCAACGGCGTGCGTCCATCCTATCTATTCCACCGCAACCACCAGCAATCGCAGCAGCAACAACAACAACCTCAGGATCAACAGAACCCAGCACAACGACGGATACCGCAACAGCAGACCCAACAACAACCACCACCACCACCACCCCTCCCACCGCACCCAACGAGCCCCCCTACATAACCCAACTCCGCACCCTGACCCTCGTCCGCGCCCGCCTTGAATCCGTCATCAAAACCTTCGGCGACGCCATGGAATTCGTCTTCCCCCCTTCCGCCCTCTCCGTCAGCTCCTCCTTCCTGTCCGTCTCCGCCCCCGACGCCGGTGGCAACAACCACAGCACGGAAGAAAAGGGCCAGCAGGTCCTGCAGAAACTGCGGGATGAGGTTGCGGGTTTACTTCTCGGTCTTGGTAGTAGTGACGGGGGCGGGGACGGACCTGGTGATGGGGACCCCATCAAGGGCATCGAAGACGCTGCACGGCGGGTAGAGGAGCTGAAAGATCTGGCTCTGGTGTGGAAGGGCACGGCGGAGGAAAAGGGGCGGGCGAAGTTTATCGAGAGTTTGGCAAGGATGGTGGAGGATCGGCATCGGGAGTTGTTGAGGGAGGCGAATGAGCAACAGCAGCAGCAGCAGCAGGCTGGGGGGCGGCGGGATGGTGGTGGAAGGGCAGGATCGGGTGGGAAGAATGACGGTAGCAATGGGGCTGGGAGAGTGAATGGTGGTGGTGATGCGGATGGAGCTGGGCAGGCTGAGGCGAAGGGGTATGCGGGGGCGTATGGGTTGATCAGTCAGTTGCAGAAGCTGCGGAATGGGCTGTGAGGTTGGGCGGGCGCCTGGCACAACAAGTTCTGTATGGGTATGTATGCCGGTGAGGTATGTAACAGGCTCTTGGGCGCAATAGCGTTGTAGCAACCCTGCTTGAATAGGTGGTACATATGTAAATGCACCGCTTTCCGCTGTGTTCCAAAGAAAAAAGATGCCCATACAAGCCCAGCTGCGGAATCATCCCCATCTCAACAGTTCATAACCTTTCACACTTTCCCACGACCCTAATCCCTCTCCCCAAAACCACAAAGCAGGGCGGTCAGCCAACCATCTCGTTAATTCCCGCAGACCCCCCGGCCGGCCAACAACATGGAGGAGGTGTGTAAAAAGACAGTGATAACTTATCAGTTAGTCTCTGTCACGTCACGAGATCAAACGGTGATGCGGGATGACGTGAAAGGAAGATGGTGTGATCGGGTACCGTTGCCGGGCGTGTTTTATCTTTTATCTTGCTTTGGGGATCCTATTTTGACTTCACATCCCCGGTTTACTCCCGCTTCTGCTTAGATTTGGGCTTTGATAGTGTGGTCGGTAATGGGAATGTGAACGAACGGGCTTCTCGGGGTGCTTGGGTACATTTTTCGTGTACAGTAGAAATGGCATTTCTATGAGTGTGTCGTCAACATGTTTTATGTTTAATGCTCATGCTTTGTGGATTTTGTGTGCTGCGTTTATGTGCGAGATGTGCTCTGGCTGCATGTCTGAGCACACTGGCGTTCTTTCTTCACATGCACATGCAGGCTCAAGAAGCCCAATCATCACAAAGCACCATGCAAGCCACCGAAAGAGCCTCAAATATCAGATAACTGCGTTTGATGTTACTCGGGATGTTGTTCTACACGAAAACACTCCAGTCCAACGGCAAAACATAAGTTTCCGCGACTCGCTCCACCTCGCCGACATCAGTATCATCCTCTCTTTATGTATGTATATAGATATCAAAACGACTCCAAGTTGTAAAGGATTCAAAACGCAAACCCACCCTCAGCAATGCAAAATGTCAATTCAATCACAAGTCCCGCCCAACCCGGTTATGCAGTATGTAATGCCTTACCCCGTCTCGTTCTTTTTTACGTTTTCTCGTATGCACCCTTTGAACCAAAAACATGCAGGTGGAAAAAAAGGAGTCAGCCTACCCATGAATTTCCCCGTCCGCCCCGACGCATATTTCTCAGGCTAGAGAGATAGAGGAAAAAGGGGGCGGGTATCAAAGGTGGCCAAGCCAAAGCTGGCAAACAAACAAGAAAAAACATGGAAAACAGATCTATGACGGCCCACCCTCGCACACAACAAAACTCCCAGAGATAAACCATGCACAATTAGCTGCAGCCAAATCCCTGGAGTCGGGTGGCCGGTTGTCTCCTGTTATATCCCCCGAGTAAAGGTCCAGATTTCGCAAAGGAAATAGAAAAGCCCAGCCTGAACCATGATTGTGTGTGGTTATAAAGATGAGGGAGAAAAAGGGAAAGGGTGTGTGCCTGAGAAAAGGCACGTTTAAGTGATCCCACAGACCAACAAGAGCCGATCCTATGTACTTCTTGGTGTCTGCCCCCTTGAAACCCAAGTACACAATGCTGTAAAGGCCAGTGACAAGAAGGCCGCCCAAAAGTAGAAATCATGGCAAAGTTATCGCAGAAAACAGATGGGAAGAAACAATGCTCCATCCTGGCAGGTCCAAGAAAGCATCCTGCGCCATACCAAGCACAATCCCCGAGCTGGGGAAAGTAAGCTCGAGGACCTCGACGGACAATTCCGTTCTCCAAGATCCTAATCCTTGTACGGGTTGGCCGGGAGCAGCGCTATCCGGCTGGTGAAATAACAGCTGACCGCATGTTTTCTGGAACCAAATTCGGAGGGCGCGGGTCAAAACACAAGGCCGTTCAAGGTGGGAGGAGTCCAACAAGATCCGTGAGGTAAGTGCCAGCTTAGACACACCAGGCTGGCACACTGCTCGGCATGACGGGCCTCAAGACTACCTCTTCATGGTCGAGCGGTCCAGCGCTGTCAATAGCTCGGGCCGCTCCTTGAGCAGCTCACTGGCATCAGCAAAGGTAAACCATTTGCGCTCACGCTTGTCCCTCTCAGGCCAATCAACCTCTTCACTCGTGACGGTCGCTTCGTAGAAACGGTAGAGAGAGGCGGCCTTCTCTTTGGTGGAATCTTTGCCGCCTTTCCCATCTTTGCTCTTAGATGAAGACGAGGAAGAGGACGACGACGCTTTCTTCCGTGGCCGTGTGTCGTGAATGTCGCCGAGGTCGTAGTCGATCTGGATGCAAATGCCGGCCTCTTCCCAGGCTTCACGAATCGCGGCCTCGTGGCATTCTTCGTCCAACTCCCAACCGCCTTTGGGTAATACCCAACCCTTACGCCGTGTTGACTGGATGAGCATTACAAACGATTTGTCTGCCGTTAACGGTACTACGCCGGCGACCAGGCGTTCGCCTTTCGTATTGTATCCTGCGAGAGGGAAAGGGAAGGGGCAGAAGTCAGTTTTTGAGTTGCGCGGTGCGTAACTTTCCCCAAGCTTCACCACTCATCTGTTTTCTTCTGCTCGCCTCCTTTGTTTCTCTCGCCCTATCTCCTCTCCTCTTCACAGGTGAGGGTTCGACTCACTCTGATTATTCCTCCCAGTCCGCGACTCCATTGAACGGCCATTCCCATTTGTCGCCATCTTTCTCTGATTCAAGGTTGTTGCTTGGCGACTGGCAGCGGGGCTGTGATGTGTCCGAGAGGACAGGTCTTGACAAAGATGGTTTGAATTGGGTCGTGAAGTTCCAAACGGCTCGGTAGTCGAAGGGTACCAGCTGTAGAACAGGAGGGAATGCGAGTTGTCCTTTAACAAGCGGAAGACAGCATGGTCATGGCTTGAGTTTGGCGTCAGGGGTAAGCGGTGTGTTTTCCGGAAGACCGGGGTGGCTGTCGCCGCAATTCACCGGTAGGGGTCCGTGGCGGGGATATATAGTTTAGGGGGTTCGTTCGGAATCGGGGCGGAACGCGAGTGCAAGCCAGCGGGTATTGAAGTATCGGAAAGGGTCGAGGGGTTCAATAAAGGCTGGCAAGGCTTTTGTCTGTTGGAGTTGAACGAGTGACCGTAGGGGAGGCTTTGTTGCGGCGCAAGGGTCTTGTGCAGGGTGCGATGCGGTCGCGGTCGCTTAGAAGTTGTGGAAAAGGCTAAGGAGAGGTCCAACCCGGGGTGACGTGGTTCGAGAGACGAGATCGAGTCACTCGGAGGGTGGTGAATCCCAATTCGCACGGATGCGGCGGAAAGGCGCAAAATGAATGTTGCGTTGAAACAAAAGTTTCTGGCTCTCAACGCGAACGCGCTTGCCAAGAAGTCACTGCCGGAGGGAACTTGTTGGCGGAAGGCCACATGCAACAGCTCCAGCAAGGTATCTAAAAAACCGTTGAACTACGGAAAGTAGCCCAGATGGAAAAGAAAATAAAGAAGCTAAAAAAGGGGGACAGAAACCGATGCAAGGCTGGGGGATGTGCCGGGTAACCTATGCAAGGCAGGGAGTCTGCGCTTTCCTGGAGATTTGAGGGGTGGGATGAAGGATGAATGATGGTACCAAGGGTCAAGGCGCGCTGCTGGGGCAGGCTAGGCTGTTGGGTCCATCAGCTCGGGAAGGAGGGGCAGGTCCGGGTCCTCGGGGAAATTGGAGTTGGTCTTTATACTTTAGGTACATGTCAGGGAGGAGAGTAAGGTAAACGACAGGGAAAAAATGCGAGCGAAGTCTCTGCTCGGGGCCGGACAAGAGAGGCAAAGAGGGTTAGCAAGCAACACCCTGCAGGCTGACTTGTCTGCTTCCATCTGCGCGTCTGGTGTGCGGGCGGGCAAGCAGGGGTAGCTTCTGGCCAGAGAATCTTCTTCTCGTGGGCACCCCACACGCGGCCGGCGGCGAGATGGTGGCCATGACGGAGACTTGGAAACGTGGGCAGCCAAAGGGTGGATGGGAAGAGCGCAAGGCGTGCAAAAGGCAAGCTCCATCAATGAGAGCTAAAATTTTTGCCAATTCCAGGCGGGCAGTGGGGAGGGGCATGGGGTGATTTGCGTGGGGTACGAAGGGACGTGCCCAGTGGTACCACTTTGGGCTCTTCACTCGTTCTTCCAGAGATCGGTGACCGGGGGTTGACACTGGGGCTTCCGCCTTCCGCGACCGATGCAGCAACGCAGGTTGCATGAGCACTGACGGGGTTCGTTCCTTCCATGACCACGACCTGGAAACTGGACCCGGATTGGCAGTTGCAACCAGTCCGTTGAAACCATCAACAAGCAAGAGTTGGAGTCCAGATCCAGGGAAAGCGGGTGAGAGACCAGGGCCTAGACGGCTAATTGGTCGTCCAAAGTGCATTTTCCTCCTCCTCCTTCATCCTGTCTTTCTTTTGAGAGAGCGGGTGCAGCTGCTTTGCATCTTGCGTGTGCAGGAGGGGTTGACCGAGTCGGGAAAAAACTTGAAGAAAGGCACTAAGTATTTAAGCAGTTAAACCCGAGATGCGGCTGGTCGATGACGCCGGAGGTCCACGGGTGCCACATCAAAATTCCTGTTTGATATTGACCAACACAAAGTCACAGGTACATGAGATTCGAGGTCGTTTGCATCCCAGAAGCATCTTAAGAGTGTTCCCTTGAAAATACCCGGTGCCCGCGAGAATGGTGCCAATCTTTGGTGTTCTTACCGTCCAGTTCTCCTTTCCCCTTTTCCCATGGATGAGTCCAGCCATCGCCACTTCCATGTCATGTCCCTGCAGTCACGTAGCCGAGAGTGCACAGGCCAATCGACATGTTGATGGGCACTCCCGCTGCACTGACGAAACTGGCTCTTGCCTCCACACAACGAAAACTGGCAAGACCACCTACGGCGACCACGCCGTCCGCCGTTCCGGGGTTTAAACAAGATGCCCCCAAAAAGAATTAGTTTCCTCCGGTCATGCATCTATGTTTAATTTGAGGCACTTCTCCGTGACGTTGCTCTTGTTTGCAGCTCCCGCTCAAGTCACGCTCTGACCGTGGTGCTGCACGAAATGCGGGGCAATGACTCCCACCTCTGTAGGAAAGCAACCGGACAGTGGGGGTCAGCCGCTGAGCTGTTCACCTGCCTGGGCATCTGATTCCAACCAACGGCCAATGCCCGAAAGTATCACAGCTACCCGCTCACACTCCCACACGCTTGCGGCTTGTTTTCGTCACCACCCTGCCGTGGCTTCTCTCGTCAGACCACCGGCATTGCCCTCGACATCCTCGCTTTCCTGCACTTTCTCGCGCGCTCTCGCTCCGGACCCCCCCACCCCGCGCTGACTCTACTTGACTCGAACCTCACGCACGGGGTGTTGGACGAACTCGGCGAGGTCGGGTGATCTCAACGCGGCAACTCGGCACCAGCACCAACACCGATTCCAAACTCCCGTGTCGCTTCTCCAGCTTTCAACCCCTCAGGTTTCACTGCTCTGTGGTTCTGCAAGGCAAACCGGGCCCGGTGCCTTCTTTTCTCTGCGGCCGGGATCCGAGCCTAGAACTAGCTAACTTGACAGAGCTGGGCAGCCTTGAATACCAGTAACCACAGACCCCGGAAATCACGCCGCGCAAGGCCGACTCATTCCTGCAGCCTTGCTAGGGAGCGCGAGAGGACACTTGTTTGTGTTCCCGAGCCGGCGTCTGCTGCCTTCGGACCGGATCAGCCCCTGCTGGCCGACCGTTGGGCCTAGTCCCGTGTTCATCCCCACCAACATCCACGAACTACCTTCCCTGAACATCGAGACTAACCGGTGGCTGCATCTTCGACACTCAACTTCGTCTGTCCGGGTTCCGGTGTCTGGCTGTCCGGATTTCGACCCGCCCTTTTGACGCCCGCGCCCGAACGGCTGCCGTGTCCCTTACGCCTCGTCCCGGCTCCGGAGAAGATCGGGCTGACCCCATATATCCCCCGCCCCGGTTTGAGGTTCCACCAGCTCGGGCGGTATGGAAACGGCAGGCACAAATATGCGGACCCCTGGCGGGGTTGCAGCGCCGTACTCATTCCTTTTTCCAATCGGTGAGTCCCGACATTTCAAACCATCTCACCCAACCATTCGGGCCATGTGCGTCAACGGCACGTTTTCGTTGGCCAGTTTGGCCTAGCGGCCACGCGATCTCCTCCCGCATTCTGCACCCAGTGGGATGCCGTGCTGCCCCCGATCGCATGTCACCCGTTCTGGGGTTGAGGAGTCCACCTGAGATCCATCCAAGGCGATATCCCACGCTGAACCAACGCTGTCCCTTTTTCATCAGTCAGAGTTTCAGCTGCCGCAGCGACAGCGGCCCAAAACACCACAATCCCGTGCGTCCAAGACAAGGGGTATTACGTTTTGAGGAAATGCCGTCTCACTCCCCAATGGTTCCTTTTCTGTCACATGTTCTTTTTCTTGAGCCAGATAGTGATGCCTCTGTGTAACGGCTGGAAAAGGGGGTGTGTTTGTTTGCATGCCGTGCATCATCCCCATCCCCCTTTTCTAGCGAGCATCCAAAGACACATCGGCTCTGTACACTCTTTTACTTTTTTTTTCTATGGCTTCTCAGAAGAAACCACACCGCCCATACTGACCCGTAACGCAATAATTAGGATACAGCAACTCTTCTGAGTGCGGGTACTGCCGCAGCACTCGCAGTGGTCAGTCCACAAAGCGTGAATGTTCCCCGTCCCAGCCATCCTCATGAACGCAACACAAACGTTGATGTATCTCCCCCATGTAAAATCTCCGAGACTGCCTTTTTTTTTCCACGAATCTGGCTAGTCTTCGAAACATCCCCCACTTGTTGATCCCAACTTGAGGTGGATGTCTTTGGATGAGAGGTTCCCTTGTCAACACCAGCCACGTATGCCTCCAAGGGAGTGAGTGTCTAACCCATCGCATCTCCCAGGTTATTCATACTATGCCATAGCAACATCCCTGACACCGGCCTTCTACCAAAAACTTGTCGACCGGTGCTGGAGACGCTCTGGTACCCTCTTGTACCGGCCGAATCAGAAACATTCGTGTTGCCCACATTATACGCTGCGTCTGGACTCGACCGAGTTCAAGCCCACCAAGGATCAGCGCCAGGCCGTCAACCGATTCAACCATCACATCATCGGGGATACTTATGCCAGGGAAGCCGCTCGAGTACACCCACGAAGCCGAGCGGAGAAACGGAAACGGCATAATATCTTCGATCTTGTCGAAAGGATTCACGAACCCGAAGCCGAGGCCCTCAAATCCCCTCCATCCCCGGATCACCGTCTCACAGTCACATTGGAGCCCGATACGTTCACCGAGGAGAAATACGCCATCTTCGAAAACTACCAACGTATCGTCCACCACGAACCCCCTGACAATATCTCCCAACAAGGGTTCAAGCGATTTTTATGCAACTCGCCCTTAAGTCGGGGGTCCATGGTCGGCCCGGACGGGAAGGAGCGGCCGCTAGGGTCTTTTCATCAGTGCTACCGGATCGACGGGGAGTTGGTCGCTATCGGCGTTCTCGACCTCTTACCGGACTGTGTTAGCGCGGTGTACTTCCTTTACCACGAGTCGATCCACTGGCTGAATCCTGGCAAGCTAGGCGCACTCCGAGAGATTGCCCTGGCCCGTGAAGCAGGTTACCGTTGGTGGTACCCCGGGTATTATGTACATAACTGTGCCAAGATGCGGTACAAGATTGAGTACAAGCCGCAGTATGTTCTGGACCCGGAAGATCTACAATGGTATCTACTCGACAAAAACGCCCTTGAGCGGTTTGATAAGAGCCACTATGTCTGCTTCTCATCCAAGGAGGAGGAGGAGAAGGAGGGCCAACCAAAAGTCCAGGACGATATTAGTAAAGGGGATGGCGTCGGACAAGGCACACACCAGACCGACAGCCAGCACCCGCCTGAATCCTCCGTCGTCGACGCGACCGTGTCAGCCCAAGATAGCACTGCCTACTCACCAACCGTAGCACCCGCGGAGGAAGAAGACGGTGATGAGGACACGCAGGCAACAGAAGAAAGCGCCGATAAGGATGGAGAAGGGGCTGGAGAGAAAGAGGAAGACGACGAGGCCTTCCTTTTACTCTCCAACATGCCGGGGATTCCATCCCTTGCGGATATTCAACAGGTCAACATGGACAATATGGTGATACGATCCGACTTCTCGGACAACCTCATCATCGCTTCGCATCTCGTCATCTGGGACACGGAAAACGTGGCGCAGTTTGGCTCGCTTAAGTCCCGCATCGCCGAGCTGGTCGCAGCCGTTGGGCCTGACCTACGCCAAGAGATCTGTATCGACTTTCGGAAGAGGTCTTCCTAGGAGCTTCTGGGTGACGGTGGTGTTGAGTGACTGCTCCCAGGTAGTTGTTGCATGGGGGAGAAGGTACCAGTGTACATACGCAGTACATTCACGAACGTAGATAAAAGGCTGGCTAGGGGTGGATCTACGGTGGTTTAGGTATTGATATCACGGGGCTTGTTTCGGGAGGAAAGAGGGTGTGAAGTTAACTTAGCGAACTCGCCACGGGTGGGAGGAGTATGGGCGGACCGGGTGAGACCGGGCGATCTCGCGTGTTTCTCCCATGCGGCCTGGCAACTTCTTCAGCGGCTAAGGCGGTAAGCAGGGAGAGCAGGTTTGAAAACTTGGTGGCTGGAATATGGTTAACGTTAGTGATTGGTAAAGTGGATAACAAGCACGCGATATCAAGTCAGGATAGGGAGAACAGCGAAAAAAATATGAAGCGAAAGACAAGAAGAAAAATCGACGACAGCAACCTCGGTCGACAGATCGGGAAAGTGATGGTAATGTCCTATTGCCTCCTTGGGACGCCTGCTGGCTCCTCTCCACTCCCCCTTGTTGGCTCGGTCAGACAAGCGGTTGGTCCAAGCCACGTGGGGGTCGATTTTGGTGTTGTTTACTTTGCCAAAAGGGGCTTCTTGTCGTGTGACTCTAGAAACTCAACGCCGAGAATCCTGACATGGTGGGTTGGGGCTGACGAGCAGGTCTCAGTTTCGCTGCAACTTGGTGATCCTTCCATATGCAAGAGGGGAGTCAGAGTGAGAGGGCGATTGCGTACCTTTTGCGGTTTTGATATGTCGTTGGGTGCTGTTGGGTTGTGGTTTAATTAATTTGAGGCTTTTTTTTCTCTCTCTTCCTTCGTGTGTGCGCGTGAGACTGAGACACGGGGAGTGGTGGCAAAGAAGGATTTGGGTGGTTGGGCTCCGGGAGAGAGAAGGTTTGGGCTGGGACGGCAACTCGGTCTTGGGGGATGCCGAAATCGTGGGGGGTCTACAAGACGGCAGAGCTTTTGGCTTCATCTTGCCACTGTGAGTCCCGAATATGCAGCAAGAGGTTGGGCTTCCCCAGATGGACGTCCCATCTTGAACTCAGGCACGAAACCACCCGCTTCGCCTCTGCTTTGCCTAATCATGGGTTGAGCCCTGACACAGATCCTCTTACATGACGGCCACACAGGTGTTTAACACACATGGTAAGTAGCCTACCGCGGAAACTGATCACATGTGGGTTGGACCGCTTTTTTGACCCGCATGGCCCGGACAACACCATCGATTCAACACGATATATTGGCTACTTTTCTATGCGCAATGAATGCACAAGCCCTTTGAATATACAAGCTCGCAATTGCCCTGTTCGACAGTTGTACCTTCAATGCGCCCAGCCGAGATTTGCGCGCGGTGGATCTGTTGAACCCTTACAAACCGGTCGTTTGGATCTGGTTCAACACGCCTCCTTCGTGACGGCTTCGACGCCTCGATCTAGGCCTTGTGCGCCTGGTTTGTTTATTGCAAGGCGATCTCGTTGACTTGGTAGGTCTCTACAGCCTTTTCTAGCTTACGCCATATTAGGCGCGAGACTGAACTATCGTGATCATGTTGGCCTACAAGATCCCGCAACCTTTTAGCATCCTTGCCTGAATGCGGTGTTGAAACTACCACGTTAGGCGGCCCGTTTGACGGTTGGATAGTATTGGAGGGCCCTGAATTAGGGTTATCTATCGCCGGATTGCTAGTATTGGCTGACTTGTTGGAGTTCTCGAATACGAGATGGTTGTTCAGGGGCTTCTGGATGTTGATGTGCCATAATCCAGTCCCACGCCACCCAGATGTGATGTTCCGTACGGTCAGAGCCGCCTTGCGAGCCTTGACTAGGCATAGTAACATCTTCTGTTTGTTCGCGACCGAGTTGTCGGCTAGGGTGGCGTTTCCGTTGAATAGGTTCCGGTAGGCGTGCTTAAGCGGCGAGAACACTGCAACACATGCGAGCTATGTGGTGGTAACCAGACGCATTGGGTGTTGTCCCTAAAACAGAGGTTCATGAAATCGGTAACTTTAGGGCTATTATTGCCATGTAATTAACCAACCCCCTCTCAAGCTTGCTTGTTTCCTCCTAGCTCACTCTCCATCTCATCGTCACTGTCTGGTTTATCCTTGGCCTCCGTCGTATTCTTAATGTCCGTTTTATCCGTGGTGTCCGTCTTGCCCTCAATGCCCGTTTTCTCCTAACCCTCCAACTCCTCTAAGTCTTTCAGCTCCTAGGTAACCATCTCATATCTCCCAAGGAGGGTTTGGAAGTCCCGCGGCTCCGGATCCTGGAGTATACCGATCTCGTTACACCGCGGGCACAGGTGATCTGGGACCGGGACGAGCAGGCGTATTGCGTCCGCCACTTTACGCTCAACCCATAGGACGGTCCCGATGAGCAGCACGCGTCTTGATATCCTTAAGCACAGTCTCGTTGTCATCTGACGAGGGGTCTATTCTCCGTCTGTGTTTAATGGCGCGAACGGTAGAGAGGATAAGGTTCTCGGTATTTCCCTCTTCTATCACTTTCTTATATCCTCCTATGGCATCCCTTTTCTTCTCTAGTCTCTTCTTCAAGTTATCCGCTTTTTTTATAAGCCGCTCGAGTTGGGCCTTCCGAAGGTCAGTGTTTTTGCCGGAAGGTAGGGTATCCATCTGGAGGGAGACAAAGAGTTAATTGAGTTCAGACAATAATATATGGAACATAGACAATGAAACACAGGAATCACTCTTACCTTGCTGCCCGGCGGCTTTTGGGATGACGGTGATTGACTCAGACTGTGAACGATGGTAGATGAGACGGTGGGTTGCTGTGGTGCTTGGTCTGGTTCAAGTTAGTTCGGCTTGGTTTCGTCCTTGGAAGATATCATGTGAGAAGAAGAACTAGGGAGAGTCGCTCCTTCGCTAGTTCCTCTTATATACAACTTCAAACCCTCATCAAGTGGAAGGAATCACCGGGCAGGTCCTCTCGTGTCACTTTGATTAGCTGATCAACCCTCTCCATCCATCAGTTCGTACATTTGGGGCAGGAAACATGGCACGGCCTTTAATGAACTATTTGTTGGAGGTTGTCCTTGAGTCAACATCCATGATCAACAATCGCCGTTGTGTTGGATCGCGTGGTTGGCTCCTTGGTATGAAGATCGTTCCGGCCATTATCTTGTTCTAACGGCAATGTTAGCCTTGAGTACTGGACCGGGTTTCATGTGGCGTTTAGGCTCTAGGTGAACGATGCCAAGCTTACTACCTAGACTGGAGGGGGATGGGACAAGAGTTGAGTTACTTACATGTTGAGCTGCCTACCCTAGCTCAACTCGGTTCGGAGCTGGCGCGAGGATGCCGTGGGATACATGGGATCAATTGACGGGCCCCCAACAAACTCGAATGACCAGATTAAGATTTCAAGGACTCCATAACGCATGAACCCCTTGATGCGCAATGGGGGTGTCTTAAGGCGGAGCCCGCACCTCAGGGGGCACCTTCCTTGAATGCAAGCCATCGAAGTTGAGGGGTTCCTGCCCTTTGTCTAAACACGCTGAATCTAGAAGCAACTTTCAACCAATAGAAATAGTCCCAGTGCACAATTAATTTCACCTCTTTGCACCGCATTTGGGTATAGCTCAAGTCCTCCACGCCGCCTCTGTTAATTGGATCGGTGTTGAGTAAACACCTGAACCAAGCATGGCCATATGGTCCAATACACCAGCACCTGATGTCTGAGTTTAATGTTGCTCTCAACTGCAATGCACGCTGTCTCTATTGACCTTGGATGCATCAAGGTTGCCGGAAAAACGCCAAACCTGTCACTCGCGCTTTCGAGCTCCTGTACAGTCGCCCTTCCCTCGTCGTTTACTCATAGTGCCTCGGCAACGGGCCTCGATCAAGCAACATCCACCGGAGAGCTTTGGATCTCAAAGGCCGGTTCTTGCCGTATCGAGGTGTCGACGCGCATCAACGGGGAAGTGCCAACGAGCGAGCAGTTCGACCCCAGCATCATAATGGCTGTCAGTAGCTTCTCGGCAGATTGCCCGGTATGTCGTCCCTTGTCAACCTCGGAAGCCTCATGACAGTATTAATCGAAGTGGGTAGGTTTGGACGCTCCTAGGAATCAAACTCCGAACAAACCATGCTGCCCAAGACCAGCCAGACCGATGCCATTCTGAGGCTTCATATTTTCTGGGTCACCCCGACCTATCGTCCGAAATGATAGCTCCTTCAAGTGTCCCACAAGGCCAGTTCCAAAGCTTAAGATGCGAAATCAACTACTGTTTTGCGTCGCCCAAAAAAATCGCCGTCCTGAAAACGCGAAGCCCAGCCGATAGTCCAGAAGCCGCTCCAATGCACACTCATAGCCTTCGAAGGAACCCCAAGCGAAGTACAAGGGCGAAGATTGCCCATGAAGCAGCTGATACCCCAAGCAAGCCCTTGCCAACCCCCAAGACTCCTGAGCAGGAGCAAAAGGATATCGAATCACTCGTAGCGGATGCCATTTCTGAAATGGGCCGCCTGCTGGATTTTGCTTTTCGGAAACTTCTAGGTATCAGGGGGGCGTCACCTGGAATGCGGACCTTGAGAAACTCAATATCTCCCTCCTTGATCGATATCGCGCCGGCTGTCTGGGACCTAAAATATCTCCGGGTGAGCTTATCCGATGACGCTTTGATGTTTATTACTGACCGTAGATAAGACGATGTCCACACACGCACAAGTAATTCCATCTATTGCTTCCGGGCTTGTTCGGTTGAAAGGGGCTCGGTCGGCGAGCCTTAGAAGAAAACTGAGCATCTTAGTCCGCCGGGGAGTAGAAGCGGACGGGGAAGCCACGGTTGAGAATCGCTTATGGTTGTTGTGCCAGAACCGAATACAACCAGAACCGATCAAGAAATTTTCATGGGCGATCCAAACGAACAAAAATACCATCAAAACAATACCAGGTCTAGAAGCTTGCGCTGAGATGTTGCTGGGGGAACCATCGTTGTACATGGAAGATTGTGATAGTATTCCACTCACCGGCTTAGACGATTCCGACCCTAGCGAGTTGGACCCTAGCGAGTTGGACCCGGCGGAGTACGATGACCAGTATGAGGTTTTCTACGAAGACTTCGAAACCGGGGTCGACGAGTGGGCAAACGTTGAATCAGATGAATTTTATACATCGGATATCGAGGCACCATCATCAAACGGCGTCTTGCAAAGCTCCGAAGGTGACTACTTCTACACCGATGGGCAAGGAAACGTCATTCCCGTTGAGAAACAGGATGTCTCAGAATACCAACCAGATGAGTGGGTATCTCCTCACAAACTGGAAGAATGTGATGATTTTAGCGAAGACTGGGAAGAAGAAATAGAGGAGGATGTGGATGAGGTTGAAGAAAACGGATATCATATGTACGACGAAGACTGGGCCTTCGACCCACCAATGTACCCTCACGAATGAAACCACCGGCCAGCACAATCAACCCAACGCCTCGTTCCAAAACAGCGTTACTAGACGCAGACCCGATCGGTATTCCAACGAAATAAAAGAACACGCTTGTTGACCTCCCCGACCCACTCATCCTGTCGAAAATATCGATCAAAGGTTTGTGGATGTCCAATCAGTGATATCCCACCGCTCCGGCCCGCCTTTAAATTCGCCATACTCTAACTCGCTGCACCATCGAAAGCCCTTCAATTAACTTCCGCTTAAGCAGACGGATGCCGACCCAAAGAAGATACCAATTCGATTCAAGATTGTACCGAGGAATTGGGCTTCGCCTTTACTTCTTCCCTGCCGGTTTCTTCTTCTCCTTCTTCTTCTTCTGCTCTGGTTTCAATGTCGCAAAGTGGATGTACCATATAAAGACACACTGAAGGATGATGGCGATAAGGGCGACGATGAGGATAGTAAATAGGATGGGTTGGTCGTTAAGGGTTGCGACAGCCTGCGGTGTGGCGCCGATTTTGGCAAAAAAGTCAAACTGACCCATCTTCTCGGCGATGGTGGTGTTGCTGATGCGACCGGACGGCGAGGGTGAAAGGACTTGAGGGTGAAAATTATTTAGTTGGTCGAAATGTCCGCCAGTGGGGGTATTAACTTAAGACAGTCGCCCGCGGCCAGCCCGGGAAATGTAATCGAGGTCGATTAGAGGTCGAAAAGAGGAAATTTGGTACTATTACAATATGCTGTCGGAATGGAAAAGGACGGGAAAAGGAAATGGGAGTGAGGGCGCAAAAGAAATGTGAGAAATGGCTGGCTGCTTGAAGTGGTCAGATGAAACTGGGGGCGTCACAAATGTCGTTGACTTCAACAACAAGCAACGAGCTCCTACCCCTGTCAACGCCCACCAGTCACGGAGCAGATCTCGAAATGCGGGTCAGATCTGGGGTCGTATTGGGTCTGCGTCGGCGCCAAAGGACTCGGGAGGTGTTTCAGACATGCCCCAGAGTCGAGCAAGGTGAGGTGTTTATGTAAGCCCAGCGCAAATGGTTCTGTTCTGTCACTTGGTGCTCATCATTCCGATGTCGACATAACGTTAGATGCCGACTCAAATCTGAACAAATGCAGGTTGCTCTCCCAAAAAACACCCGTTGCAGAGAGAAGCTTAGAGTTCCCTTGGGATCACATGATACTACACGTGATTAAGTAGAAGGTGGGGTCGCATTGCGTGGGGCAGGCCAATTGAGCGCCCGAAGAATGAGGCCACACTAATTTTACCCCCCCAAGTGAACATGGGCCCAAAAAAATTGCTGGGCCGTCTGAAGGTGTGAGCCGCAGCCCACGGGATATTCGACGTGCCGACTGATCGAACCAGAATCCCCCGCGCGGCCGCCCCGACCTTTGTCGACCACCAACCACCAGCGAGCGGGGCGCGGTTGAGTCAATTGAGCGCCAAAGCGATGAGCGTAGCACGTCCGGCCGCCAGGAGGCTCGTTTCCGGGTCCCTCGCTGCGGCACCACGTGCTGCGTGCGCTGGTCCTTTGGCGGCGGTAGCTTCGACAACGACGACGACACCGACGACAACATCTCCAATAGGCACACCAAGAGCAGGAACGATACCAACGACAGCATGTCACCAACTCTCCTTCGTCCACCGGTTCCATAGCTCACCACAGCTGTCGGCGAGACGGCGGCCACGGTTTGCGAATGTGCGGGCGTCGGACATGGGTCTGATGAACGAGGAGCAAGTCGACAAGTTCACAAAGAAAAAATTCCCCAAATACCGCGAGGAGGAGTTGGAGGTGCTGCGGGAGAGATACTCGCCGGAACAGTATGCGGCCATCGAGGCCGGTGAGGCGGCCGTCGACCCGCGCGATTTGACGGTGCAGGGCCGCCTGCGGTTCGACCCTTACCGGCTGCCGTACATCGACGACTTTGCCGAGTCGCAGGCCGTCATTGACAAGCCGCCGAGGAAGGAACTGCCGCCGGACCCGAACGCGAGGTTCATGGACCTGGACGAATTTACCAAGGACTTGATCAACTGGGTGGACGAGTTCCCGGACGGCGAGGAAACGGGGACGCTCAAGAAGCTGGAGGACTTTTTGCCGGAGGAGTCGAAGCACCTGCCCGAGATACAATGGCCGCGCGAGCTGCGCGAGAAGGTGCACAAGGACTACCAGGCGTACCTAACGGACCAAACCAACAAGGAAGCGAAGAAGAATGAAGCCAACGCGGGGTTGGAGAAGAATGAAGGCAGCATCACGAGCACTGACGTCCTGAAGTACATCCTGGAGCGGTCAGCGATGACGGACGGCAACCGCAAGACCGATACGTCGATGGCGCGGGGCCTGCCGCGCAAGATTCCCGGCGTGTCGGGCAAGTACATCAAAGCGATCGACCCGGCGGACGAAGGGCTGGACGACACGGGTCTGTACCAGGAGCTGAAGAAGCGCACGGGGCTGAAGATGCGGGATATCATGGATCTCAAGACCAAGCAGCTCGTGGTGCGCATCGTGTCGAACCAGACGCGTCTGGGCAAGATCCGCAAGTTCAGCATCATGTGCATCTCGGGTAACGGCAACGGCTGGCTCGGCTTGGGTCAGGCCAAGGCGGCTGAGCTGGTCGACGCCTCGATTAAGGCCCGCCAATTGGCCATCCTCAACATGAAGCCGATCCGTCGGTACGAGAACCGGACCATCTACGGTACGGTTTCCGCCAAGGTCTCGGGCACCATTGTCAACATTGAAGCCCGTCCGCCAGGTACATATCCCTCATTTATCCTTCCCCCCTTCTTCCCTTTGTATTCGATTTTGTATTTGGAAACGAAACCAAACCACAAATCAACTAACACTCCCCCAACAGGCTTCGGTCTCCGCGTGCCGCACCGCATCTTCGAGATGTGCCGTGCGGCCGGCATCACCGACCTATCCGCCAACATCCCACGCTCGCGCAACCCCATGAACCAGGTCAAGGCCGCCTACTGGGCGCTCACGAACCAGCCGGACCCGGAGCAGATTGCCATCGGCCGCGGCAAGAAGCTGGTCGACGCGCGCAAGGTGTACTATGGCGGTGCTGTGTACTAATCTGGGAGGCAGGCGGTAGGGTTGCTTGTGTGTTCAGGGATTAAACCTTGGGGGGCCGGCGGGTTCATAACGGGGCTACAAAAGGAATTTGGTGTTGGAGGCTAGGGGAACTGGGGAAATGAGCCATGAAAGTTGCAGGAGAGATGATGATAGACCTCCACTGTACACTGTAGAATCTTTGTATAAACAGCGTGGTGCCGGTTGCGTACCAAGTATATGCTGCATCCGGCTTGCTCTCGTTAGTGTGTTCTTGGTTTGTGGGTGTTGCGAGCAAGGTACCGGCCGAGAAGGAGGAATTCTCGGTTGATCTCTTCCAAGCCCCTTCTCGCCGTCCTAGCAGGATTCTCATCTGCTTCTGGACTGGTATCGGGTGTATGTATACCTCGAATCAGGCCGTGATCACCATCCCATCAAGCCGTTCAATGCCTCTCGTCACTGCAGACCCAGTCCCCCGAGCATGCATCCCCCCACACTCAAACAGGCGTTCGCCTCTCAAGAATATAACACCTCAATAACACCCACCACCTCAACCCCCCCGATACCCCTCATCCTCATCCTCCCCATCCTCCTCCTCCTCATCCCCATGCCCATGCCCCCCAACACCTTCACTACCATCACCCCCACCCCCAGCACCACCACCACCACCCCAATCAATCTCCTGCTGCAGCACAATACTATACACACTCGCCTTCAGCAGCGTAAATGCCAGACTAGTCTTGCGCTCGAGCTCGCGCAGGCCGTCGAGGATGTCAGAGGCTGGTGCGCTGGCGAGGTTATCGAGCATTGTGGCGAGCTGTTGTTTACCGGTGATGTAAGTATACTTCGTTTGGCTTATTCCCCGTTCCACAGCTGCGTCTTTATATCACTCCTTGTGTATGTGTGATTCCTTATTTGCTTGTTTATGTGAGGGGAACGGGAGCTTCAAGGAGGGATGAGAAGGGGGTAAAAAAACCAAAAATAAAATAAAAAATCGACTAACATTCTTCATATTCTCCGCCAACCGCTCATATTCCTCCAACACCTCCTGCTCCAGCGGGCTGAGCTCAGGTGGTGATGTGAGCAGGGAACTTTGCGGGCGTGGTGGGGGGTCCATCGTATGCGTGTATGTGTGTGCCGCTATTCTGTATTGTTTTTGGAGAAGACAGCCTCAAGAAAAATGAGTCTTATATTCGGGTGGGTGTACCGCCGATTCGTAAAAAGACGTTCAGTGAGACGAGCTTGAGATTAATTAGCGTGAGAGTGCTGCTTGTGCTATGGAGGACAGACGCGGGTGACGCGCTTTGGGCGGTCGTGAATTAATGGGATGTGGGGTAATGCGGGGTTACGTAAGGACAGGAGCTTTGAATGGTTCCTGTAATTACGAGATTTTGTAACAATCGTCGTTGTCGTCCGATATCAAGTTTGACGTCGAGGTTCCATGGTAGGTTTTACACGGGCTTCGTTTGTCGAGCCGGAGTTTGTATGATGCGTCCATCCGGTGTACATCACCGACTTCTCATCCTCCTCCACACGATTTATCAGACACACAACCAAGATAGCAGAGAAATGACGAAGTAAACAAACAATGCTCCCTGGTATCATATTCGCCTAACCATTAGACCGCTTTATAAAGAGCAAACCTCCCCATGAATCACTTCAATACGACTTCGTCTTCCTCTTCCCCGGCCTCTCACACGCCTCCACGCCCACTGGCACGTCCGCCCCGTCGCGGAACTTTTTGTACAGAATCTTCTGCATAGCCCCGACCCAACCCAGCTCCTCCCTCCTCCACGCCTTTGCCTTGGCCCCGTCCCCGGGCCGCTCCAGAATCATACTCGGGATGGCCTGGCTCAACTGCGCCGCCCACCTCCGGCGTCGAGATGGCAAGTCCACCGTGTCCACGTCGATATCCTCGTCGTAATCACCAGGCGGCTGCTGCAATGGTGGCTGGGTGAATGACATGGGGGCAGTTTCCGTCTGTGTCGTCGGCATATCGATGATTCTCTCCTCGACTTCGATGTCTCCGGCATACGGTACGCTGCCTGGGCCGGCTGGGCCGGCTGGCGCCGACGCTGTCCGAGGGCTCATCCTGGTAAACCTTTGGGATGGTGCGGTCCTGCCCTGTGGTGTCAGTTGGATACGCTCCTCCGCCACCATCGTCGCATTTTTGTCTTCCGTTCCGGCAATCGTCGGCACAACATGGTCCGCGCCAATCTCAACCCACACCTCGGCCTTGCGAATGGTATCGGCGTAAATGATTATGAGCGTGATCACGGCCAGGGGCACGCCGACGGCCCAGAAGACGTAGAACTTGCTGCCGTCGGGACCGTAGACCTCGCCCATTGACAGGATGCCTGAGATGATGGGGAGCGGGATGAGAATACCGCCGAGGTAGCTGATGCGGTCGAGGGCACGCTGGTTCTCATCAGGGGGCTTTCGTCCTCCGCCTGGGCCCTGTCGGTTTTGGTTGCGGCGTAGGCTCTGGGGGATGTTGATACCTGCGGCGTTGAAATCGCCGTCGTCTGGTTCTCTGGGACGGTCCCCGTCGGGCTGCTCAGTCGCACCAGGATTTTGATAGACGGTGATGTTCTGCGTTGGTGGGGTCGTCGACGGGGATAGTTGAAGGCGGCGGTGGATACGGTCGATGAGGGACTTCCAGGGCACGTCGTCTTCCCCTTCATCATTGAGCTCCAGCGATCGCACAATCTGCCGGAAGCACATCACCTTCTCAGGTCCCAGGGGCTCCGGCTCCGGCTCCAAGAAGTCGAAGAAGGTTAGCCATTGGCTGTAGACGGCTTCCGCGACGACAGCGGCAAGCTGGTCCACCGGATAACCCCAACCCTGCCTGAGTGAGGCCACGATTACCTCCTCCAGGCTCTCTGTGACTCCGGTCTCGCCGACACCAAACGCAGCTCCAGTGCTTGTCGACTGCCGTTTGGCCTTGCGGTACCCTTGCCCGGGTTTATTCCACAACTCCCTCTCGAGGAACAGCACACTCCCTTGCTTTGTCATCCACAACCCGACCCGGCAAAACAATACGGCGTGCCTCGTTTCCCATACCTCTTTGCTGGATAGCGGCAAAATCAGCGGTCTCGATGCTAGCTCCACGTCCCTATCGTCATATTTGTCACCCTTGGTTTCACCCCCGTTCTCACCGCTGCCCCCTTTCCCCTGGTCAGAAGCCGCCGACTCTTCATCCACCAACTCCACAACCTCGGGATACTCCCACACAAACCCGCCCGGCATCGCATACCTGCTCACTTCGGCCCTGACACGCGGCGAGTACATCATCTGCCGCACACAGGCGCGGTGCTGCAGCTTCCTAGGCGAGCGGTAGGGCCGCCGAGATGCAAAACAATCCACGAACTCACGATCCAGGCCCTGGTCCAGCCCGCCGCTGTCTTCCCCGTGTCGGACACGCCCTAACTCTTTCAGGAGCACCTTCACCATGCCGCGCTGCAGTCCACGCATCAACACGATACGCCGGGCCGGATCCAGCGTGTCGTCGGATTCCTCGCTCCCGCCCGGCTCATCTCGGTTCCCCTTGCCCTCGTTTCTCGCAGAACCCGCGCCAGGGACTGCCTCGAGTTTATCATCACTGTCTGCTGACGCTGACGTTGACCTCGGATCTCGATGCAATGCATCAACCAGCCAGCGCGGCGTGTACAACGGAATGCGGTGAATATGACGTGGGAGAGTGGTAATGGGATGCGGATCGGACCAGAAGAGGAGGGAGGTCGGCGTGTTGAGGATGGTAGCTGTGCGTAAATCGCCGCTGGTGTCGTCGTTATCATCGTCCTTACCGTCGTCATTATCGTCGTCCTTATCGTCGTGGTTACCATTGCCGCCGTTATCGAGATAGGGGTCTACCGTGGCGAGGAATGGGTTGATCCCAGAATCTTCGAGTTGCACTTGGTGCATTTCGTGCTGTTGGGGCTGTTCTCCTTGTTCAGGACCGGGAGAGAGAGTCGGGGAAGGTGATGGAGACGACGGATGACCGGCCAAAGTGGCCGGCTGATGAGCATCCGTTTCACTCATCTTGCCGCCATCTGTCTCGCGAAAGCCGCGAGGGAGGTCGGAAACTAATTCAGCATTGAATATAAGGGGGTGGTGTTTTCGCGACGTAGTGATCCTCGCATGGAGTGTAAACAATACTTTTGCCCAAAGTGCAAAACTGAAGATGTACTGGAATAAGACCGAATAATCCTTGTGGGAGAAAAGGTAAAACAAGATAAGCCTTGAGACAGAGGAAAGACACCAATATGACGGAATCCAACTGCAGATAATCGCAGCAAACAAGCGAACGGGTAACCAACCAGCCTTCCTTGGTGGTGTGAATGCCGGTCAATCAGTCCTGCTGTGACTTCATCTCTCGCATTCGCGCTGCTGATCCTTCCCAGCCCCTCGTTCACCCACCGAGCCACTTACTCAACTCTTTTCAACAAGTATTCGAGTAAGCAGGCGCGATGCAATGGAAAACTCCCCAGTCACCTCAATTGTTAAGTCGAGCCTTCCCCAATTTGTACATGCAGAATCTGCAAATTCCCACTTGCTCGACCCGCCACGCCCAATTATTTAGCGCCATTTTCAGCAGCAGCCAGGGGAAGAACAAGGACGGGAAACCACCACCGGGGATCGCTAGCGGATCGACCGCCGTGTAACCCAAGACAAGATCAGTCCGGTCGCACCTTCCACGGGATGGGAAGGCATTCCGGAAGCCCCGTGCCCACGCCATCTGGTCGAGATTGTCTCGGCACCTACTCGTAAGTTGGTGTGTCCGGTACTTGTCGGCCGAATAATGGACGACGGAACAAGTCACGGGTGTGAATTACTCCAAATAAAGTTTCTCCCCCTCGATAAGCGGGAGATCATGCGCTAGTCTGTTCGCGCCAGGATGCAACTTATTTTCTTGGTCTCGACTCTCGAAGTCTCACCAGCACCATCAGGAGCGAAACATTTGAGACATCGAAATTCAAGATATCAGATGCAACTCCTTTACGAGTTCCCACAAGTTTCCAGCAACACTCAACCGCCTGATGGCCCATACCTAAAAATCCACAGACGCTTTATATATTCAGTTTCTGTTACTATTCCTTCTGTCCGTATCCTCCACCCCTTCCATGAGACAAACCTAACACCCCATATCATTTCATCTCACCCCCCCTCATTCACCCCCTTCTCCCCTTGCCCTACACAAATCACTCATCACCCATTCATTCTTCCGATACCATCCCATACCATACCCGTCCAACAAACTCCTCCCAACACCACCAACCCTATCCACCCACCCATCCTCAAAGGAAGAAAGAGGAGAAAATAAACATCTCCTTCATCGAAGAGTAGGTAAACTTGAAAAACGCCATAAAACTCCACCAGATGAAGCGTATGTGTGTGCGTGCGTGTGTGCATGAGGGACATGAGCATGGGGCATTCTCCGACCCGACCCGGCGTGCAAGCGTCCTAGTCCATCCCGTGCTTGCCCGTCCCTCACTATTCGCTGTCGGCGGCCGTGGCACCTCTTCTGCCTCATCTCTCTTCCTCTTTCTGTCTAATCAAAGGAGTGAGTGGACCATAAGCTGACTGACACAAAACCGAGTCAAAAAGAAAATAGTAAAGAAAAAATAAGAAAACAGGGGACAAGCCACCCATCGCCTGCTTCTTTCGCTGTAGTTCTTCCCCTACAGAATTCCTCTCCGCCCGCACCCTACTACTACCCCTCACCTTCACCATATACACCCCGCACCAACGAACTACCCCTTCCCACCATTCCAATCCTCCCCATCATGATGCAGCGTGACACTGTTAAACTCCTCAAACGGATCCGGCGTCTCCCCGCCCGGCGTAGCCAGCCCACTATCCAACGGCACACCCGCAGGCGTCCCGCCCGCACTACTGCTGCTACCGGCGCCGCCAGCACCTCCCGACCCGCCCACACCGGGACTACCGCTGCCCTTCATGGGCCGCGACCCGCTGATGTCGACGCTCTCGCTTTCCTTGACGTTGCGGAAGTTGACCGTGTCGATGCCGCGGCCCTGGTGGGGGATGATGGGCGGTTTCATGTGGCGGATTAGGGCCCACTGGGTGGTGCGGAAGAAGGGGTGTGTCTTGATGTCGGAGGCGCCGGCGCGGGCGCCGAGACGGCGGTTCTCGTCTTTGATGAGCAATTTACGGATGAGGGATTTACAGAGACTGTTGCCGTGTGTTAGTAACCATGTGAACGAAAGAACGAAAGGTAGTAGGTGAGGGGGAAGGGTAGGAGGAAAGGTAAACTGACTTTGATATTTGCGGAGCGCCGGCGTGGTCGGGGAAGGGAATGTCCTCGCGCAAGATGTTGGCAAACGTCGCGTTGCGGTTCTTGCCCTTGAAGGGCGTCGTGCCATACAACATCTCGTAGATCAAGATGCCCAATGTCCACCAGTCGACGGCGCTGGTGTGCCCACTGCCCTTAATCACCTCGGGCGCAATGTACTCCTCCGTGCCGACGAACGAATTGGTCCGGAAATTGGCAATGCATGACTTGGTGTCGATGGTCGGCAGCGACGTCGAGCTGGTCCCGTTCTTGCCCAGAATCATGGTCGGCTTGCCACCTGGGTCTGACTGTTTCGAGAGATCAAAGTCCGACAGCATGATGTGCCCGGACTGGTGGAGCAGAATGTCTGGGCTGGGTCAGCGGGGATCGATCAAAAGATAAATCTGTCGCGGTTCACTCACTTTCTGGCTTCAGATCCCGGTAGATAAAGCCCATCAGATGCAGATACTCCAGCGCTGCCGTCACCTCGGCCGCGTAGAACCGCGCATCCTCTTCCGAGATGCACTTCCCGGGCCTCGTCTGCAGCGCTCTAAAGAACTCGCCGCCGCTGCAGTATTCCATGCAGAGGTAGAGGTAGTCCTCAGACTGGAACGAGTGGTACAGCGTCACGATGAACGGGTGATTGCTCGTCGCCAGGATTTCCTGCTCCGCGAGCGCCCTCTTAATCTTGTTCCGCTTGATCATCTCCTTCTTGCTCAGCACTGCGTTGTGTCAGTTAACGGGTCGGCCCATACACAGCACAGCGCCCATAGGTAGGTAGTGACACAAGATAGAGGCTGGCTTACCCTTCATCGCATACAACCGACTGCTCTTCTTCTCCCGCACCAGATACACCTTGCCCACATCCCCCTTACCAATCAACTTGATCTTGTCAAAACTCTGCGGCCCGACCTCCACATTCCGCACCTTAATCGAGTTCGAACTGTACGTCCGCCTAAACTGCAGCGCCGACTGGTTCGGCGGCGGCAGCGATCCCAGCACATCCGAGTCAGTAGCCGTCCCCAGCCCACTGTCCGACACCGACGCCCCAACCGCAGCGGCACCCGCACCAGCGACGCCCTTCTGGCCTTTCCCTTGGCCCTGGTTCCCCGGTAACGGGCCGCTCCCTTTGCCCGTCCCCGGCCGGCTGCCGTTGTCCTCCTCGCTGCTACTAGCGTTGCCACCATTCGCCGCCTTGGCGCCCTTGGAGAACAAGCCCTGCGCATTTGGCGCGCTGGCGACCCTGCGCAATTTCCGCGCCAGTTCCTCCTTGCGGGCCGTCTCTATAGCATTCGCGGCTGCATCGCCCTCGCCGACAATCTCGGTGCCATCTGCGCCAACACCGCCGCCGACACTGCTGCCGGTCCCGTCGACCGTGCTGACGTGCACCGAGGGGGTGTCGGGCGGGCTAGGCGGGACGGAGCCCTCGTTGTGGTGGCGCAGGCCGGGCTGGCCCTGGTGGGCAAAGTAGGGGTTCGCGTGGGCGGTCGGGCTCAGGGCCTCGTTCTCGAGCGGGTTGCCTTCGCTGGCGGTGGTAGCGCTGCGGAGGCGGCCGACAGTCCAGAACTTGGTCTGCCGGAAGGCGCTCTTGGTGTCGGACCGCGGCGTGTTGCTGTTGTTCTTCTGGTCATGGCCGCCGGTGGTATTGGGGCTGTTGGCAGGATGGGTATTGCTTTCGCCCGTTGTTGTGGCGTCGCGGTCGCGATTGGCCGAGTTGCGCGAGAACCACCCCTTCACCTTTTGGTGAAAGTGCGTGTCGCCATTCGTGTTCTTGGTGGATGGCATTCTGGAGCTGGTCGTTTTCGAGATGATCATGGGAAGCCGACCATGGTGGTTCGAGCGGGACGGGATAGAGAAAGGTCCTGAACGATGGATGGGCCGGCGGTCGATGGCCGATGATCGATGGTCAACAGTCGATGGCCGATGAGCGATGGCTGGTTGTGGCCGGATGGTGTGCGAAAGTTGGCGGTTGTGCACGGGCAAGTCAATGCGGGAACAGAATGGATATGGGCGGCGGGCTGCTGTGGCTCCAGCAAATGGAAACGGCTGGCTGGGCGCTCTGCGATACAAGTTTCGTGAGCGGGCGACCGCCCAGAAGAACAAGCAGCGGCTGATGGAACGCTGGCCGGGGGGCGCAATCGAGCGGCTGCTCCAGGCCTCTGAACCCTGGGGCCCCTCAAGGGAACTGCCCGGGCCAGTGAAAACAAGGCCCCGGCGGCCGTTTACAGGGGTCTGGGGCTCCAATTGCAGCCTCAACAGCGGGGAGTCACGGGACCTGCCGCCCGGCCAGGACAGACCAGGGCAGGCGGCACCTTCCCCATCCTCGTTCTTGCCCCGGAAGCTGCATTCACAACGTCCTGTTGCACTGAAATACCGCACCTATTTGACGCAGGAATGTAATTATTGAATATTCTGGATTAACTTTAGTACACAGCAGGTTTCCGTCGTCTCTTTCATGGATATCCATTTCCACCATCAACACGACCTCTCCGCCCCGACGGGACGGAACGGTCAGCCCAGGCACGCCGCTAATACCCCGTTAGGATAGGTAGCTCGCCAAGGCGCAGCAAACAAAGCAAGCATCGCGGCAAGCAAGTTGGGAGGCTGATGAGCAGAGGAAGCTTTCCGGCCAGTGCCAGCCACCTCACCTCAGGGGTCGTTCGGGTGGTTCACAGGTTCACGGTGGAAAAGCCTGTGCCACAGTGATCCTGCTGAGAACTACGGCCCCCTAAACGGGCGGTTGATATCCACTGCGGCCCGGATTCCCAAAGAGGGGGAGGCGAACTTCTCGGTCTCTCAGGTTGATTGACAAGTGGAGGAGTTGATTCTCGTCGCCGCTCACTTGTATGATGTATCAGACGCCTTCCCCACCAATTCTGGGGGCGACACGGCCCCTTTTTTTTGTCGCTCGCCCGAAGAATTGTGTCCTAACGCGGGCAGCTAGGCGTCTAGAACAGGTTGGTTGGCTTACAAACCCACGCACCTCCCGTGTTGGGAATCCGGCTTTTTGTTGGTCCACGGCACCAAAGCACCAAAGCACCACTGAGGAGGAGAAAAAGGAAAGTCCGCCCGTGCGGGGCATGGGCCTTTTGTTTCTTTTGAGAAATGAGAGCAAAGAAAGTTAACGGAAAACAACCCGGGCCGGCAATACTAGTATTCATCTAGCACCACTGCATAACTCAATGTATTTGCTGGGGTTTCCATTCCTGTGTCTGGAATGAAGCCCAGCCATTTGAGTGAGGGAGTGCCGGCACTGCCGGACTTGATCGGATTCAATACGAGTGAGACGTATTTCGACGCGTGGCTCTGCAAAAGACGCGAGTCAGATTCGTGTCTCATGTTTGAACCCGCGCCTTGGAACGCATGATTACGGATCCGTACGTGGTATGAGACGTGGAGCCATACAATTTGCGGGAATAAAACTGGCAGGACGGGCTAGCACGGTAAAGATGGTGGTTTTTGTAAGTTACTTCCCAATCAACAGGTATCAATGAATATCAACGCCATGCTCAACTAAACCATCTGTCCCATGTGTTCTTGGCGTACTGTCGCCCAAGTATTATCACATGTCCCATATCCCGTATTGTACAACAACATCGCCGGGTCTTGCTCCCATCCCCAAAACCTATCTATACCCCCCCATCCACACCTCATAATCACCAAAACAGGCCGCCTCTTTAACAGACTCCCAACACATGCCTTGGTAGGTAGGTAATCAACAACCTAATAAGGCTTCCACCCTTCCCCCCCAACACCCCCCTCAAGCACCGCATCCGCGTACTCCCCCAGCATCTTCTGCCTTGCCCGCTTCGCCCGCGCCACCTCGCCAATGATCTCCAGCTCGTGCGCCGTGTAGTCGGGTTCCTCCGGCGCGTTGCGGTCGCGCTGCTGCACCACGCGGTTGATGCGCGCCTGTCGCTTGCGCCGGTCGTCGTCTGTTTCGCGTTGTTGGTCGTGGATTGAGGGTGTGACTTGCTCGCCGTGGGCGTTGAAGAGGTAGTGGGGGAGGGGATGTGGGGGGTTGTTGTTGGCGATGGCGGTGGCGTTGTTTGTTGAGTGGGGGGGAGTGGGTTGGCGAGATGGGAGGGAGAGTGAGGGCGAAGGCGTGCTGTTCTGCGGTCCGTCGCCGACGTGCCAGAGGTAAGGAAGGAGGTGGGCGGTTTCGACGTGGGATTTAAAGGTATCGAGAGTTGGGAAGGGTGAAACGGTACAGGATGCCCATTCACAGGGAAAGCTGGTGGACTGGCTTTCCCCGGTTGATGGCGATGGCCTGCCGTGGACGATGAATAGGTGCTTCCGGAGTGTCTCCATATTCTGCAGTCTCGCTGGACAGTCCTTCCACTCGCAAGTGAAGACAACAAACTGCGGGTTAAGCCGGAGGTAGAGCTGGCGGGCCGTGGGAACTGGCTTCCGCCCTGGTTTACGGCGCACTTTCTGCTCGCCGGTGAGCTTTTTCGGTTTGATCATGGATGGCACCATCCCCGGGGGGAATCCCTCTCTCAATGCAGCGTATGAGCCATGACCAGGCTTCCAACCAAATGGGCGGCCACGCTTCCGGGGCTGAGGAGAGGTTGTGGATGATCCTGGTGTCTTGGGTACTGAAGCAGCGGGAGGTGGTGGCTTCTTTGAGGCTACCTGAGCTTTTATTGGGGGCTTTTCGCGCTTGATGCTTGGTTTTGGGATAATGTCGGACGTGACAAGGCTTGTTTCTGGGTTTGCATCTTGAGTTGGCCGGTCTACCGAGGTGAAAGACCTTCGCCGGGGACTAGAGTGAAGGACTACTTCCAGCTGAGGCGTTGATCGGATGGCAGAGGCTCCAGGAAAGGGCAGTCGGCTCGGAGGTGTTGCTACTGACTCTTCTTTCTTGAAGCTCGGAAAATGCGGGATACGTGGCGGATCGATCCTCGAGGTGGATATCAAGGGCCTTTTCACAGCGCCGTTCCCATTCCGACTATCGACGTCAAGCTTGCGATCCTCCTGCCCGTCTTCGTTTTCATACCCGTTTGCATCATGTTCTGGCGAGGGGCTTACAAAGCCCCCAGCAGGATCGTTAACGAGATCGCTGCCAATTATAGCGTCCGGGTCCCAATCTGGATCGTAGGGCATTGTGTTCAAGGGCCCCTTTGGCCGAACCCCAAAAACTCGCCGGACGCGTAAAATCGGTGTATCAAATTGGCGCGTTGGTAAAAACCCCCATGCATCCCCAACGCGAGAATTTGGGGAGGTAGAGAAATAATAGAAGGCTATCCTAGATGTAAGATAAGTTTGAGTCAATGGTGTTGCCAGTCAGTCAATTGATGAAATGAATTGGCAAGGGCTTAGATGGGCTGGCGTGTTCCAAGGTCGTGTTTGGTAACTAAAGGGTATCTAATACGGTAATATTGCGGCAAATCAACCCTAACCCTCATGATTGTATGTTGTCCATTGGCACCTCGAGAACTCAAACCAAACCTCAACTCCCGACTACACGTAGTTACATGCGCTCTCGGAAATAACTAATCACCAGTCGGAGTAAAGATGGGTAGGACCAACCAGCATCACCAATCTGCATTAGATATTCCATCATGTCTGGGCGCCCCGGACCAAAAGGATGCCCGGCATTATTAATCAGTCTTGCACCACGCAATGAGGGCGGGGTTGCTTGATTATGCGAATCGTCCCTTCCAAGGCTGGACATCATCTCATTGTACGGACGAAGCACCTCATGGACCGACTCCGTTTTGTGTATAAGATGCCGGACTTTCCGGTGTATGGCCACAATGCTCTCACACTTCCTTCGACTTCATACTTCGACTCAACACCAAGCTTCACCTTCAACATCACTCCCACACACTAACTTGTAGCCCATCCTCACTACTCCATAACACCCCACAACACACGACAACACCAGAAATAACCATGTCCACCGTCTCCAAGTCTTTCTATGCCATCGTAGCCGGCGTCGGCGCCGGTACCGGCCGGTCCGTAGCCCTGCGTTTCGCCAAGGCCTACCCGGTCGTGCTCCTCGCCCGCAACCCGTCTAACTACACCGATATCGTGGCCGAGATCAAGCAGCAGGGCGGCGAGGCGCTGGGCATCAGCACCGATGCATCCGACGCGGCGTCGGTTGCCTCCGCGTTTGAGCAGATCAAGAAGGAGTTCGGGGACAAGAAGTTGGCGGCTGCTATTTGTAAGTACTTGGTTGGATGTCGTGCCAAGGAGTTGTGACGACATGTGTTAACTGGGGACAAAAGTTAATGCCGGCGCTGGCTTCGGCATCAAGCCCTTCCTTGAGACCACCGCCGACGAGTTCAACCAGAGCCTCAGCGGCAACGCGTAAGTTCCACCTTCCCCCAGATCACCCAGCATTCACTCCTTAGCTAACATTCTACAGTGGTGGCCTTTACAACTTCGCCCATGCTTCTCTCCCGCAACTCCTGGACTCCGTCGACGCCACATCGCCAGCGCCTCTCCACCCGCCAACGCTGCTCGTGACGGGCGCGACGGCCTCAGTGCGCGGCTCGTCACGCTTTGCCGCCTTCGCGGCGGGTAAGTTTGCCGTGCGGGCGTTGACGCAGAGCCTGTCACGCGAATTTGGCCCGCGCGGGGTGCATGTGGCGCATATCATCGTAGACGGCACCATTGATATCCCGCGGACGAAGTCGCGTATTGTGAATGACGGCAAGCCGGATGGGAAGATTGATCCCGATGCGGTGAGTAATTTCTATTCTTGTTTTTCCCTCGCAGCAGTTGTATAAGATGCTGACGGGGGAATAGATCGCCGATAGCTACTGGCACTTGCACTCACAGCATCGGTCGAGCTTTACGCAGGAGTTGGACCTGCGGCCGTATGTTGAGAAGTTCTAAGGTATTGGTAGGCGAGGGTAGGGGCTACGATCAGTCAGTGTCTGCACATTGAACTCGGCTATGTTGGGTCGAAAGACAGGGAGTCGCGTAAAGCGCGGAGGTGGTCAGCCCCAAGGTGGATATATTTGGCGATAGCCCTATATAGTCAACTCCGCGCCTGTGATCTTCCAACAGTCCAACCTGTTCTGATCCCACTGAATCCTGACACGCTGTCCCTGCGGGCTCGGAAGCCTCCCGAGAAGCGTGGGTGACGCTGTGTGCCGGGAAAGGAGGAGCGCTCAGTGGGCTCACTGTCCTCTCTCAGCCGCGCGGCGTCGTAGTGTAGTTGTAAATGAGAAAGCTCATCTCAAGTGTTCGGTACAGCCTCTGGCTCCGTCTCTTCTTCCCCTGGCTCCTCCCCGTTGGGCACACTACTCGGCAACGGTACTCCGTGCAAGGCCGCCAGCCGCTCCTCCTCCCTCTTTGTCCGAAGGGCCTCCGTTTCTCGCCGTAGCTTCTCGAGATTCCAGGCCGAGTCGTCTTCTTCTTCCTCTTCCTCTTCGGATTCGTCGTCTCCGCGCCAGTTGCCGCTTTCGAACAACGCACGGCCGGTCGCCTCTTTGGCCTTCCGTAGCGCCTCCTCGGCCGCTTTCTTGTCGAGACGCTCTTTCTTCCACTTGGCGAATGACTCGGGGGTGACGGGTGTGAGCGTTCCGGTGAGCTTGTGCCGCTCGGACTCGAGAAACTCTTCGATGGTGAGGGTCTTGAGTGGCGACTTGTCCATGAGAGCCTTCTCTGCCGCCCTCTGTTCTTTCGTCTTGAGCACGAACCTGGGAAATGGTCAGTTAAATTGTTTGTTGAGAGTCGCAAGAGTGTTTGCCACACGTACCCAGGTGGAAGTGCGTGCTTGTACATGCACTTGTCGCCGCCGTTCGGGCAGATCCAAAACCAGCCGTATTTGCCCTCCTCGATGGCTTGGATGAAGAACTTGCACACCTTGTCGGTCGATGTACGCTGGTTCCCCTTCTTGGAGAGCACGACCGTCCGGAGCTTCTCCTCGTCCCAGTCGGCCGATGTCTCCTGCTTCTTCTTCTCTTCCTCATCCGCCCGTGTATCCTGGTACAGGTTGATCTTTTCGGTCTTGCGATCCATGTCCGAGTTGTGGGAAAATTTGCACTTCTTGCCCTTCTCGCAATTCCCTTTCTTGTAGAAGATGCAGACAACCGTCTTGGGGTCAACACCGAACGGCACTTTTTGTATCTGAGCGGGTTTGTTGAGCAGCGACTCGTTCTCTCGCTTCGCATCTTCGGCGGCCTTCTTCTCGCGCTCACGGGCGGCCTTCTCGGCGTCTTTGCGTTTCTGCTGTGAACTCGAGCTGGCTTCAAGCTGGGCAATTGTTTTCTTGGCGACGGCACCCTTCTTGTTCTTCATGCCAAAGGTCTTGTCCTCGACAGCCTTTTTGACATCCACCTTTTTGGCGGGGCCTTTTTCATTCTTTTTTGGTGCCATGTTGGGCGAGTGTGTGATTCTGAATGCGCGATACAATCCCGGGGTGACTATAGGGGCCGGCTCGTGAACCTCGAGGGGGGCGGAGACGGCCGGGCGTGCGGTAGGTTGTCGAGGTTTTGTGTCGAAGGCAAAGTTGCAGATTCCAGGCGGGGACCCTGGCCAAAGCCGGGTTTCGCTGGTGAGTTCTGAATGGTCTCAATTTGTGCCCCACCCTGCCGCACAGCCCTGACGTGTTGAGCCAAGGCGCGACGCACGTGACCTGGACCTGTTGGGATGCAGCCTGTGGTATCAGTACATGGCCGTTTGCGAGCTGGCATGTCGCAAGCCGCGACTCTGGAAAGCTGTCCAGATCCCGCGCCTGCACGACAGCTGCCACCACGACAATCATCCACAAACTCGCAAACGGAAAGGCGCAATCAACACCCGCACGCTACAAACACTGCGACCAATATTCTAGGTCAATCGAAGCCCCCGAAGCCAGTCCAATCTTCAATCCTCAATCTCGAAACACCCCTCGCGACAGTTGCGGACCCCAGTCTTCTTTCACCATGATCTCCGACAACGAACTCTACCGTTTGGCCATCGTCCTCGGGTCAGCCGCTGCGGCGTTGATCATTCTCCACGCCTTTTTCGACGTCAATTCCGGCGAGAAGGAGAGCCAAGAACTCAAGGGCAAGACGACAACGCAGGCGACACCGGCTGTGGCCAAGGCAAAATGAATTACTCGGCGGGACGAGGTATATGATAGGATTGCCGGCGGCCATCGCCGCCAAGCAATGGATCTATAATTTGAGCATATGGACATTGGAGGCCGTGGGATTCTGCGCAAGGGGTCTGCGCTGCGTGATGGAGAACAGGAAGAATGAATGGTCGAAAGGGAACAAGTCAGGTGTCGGCGGTCTGTCGGTGGTTGGAAGGTGGTATATCGGCGGACAGAGACCGGAACGGTATTCCAGTTCATTCTGATGGACGTCTTTTGCGGCAGGTGGTTCCGGAAGAACGGCGAACCGGGTGGGAGACAATAGCGACGCGATCCTTTATGAAGCATTTCTTTGGTGGAGGTGGTATCTATTGAACCGAATATTAGAGATGAGGAGCCTTTTCCAAGGTCGTTCCACCGGCATTGTTCGCTGCCGTGCCAGGTCCTTCTAGTTCCGCTACCCCAAAATTATTGTCTCCCCTTAAAACCACCGGCATCTTGAGAACTATATCAAACAATTACAAAAGTCGCCCGAGCGCGATCTTGGATGCTATCAAACACGATTGGCTTGACCCACTTTAACTACCAGAAGTATCGGTACATGCAGCAACGCTGTGGCTGGAACAGTCACCAAACTCTATTGGGCCAAGCGCATTCCCCTGCAGCCCCGCGCCACCCCAGAACCGCTGGGGCTGACCGGTTCGCTCTTTCCGCCTGGTCCAGTGGCCGCCTAGCAGGCCCAGCGAACGCTTCCTCAAATTCTCGCGCGACTCATTCTCCTCCTTGCTTCTGCTCTCCCTTTCTCTTCCAACCACCACCAACTATCTCAACCTACGCATTATCCTGACTACTGTGCGGATTTGCCTCGCTCATCGCTCGCCGGAAAACATTTGATCCGCCGAACGATTTAAAACACATCAACCGCCTTTTTTTTTCGCCTGCCACCGACCGCACTCAACGCGACCCGGCGCGACGTGCAATTGCAGAGAAAAACGCGGTAACTCCTTGCGATCAGCCGACCACCTTTTCGCACCTGCCATTTTCCAGCGAAGCTCAACCAGCTTTTCGCACCGTGCATCTCTACTCAACGAGTCGCGCGCACTCACCTGCCTATCCCACACACCACATTCCATCAGCTTCGTGCTCACCGTCGCAATCATGTCCGGCAAGCTCGACCAGACTCTCGACGAGATCCTCACCACCCAGCGACGCAACCAGCAGGGCCGTCGTCGTTCCACCCGGCGCACTGCTGGTAGCACCACTCGCGCCGCCCCGACTGCTCCGGCTGGTGGCGTTCAAAAAAGCACCAAGGCTACTCGTGGCGCCAACAAGCCGACCCCTGCTAAGGGCGCTGGTCAGACTGGCGAGAGCAAGATCATGGTCAGCAACTTGGTGAGTTGAACAAACCCCCCATGGATACTTTCTTGAAAAGTGCATTGACTAACACTGTCACAGCCCAGGGATGTTTCCGAAGCCCAGATCAAGGTATGTTATTGCCGCTGAGGCCATTCAGCCTTCGAAATTCTTGTCGACGCCCGTTTTTGCGACCTATCCTATCGACGTATGTCCCCATGGACAATGAGGGCGGTCACCCCCTCCAACCAGCGCTTGAAAGCGGCTGCCCTGATGCCTCAGTTCACTCTTGATGCGTTACGTTGGCTCTGCCGGCTACGCTATCAGTCATGGTCATCTGGCCACAGAAGTTGAGCAAGCCGATGTCTGCGCGCAACCTCGTCATATGGTAGCCTGGCAAGCACCCATGACTCGAAGGCTCTGCCCGGACCATGTAGGCGCCGGCAATATGTCAGACAGCACGCCAAGCTGGACTCCGTTGCACGTATCTCCACCTTGGCCGGTCACCAGGTCGATGATTGTGTGAATCAGCGAGCTTTGCAGCAAGCAATCGACACAACTTACTCCATGCTTTCCCCCTTAGTTGGGTGGCAGGTTCAAGGGGAGTTGTTGAGCGTCATCGCTACCAATCGATGCTGTCCGTTTTGAGGGCTTTCTTCGAACCTTCGAGAGGGCCAATGCGTTTCGTTGAGATCAGTTCCAAACGGCAGGCCACACCGGACGTTTTTGCCTCCTCTTCGGCATGAGTTGGGGTACACACCGCGGGGCCATTCGATTGACGGGTCTCATTCGAGCCCGGATGCGGTTTGCCTGCCAGTTGCCGGTCACGCTTTTCGGGGGGTTATGCTCGTTGCCCTGCTTGCTGCTCTGCTCGCTGCTTTTTGTTCCTTGTTATCAGGACGCCGACGCTACGCCATATCGCGATGGACGGATTATTCGACCTTTTCCGCACTTTCCGCACACGAACGCTCGGAATACCGAAGTCTCTAATTGACACTAACCACGATCACACTCGATAGGAGTACTTCAGCCAGTCTGTCGGCCAAGTCAAGAAGGTCGAGATCGCGTACGGCCCGGGCGGTCAGAGCCGTGGCAACGCGCACGTCACCTTCCAACATGCGGACGGCGCCAGCAAGGCTTTTGCCTCCCTCAACGGTCTCCTCATCGACAACAAGCCTGTCAAGGTAGGTCTTCTTTCTTGGAAACCCGGATATTTGGCAAGCATGTTTCTAACAGCAACTAGGTTGAGGTTGTCGTTGCTTCTGCCGACCTTATCCCGCAGCCCAAAACACTGGCTCAGCGTATGACGCAGCCCAAGGCTCAACCTAAGTCGGCGGCCAACGTCAAGAAGGGTGCCAACGCGACGGGTAAGGGCGCCGCTGGCAAGGGCACCAAGAAGGCTGGTCGTCCCCGTCCCAACCGACCGGCGAAGAAGACGGCGGAGGAGCTCGACTCGGAGATGGCGGACTACTTTGACACTGCCAACACAGAGAACAATGCGGCTACGGCGACTGCCCCCGCTGCGGCTGCCACCGGTGGCGATGCGGCGATGGAGGAGGATGTCCTCTAGGTGGGGAGCTGGCTGTCAGAACGACGGGCTAAGTCTCTGTAGCTAGTCCACGGTAAGGGTTGGGGGTGCATGGATGTATGAAATGAGTCTTCCGGGGGTTAGCATTAGGGTTGAGGCAACGGCGTGCGGTTTTGACATGGGATCCTGTTTTCGCATCGTTTTCTGAGGGACAGATTGACACATCTCGGTAGCTTGAGGGTGCACTGTTAATTGGGCCCAAGTGGTCGTTACATTATCTGATATTCTGCTGTATGCTTTGCTGTGTATGTTTGAGAGTTGTCCGATGTGTTGCAACTCGGTGGTTGTGGCTAATTGCCCGTAGGACCGTCACACTGGTAGGTAACCTCCGGAGCTTGTGCGATTGTATTCTCTCAAAACAACTCTTCGCTTTTAACAACAGGCCCGACTATCCGACTCTCAAGCGCACCAATCCCGGGTATAGCCAAGCGGAGGCTGAGTGATGCCGGGAATTGGGGTATCGGAATTTGAGTTGGGTATTCTGAAATGTGAGTGAAGGAAGTGAAGCTGATGATATACGAATACGTGCTCACTATATGTTTAGAAATGGTACCTTATGTCGACTACTACACTACGCAGTCGGAGGTAGAGACGAGTCTGCGAACAGCAAGATTTTCCATCAATTGAAAGGTTGGCCCAAAGTAGACGGGACTCCGACATCCCGGAGGTTGGCTTCCCGTGCCGGATAAGCTACGGGAAGATCGCGGATCTTGGCTACCGTCGACCCGGGTTATTTTATCTCTTTCAGGGACGGGGTTGCATTCGTTTGTGTGTTTTTGGGTGGTTCTGCGTGGTTTGCAATTTATGGTTGGTATGATGAGCTTAGGTTGGGCTGGGAGGTTTGATTTAATATGTTTAAGCTTGGTGAGCCATCTTGAAGTCCGTTTCTGTTTCTCTCACTCACTCACTCACTTCTTCATTCACGCCCATTCGAGGACAGGACGTGGTCGCCCCTCGAGCACCCATCCAGAATGAAACCAACCCTCCTCACGGCGCTCGCCGCCACCTTTCTCACCAGCCAAACCCAAGTTTCCGCCCAGGCCCAAGACAAATTCACCAACCCCATCCTCTACTCCGACTTCCCCGACAACGACATCTCCCCCGGCCCCGACGGCGCCTTCTATTTTTTGTCTTCCAACTTCCACTACAGCCCCGGCGCCCCCCTCCTCCGTTCCCACGACCTCATCAACTGGGAATGGGTCGGCCACACCGTCCCGCGCCTCACCTTCGGCAACGGCTACGACCTCCCGCCCCCCACCGTCAACGATGATGGGACTGTAACCCCGGGCGAGAGGGCGTATAGGGGAGGTACGTGGGCGTCGAGTATGAGGTACCGGCCTAGTGATGGGTTGTGGTATTGGATTGGGTGTACGAATTTTTGGAATACGTGGGTTTATACGGCCCCGGCCCCCGAGGGCCCGTGGGAACAGGTCGCGTGGTTGGGGAATGAGGAGTGTTTTTATGATAATGGGTTGTTGGTTGATGATGTGCCCGCGGCCGAGGGGGAAGAGGATACGTTGTATGTGGTGTATACGTGGTCGGGACAAAGCGTGGTGAACGTGACGCAGCTCGCGGCAGACGGGAAGAGTATTGTGCGGACAGAGACGGTGTTGACACCCGCAGATGTGGGCGTGGATGGGTTGGAGGGGAACAGGTTGTACAAGATCAACGGGACGTATTATATCCTGAACGATCATCCCGGGTCAACGGCGTATGTGTGGAAGTCGGATTCTCCCTGGGGTCCGTATGAGGCGAAAGCGTTGGCGGATCAGGTGCCGGGCCCCGTGCCGGGGGGTGGTGTGCCGCATCAGGGGAGCTTGGTGGAGGCGGCGCCGGGGGAGTGGTATTTCATGTCGTTTACGTGGGCGTATCCGGGGGGGAGGTTGCCGGTGTTGGCGCCCGTGGTGTGGGGGGAGGATGGGTTTCCAACGTTGGTGACGAATACTTCTGCCGGGGGGGAGGGTAGTTGGGGAGTGAGCTACCCGCTTCCGCTGCCGAGTCAGCCGTTGAACTATACCTGGACGTCTAACAGTTACGACTTCACCGCGCTGAGCGAGCTCCCGCCTGCGTTTGAGTGGAACCACAACCCGGACGAGTCCTCCTACGCGCTGAGTGCTGAGGCAGGGTTGACACTTTCAACGGCTACGGTCACGGATGACTTGTACTCGGCCCGCAACACGCTCACGCACCGGGCCTATGGCGAGTTCCCGGCTGCCACGGCCTGGCTCAACATCTCGCAGCTGGCCGACGGTGACCGGGCCGGGTTGGCTGTGTTCCGCGACCGCAGCTCGTACATTGGCGTGCACAAGTTACCTGCGGATGGCAACAACACGGAAAGCCGGCTGGAGGTGGTAACGTGGTTCAACGCGACGATTGACGAGTACGGCGGCGCGACGCTGGATTTGGGTGCCGTGACGGACAGCGTGGAGATTCCCGTGGACACGGAGAGTGTGTGGTTCCGCGTGGGCATGGATGCGCGGGCGGATGGGACGCATCTGGCGACATTTGGGTACCGGGTTGGTGTGGAGGAGGGCGGGGAGTTTACGGCGCTGGGCGGGGAGTATGAGCTGTACACGGGCTGGGCTTTCTTCTTGGGCTATCGGTTTGCGCTGGTTAACTATGCGACCCAGGCGCTGGGGGGGAGCGTAGATGTGTTGCGGTTTGCGACGGAGTAACGGAGGGTGTTTGGTGTTTCCAAGTTGTATGAAGGTGATCGTGTAAATAGGTGGTGAAGTAAATAAACCGCCGTATGTAAACCGTCCCCTGTTTCCCTCAACCCCCCTTATTCCCCAAATCAGACCCTCCGTATGCTCCCGTAACCAACCAATACACCCCAACCCTAATCTGATCCAATCCGATCCGATCCGATCGATCTACGCTATAACACACATATTATAGCCCCCACAAAAAGCCGTTGAACGCCCGCCAAACTTACCGCCCGTTAGACCATCACCTCCCGTGATTGCAGCTTACCCACCTAGATACCACCCACTCGAGCACATCACATACTCTTCCCACATCCCATCACACCGCCTCTCCCATCCCGTCCCATACCAAGGTCGCCCGAGCTAAGCAGCGAATTCCTAACCGTTCCGCAGAGCGGACCCACCTCACTCATGAGCTTCTCTCCTCCCGTTTCCCGTTCTCGCTTCAGCCGAGAAAACGAGATCGGGAAGAGGAAGACAGGAGCAACGGATCAACCCAGATCTCGTCGGATGGCCAAGCTGTGAGGCAGGCACCTTGGCGAGAAAAGGACGCTGCTTCGAGGGCCGTGTATGGTGGTGGTGTGTTTATGGTTATTGTTGAGGGTGTTGTTGAGAGGGTTGAGCGGCTAGAGCAGCTTGAGGAGGAGGTCGAGGGTCTTGTTGATGGGGTTGTTGGTCGGGACATGGTGGTGGTCGTCGCGGTCGATATGATACGTAGAACTTGGATGGGTTGGAAGTTGTGTCCAGAAGAGTGAGAAAGCTAAGGAGGGAAAGAGTTCGCAGGGTCGAGAAATATGTGTAATAGGTAATATATATCGATGTGAAGGCGGTGATTGGGTTTATTGAATATAAGTCGGACTTCCCAATATAATCAACGGAAGGAACCGCGTAAATACTGTATTCGAATCCTTGCCAACGTACGCAAAATTCCAAGACAGAAAATAAGACGAAAAAGAAGAGAAATCCAACAGGCTCGCCAGCCCACTCATAAAAGAATACCCTCCCTTTTCTCCCTTTTCATCACTACCCCCATCCCTAGGATCAACGCCACAACACTTTATCCCGCATTTCTTCCCATCAACTCCCCAGTCCCGAGCCCTGTCGGGCCGTGCCCGCTGCAGTTGGTCCTAGATCGTTCAGATCGTGCCAACAGCAGTGCCAGTGGCAGCGGCAGTAGGTACACTGTGGAGCATGTATGTTGCTTTGCTGTAATGTGTGCTACGAATACGGCGTATGAAGGTGTCGATTCCGTTCAGGCTTCTGTGGGCGTGAGGCAAGAGCCAAAATATTCCCACAGGTCACGTTCACAGAATGCAGGCCCGGCAGGCAATCAGGGTAACAAGACTGGGAGGAATAAGTCTTGGCTTTGTGTTCAAGTGACTGCTTCTGCAGTAATCACCAAGGAACAATTCGCCCGAGTCGACGCCTGCAGGTATGCATAGGTACCTTACTTACTGTACTATACCCAAAGAGCCACTCGGTATGTAAGTCGGTGTATGTACCTAGGTATTCAATGTATCCACACACGTGTAGACATAAGGAATATACCGAACGACCTAATTACCTTCCAAAAATGTATCAATAAATCCCTCCCATCAGTCTCCAATACAGCTAAGACTCACATGGCACAACTCCACCCAGCCTTATTTATCACTCACTGCTTGGGTAGGGTAGGTGTTACCAACGTTAACTGGACACAAATTCTGGCACTCTGGCGATCCGTCACACGCCAAAAAGAGAACCGCATGCATATTGCCGAAAGCCGCGCGGCTATTTCCCTGCAACCCTCTCGGGCAGCTCCGCCCTTCTGCACTCCACCCTCTGCACCCTCTGCACTCTCTCCGCCCTCTCTCCGCCAATACTAGCTTCCGCCTTGAGTTCTCGGCTGATCGCCCACACTCAGTCAGGTACACGCTGTAGTGTACGGAATACTCGTGGTCACCTCCCCTGCGGCCGTTAGAAGAGACATCTTACATCACGACACATACAGTGACGGCAAGAATACCAAATCAATACCGAATGGCTCCATTCGCCAAGGCAAGATGAATAGAACCTATCTCAATACGTTCGACTCCCGCGCCCGAGCCCAGGGTGTTTTTTTGGCTTCCTAACGCCCGTTGTTTCCCAGGTCGCCGTCATCTCGTCCGCCCAACCCATCCCAGCCCAGCTTGGCCCGACCAACCGTCTTGCTCCCAACAGGAGGCCGCCGGCCAGGGCATTGCATTCAGCAGGGCGGGCCAGCGCTAATATCTAGCAGGATATGCATGTCCCCTAAGCGCTGGCAGTCTCCTTCGCGTCCTTTGCCTCCTCGGCCTTCTCGCCCTCTGCAGCCGCAGGGACGGCCTCAGGGGCATCTTCCGTGCCCACAGCCGCCGCAGCCGCAGCCTCCTCCTCCTCACCCTCCAGTGCCGGCAGGTCGTCGTCGTCTGAGTCCTCTTCCTCACCTGCCCCGAAATCGGGGGCACCACCGCCACCAAGCTTGGAGAAGTCGATCCCGCCAAAGTCGCCGCCGCCTATGCATCGTTAGTACATGTCCTCTTATAAGTGAAGCCCCCCCCTAAGAAGCCTGTGTGCCACTGTCGTCCTTGTCCCTCCTTTTTCTTGCCAATTTTGTCTTTTGTACGTACCGCCCATGCCCGGAAGCCCAGCTGAAGTGGGTTTCTCATTTAGCCAAGGAAATATAACAAGCGGTAGACAAGGAGGGGCGGGGAGTGTTCGATAAGAAATGTAATAAAACACCCATTGTGAAACATCGAAAAAACATAAACAAAATCACTCACCCATACCCGGACCGCCAGCACCACCAAAGTTGGAAAAGTCGTCCTCGGTCGCCTCGTTCTGCTCGTCCTCATCCACCCACTTATCAAAGTCGGTCTTGAGGAAGTGCAGCTTCTTGGCCTCCTTGAGCAGGCGCGGCCAGTACTCCTCGTTGAGGTCCTTCTTGCGCAGCTTCAGCTCAACGTCGCGCTCCGAGTGATTGACGCGGCTGGCTGCCGGGTCGATGTCGGCATAGAAGTCGAGCTTGACCTGGTACGTCCGCTTCAGCGTGTTGGACGTGCCCTTGAAGCTCAGCCCGCTCGGCTGCAGGTCCAGCTCGAACTGCCCCTTGGGCACGTCCGGCACGTTGATTGTTAGGTAGATGAAGTTGGCTTCGGGGTCGGTGCCGGACGAGCGCTGCGCCCAGAGGACTGGGAGAGGATAATGGTGAGCTATGTGAAACGCGTGCAAAGAAGTTGGCGGGGTAGCCGAGGGCGGGACGGCGGAAGTGTTCAACGCCAACTGATTTAATGGCAAGGCCGGCCAAAGCTATAGATAAAGAATATAGAACTTACCCTCGGGAGTCGCGACGTCAGTCATGGTGTCTATCTGTTTAAGGATCATTGTGAGCTCGTGGTTCGCGATGGGGATCGGGATCAAGTCTGGAGGGGCGAAGGCGGGGCAAGTTGCAACAGCTCAGTGTATTGGGAAAACTAACAGGATTCGAGTTAAAACGGGGTTCGAGAAGATAGCGTTTGTGTGAAATCCAGGCGTGTGCTCGTCAATTAGAAATGGAAGGTGTCAAAAGGTTGAAAGGTGCAAGTTGCAGGTTCCACGAGACTCAGGTCGGAGGGGCAAAGAACGAACCCCGTTGTGAGGCTGCGACGATTTGCACTGCCTTGCCGGCCAGGGTGACGGTGGAATTCGTCAGAAGCCTAAAGATTCTCAATTACGCAGTAGCACGGGCCAATTCGGGCCTAGCCAGGGAGACCGGCACGGAGACAAGAGCTCTGGACCACACGCTTTCGGAGCTCCAGCCGGGGCTCCACTCAGAGCTTCTGTTTACATGCGTTCCTGCCGTGAGCAAGCGCGGGAGGTTTGTTTCGGTTTGCAAACGGCGTTTAGATTGAGAGTGTTTGAGGTTCAAGACATAGATTAGGTATACATCCCGGAATTCTGGCCCAAGGCCAAACGTACACGGTGCTGACTGCACTCAAATATTGTCCTCGCCCGGCGCCCCGGGTTCAATTTGAGGGGCAGGCAGGAGCGGGGGTCATGGGGGGATAGCACTGAACGAAACAACAAGTACCTATTTCCAGGTTGTGGAGGTTTGTATTTTTACTCGCCTCATCCCAAGGCCGTTCACAAGGAAGTGCTCAAGACACTTAATGTTAAGAGGTAGTCCTGGAATCCACGGTCTTGAAGAAAAGAAAGCAGCCCAGGAGAGTTAAAAGGCCTGGATTGTAGTTGAGACGAGAACAAGGCCCATGACTTCCACAATCACGGACAGTCTGGAGCAATTCAAGTCGTCCTGTCTCTCCCCATCACTCAGAACATTTCATGGCATATTAGGTATCCCACTCATACCAAGCTTTGATCTGCCCTACACTAAAGTGTCTCGTCTCTTCTCAAAGAATGGCGGGGTTGGAGTCGGCAGGCTGTGGGGCTGCCAGGCCTTCTCCACAGGGCTGCAGCCCCTGTCAAGCGCCTTGTGCTGGCGCGGCGCTCCGCAGCAAGGCTCAAGCAGGAAACGCTTGGCCAGGGGTCCCAACGACGTCAGCGCCAGACTCCTCAACTTAACCCTAACTCCCATCTTGAACTCATCTAATTACCCCGACATCCGTCTCCCATACACCCAGGAACCGCATCCCGCAACTTACGATTGACCCCGACCGAAGTGGTGGACGGCATCGTACGGCCATACTCTTCCCCTGTGGACGACCTAGCCACCAATTGAACGAAACACCACGCCACAACCCATCAGCCGACAACGACGGCCGCCGCAGCCATGGAGACGCTCCGGAACATGTTTGCGAAACCAGACCCCCAGGCACAGGTATGTTTCTCTTATTCTTCTTCTTCTCAAAAATGTCCCTAAGCCCAAAGCTAACCCGAGCCATCCCAGTACCGAAAATGCAACGCCCTCCTCCGAGCCAACATGCGCAAACTCGACCGCGACATCGCCTCGATCAAACAAACCGAAACCAAAACCAAAAACCTCATCATCGCCGCCAACAAGCGCGCCCAACGCGGCGACCCAGCCCGACAAAAACAAGCCCAGCGCGAAGTCCGCGACTTCGCGCGCGAGCTCATCCGCACGCGCAAAGCCGGCGACCGCCTCGTCACCGGCCGCGCCCAGCTCGCCAGCGTGCAGATGCAGGTCAGCGAGGCGTTTGCGCTGCGCCGCATCGAGGGCAGTATCCGTGCTGGCGTGGGGATCATGAAGGATGTGAATGCGCTCGTGCGGCTGCCGCAGTTTGCGCAGACGATGCAGGAGTTGAGCGTGGAGTTGATGAAGGCCGGGATTGTGGAGGAGATGGTGGGGGAGGTGTTGCCTGTGGATGGGGATGCCCTCGGGGAGGAGGAGGAGGAAGCTGAGGGGGAGGTGGATAAGGTGCTGGGGGAGATTTTGAAGGATCGGATGGAGACGGCGGGGCCGTTGCCGAGTGTGCCGTTGCCCGCGCAGGGAGAGCAGCAGCAGGCGGTGGCACAGAAACAACAGCAGCAGCCTGTTGAGGAGGAGGAGGAGGAGGAGGATACTGAGGCGATGATGGACCAGATGCGGAACCGGCTGGAGGCGCTGCGGAGTTGAGATTTTGACTGTGAGTCTGGTGTAATAACGGGACGCTGATGGCTTGTGCTGAGCTAGCCGGGCTGGAAAGGGATATCAGGGCATGAAGGCGTTTGGCGTGGTTTGGGTTTAAAGGTTTTACTTTTTTGTTGGCGAGCGTCTCGCATACACAGTCCCTTTTGGTGTTCACAGCTTGGGCATATCGGAACGTACAGATTTGGAGTGTGCTCCTGAAACTACGGTCTATCTTCAGTGAATATCCAAGTGTATTAACGATATCGGGTCTCCAAATACAGAGCTAACAAATGGGTAAGTCACGGCCTGGGGATTGCGAATCACTCCGACTGATCGAATGGCCACCACGATACCTTTCGCCGGACCGAGTCATCCATCTTCGATCTCACAACATATCCGAGAAACGGCCAGTCGCAACCGCCGTCCAAATTGAGAAAGTCCTTGTACGGTCTCTCCAAGTTCCGAGGAACCAACAGACCAACCTTGTCTAAGAGTTACTTTTCAATTACGCAAACGTCCCATCCTTCTTCAAGCCATTCCAATTCATCAACCCGTCTTCGACAAGCGATCTCCCAATAGCCACTTTTCACACCCCGCGAACCATGGGTGAAAGCGTCCTCAGGGTCTGGCCAGTCGAACCATCATGCCAGACCGTCAAGAGTGACCCCAGTCCCGAATACAATCCCGATGAAAAGTCCAAAGTGAGACTAACCACGCTGGCGAGTCTTGTTACAACGTCAGTCTTTCACATTCTTGCCAGAGGATGATACCATGGCAGCAAGGAAGGTGGACTGGGAGGAGCCGTAAGATCTGGACCGGACGTTAGAGGAGAGTTGTGCGATGAAGGTATTGGGTTCGGGGCATGCTAAGAGCGTGTTGTGGCTTTTTTGCTATTTTTCCGTCCCGCTGCTGCTGCTGCTGCTTATGTGGAGGTCGCTGTTGACATATACCTATCCGGCAGGGAAGAGAGTCTTCTAGCACTTGAGGGCACACATCCTCTGTGAGGCTGCAGAGTAATGCTTCGGCCGCTACCTCTGGGACGGGCCGCCCACGGCTGATCCGCCGGGAGTTTACTACCATCATCAAGGAGAAACAGTTGCTCCAACGGCCGGTCGTGGCTAAGGCCGATTTACTTTGTATGTTTACGCATGTACATCCCAGCCCATACAAGATATATATATCACTGAGAAGCGGGTACCCGATGGCGGGAGGTGTACTATGGACCGGTATGGACTACTGGATAATAACTGTTGTGGGCTGTATGAGACATACGGATGCGGTGAAGGCATTTTCTGTTTTGGGTGTGGGTGTTCCTTTTTTCTTTTCCCCCTTTTTTTTCAGCATGGCGCCTTTTCTCTCTGGCTATAGAACTCAGGTCGTTTCCGCCAAAAGCTGTTATTCTTCTGCCTGCTATTGTCTAGGTCGGTGTTCTCCCCTGCCGCACAGCACTTGGATGTATAATGCGATGCTCTAGTTTCTGAATGAGAGGTCTAGGAAGACGGGGTATCAGGAGGTGATGACCCCAGAACTGTTGAAGGCGAGTTTGTGGAAGATACCCAAGCAGTGTGAGCATTATGAGGAGGGTGAGTTTGCTTTTATATAGATTTTTAGTGATCTTATGTTTGTTGTTGTTGTTTACTCCATTCCCCCTTTTTCGGTTCTCCTTTTTTATCTTGTTCTTTGAGTTTAAAATCACCCCAGATATTTTTATCCTCCAACCCCGTCTCCCTCCACGCACTCTCCTTCAGAATCCTTCTTCATCTACCTTCAGACTCACGAACTGCCCCAGACACTGTATTCTCCTCACCCACCTCTCCCGCCCCAGCTCAACCACAACAACGATAACAAGGTCGAAAACGACAACGACGATGACAAGAATAACAACGACCTCTCCCCGGGTATGTCCGCCCCGTACCCACTAACAGCGCCATCTTCGGCAACGTCGAGCGCATGCTAGGCATGCTGACTCGAGTGGCAACACGCTAGGGGCAAAGCCAGAGGGGGACATGTGGACGGGTATGATCCTATTTTGGTGAGTTTTCCGCTTTCTATATTGTTAATTTTATATTATTCTCTATTTTTTGCTCTACATATTATACGGCTTGTTAACGATCTAGTTGTCGCAGCCAAGGAAGAACGGTCTTGATCGATCAACATCCTCAACGTGACTACACAGTCATACCTACGAAGGGAGATCCGGTCCATCTCGTAGGGACAGTTGAGTTTTCGGTGTCTATGGGACGGGAGATGGCTCGGTAACCGCTTATGAGGGCTGGGAAATAATTACTCCGTGGCGGTAAAAGTCTTGATTGCATTTTTTACGTTATTGTTCTAACTCTCCTGCCAAATACATTGTATATCACTACTTCGCAAGGCTTTCCTCCTCATCACTGCTCTCCGTTTCTAAGTCTCAACGGACTTCACGTTCAATAAGTCCAAAGACCACTTCGACTACTAACGTTCGAGACACATTCAACAATCGAGACACACACACAATAACCTAACAACATCCTCACAATCTGACCTGATGATCCAATACTCCCCTCAATCCAAGAAATCCACGGACCATCCACGGAAAATCCACGCCACCTCAAATTTGCTGAACAGTAGCCATCCCATCACAGCTGACCGGTTATTGTTCCCACACAGAGGTCTCATCTCAGACACATTCGCCACCAGGCCATATCCATGTTACAAGGGTCGCTCACCAACGGGTACGATTCCCGGACCCTTGTTGCACATCATCGCTTCCCCGCCTCCACAAATACAGGCACAACAAGATCAAACCGGCCGGAGCTAGACCTTCCCGACTGGGAGACTTGCAGAACGGCTGGCGATCCCCCGGTTTTGCTGGCCAGTCAAGTCAGTCACCCTGGGATTTGATACCTAACAGGGATGAGATCGATGTGGAGAGATGCTTGTCGCACATCACTTTCGAGGCACTCTTGAGGCACTCAGGGTATCTCATCTCGAGCTCGTTTTGTCGAGTCTGGGCCTAGTTAGCCTTACCTGATGAACGGAGAGATGAGGTTCTCGAGTTGGCGAGGCAGATCATTCGTAGCAATACGAAAGAGGCTTCGTAACGGTGCTCTTGATTCTCTGTATCGCCAGTCAGGGCCACGGTCACGGTCACAGTCACCATCGCGATTACGCCCACTGCGAGGATCTCCTGTGTGTGTGATGCAAAGCAGGGCGAAACTGATCTAATAACCTACCTCATAAGCTTATACGCCTCAAGTTTAAAGTCGGTATGACTTAACTCGACTAATTCAACCTCAAATCTCAACTGACTCGTCAAAGCCCAGCCATCAAGATCTGACCGTTCAAGCAAGTGTGGATTCTCACACTTCTCACTGAATCCCACTGTCCTCAACGCACACTCCCAACAGAGCTGATCGATTGCCAACCGTTATTCATGTAAATCCTGTCTCGCTTGTCATGCTTAGCAGTTGTCGCGGAAAGCGGAACGTCGGAAGGGAAAACAAAGAACGAGTCACATACCGGCTTTTTTCCCGATCTGATCCGAGACCCGGAGCAAACAAAACCTAAAAAAAAAACCAAAAGTTCATGATTCTTGAATTTGCCGATATGCCAAGAGATGAATTGTGATATGTCTGCTTGTTGGTGGCCTGCTTTACTGTTGGGTACTCGATCCGGACTGAAAAAAAGTGACAGGCACAGATCTAGAACCGGACCAAGTTCCTATTCTGATGCCTTTTGATACTAGTGTAGGAGTAGCTAAACAATCTCGGCCTCGGTTTGTGTGATATGGACTGCCAGTGCGATGATTATCCCGAAAGCCGAATTATCTTACCCCCTCCCCCCGTCCACAAGGTTTGCTTACGGTAGCTTACACGGATGAATCGCAAGCCTGTGACGAGATTTAGATCGTGATCGATCTGTGATTGGGTTCTGCTTTCACACTTTGGGGTTGCACTCGCATCGATGGTACCATTGGTTCGCGTCGCACCTATCACTTGCAGCTTTTTCGCAAGAATCCCCCTTTCTGATAATCAGGGCCAGGCAATCACGATGGCATCACAGACTCGAGAATAGGTATTGTTGAACTTTGAAGTTTATATGGTACTGTCTGAATACGCACGCACCCCCCTTTACCAAAAGGGAAGGTCCTCATCTTGCCGCGAAGCATCCCTTTTCGAAATGCCATTCTATTCATCCATCCATCTTTTCCTCGAGATAGGAAATTCGTGACTCACAGAGAGAAACACCAGTCAGGCGATGTTTCTTTCTCCCATCCACTATTGGTCACACATCATCTCTCCACCACCACTCGCACTCAAGAACGGAGGAAACGGAGCGTACAACTCGAAACAGAGCTGAATAGGAACTTGCGCCGAACAAACCAGCAAGAAAGCACATATCAAAAAAGTGATAGGGGCGTATGGAAGATAAACCCCAAGCTGAAATGGCGTTCCTGCATCGTGTAGCGTGTCGTCGAGAATGTTTCTACTGTGTTAGTGGAGTCGGATATCAAACCCGTGTGGACCTAGAGGCGCTCACATCGTTCAACGGCCCGGGGACGGGGAAGGACGGGAACTCCACTTTCCGGGTGTTGAATGATGAATCGCCAGGGCAAAACTCCACTCACAACTCCACCCATTTTTGCTGTTGTGTCGTCCGATTCTCGGGCCCCACTCCTATTCCGGCCCCGATTCTGCACCACACCTCTGTTATCAGCCCCGCGATTCTGCAGGACAGACAGTTCAAGCGAGTCAAATCATCAGCCAACAAAACCCCCAATCTTTTCTTCGGGTAGTTTTGCTTCTGCGGCCTCTGCTGCAGGCCGCCCGACCCTCAGCTGCCACAAAGCTTGGCGATTTGATGTTGTCCGGCCGGTCCACGGATGGATGATGCGCGTCAACTTTCACACGTTGTGCTGTCCATGGACCATGGGTCATTGTTCATTTGTCCACGGGCGGTCCACGAGGCACGGTCTACGGGGCTCGTTTCGCTTCGCTGGCTGGCTGGCTGACTTTATCGTCAGC